CTGTGAAGACGATTTCCCCCAGGATTCTTCAAGATAAGGCAAGACTTGTAGTAGTATGACCTCTTCCAATTCTTTCTTCAGCTTTCCACCTGAACTTTCAAATTCTTTCAGAGATTTATCAACATCTTGTAGAAATGATTCTTTGGACAAAGTTTCATCTGCGGGATCTAATTTAAACGAAAATAAAAATGTATGTATTCTAAACGGTAAAATGGCATACTTGTACTTTTTTATCAAATAAAATGTAGCTCTTACAGCCAATAATAACCCAAAATTTTGGTAGGATCATCATTATCACTATAATAGACTTCATTAGACATAAATAAAAGAAAATGAGGGTCGCAAAGAAAGAAAATGAAGAGACAACGTTGGGGTGATTTGGTTTCAGCTTTTTATTACGACTTAACAACATTTTCTCACTGGACAGTGCCCTGCGATAACGAGATTCTGAAATCTCGTCTACAGAACGTTTAAAGAATTCCTACATTATGTGCACGTAGTAAGGCTTGTTTCAAATTTTACCTTGCACTCTGTGGATAAATTTAATTGGCTTTGGCGTCCATTTTGAGCCGAAGTTCTGCTGATAATATTCTTCTGTGACCCTGGGAAGGCAATAACTGCCCGAGTTACTCTCAGACGAAAAAGATTTTCTTCCTGGTCTGGCCCTTTCGTATGCGTACGTATCCTGATACGCTTGCTCTTCTCGCTCCATGTTAGCATTTCTTGAACCTCCTTGTCTCACGTTCGCATCTCGTGGAGGAAGAGGAATATCCCCTATAGAGAAATTTGGAAATGAAAAAAAAAAATCTAAATTCAAGTTTTTACGAGTTTATTCTATTTTCGGTCTAGTCTTTTGCCTGCGGACCTTAGTACCAATATCTTTTCAACTCAGAGGGCTTTCATAAGTAAGAATATTAGCTTTCTACTTCAACTTCAACAATTATTTCAGATTAACATCAGTTTTGATGTAAATGGTGAGTCGTATTCAGTGTTAGTCGAGGCAGGTATCAGTTTTAATGTACAGGGTGAATGTATATGGTCTTCAGTGCTAGTCGACCTGGCACCAGTTTTAATGTACAGAGCGAAAAGTACATAGTATACAGTACTTGTTGGGGCTGGTACTCCGAAATGATATATAAGCTTATTAAATGGCTATCATTTCATGCGATCATTTTAAACCTGGAAGAATTTTTGAAAATTTATAGGTAACAATTTTTTCAGGTAGAAGTCTGTAGATTTATAGTTGTAGTGTGACCACTAAATTAACATTAGGCAATAAGCACCGTATCGAATCATGTGCAGTTAATATTCATACTCCATGAAGCCTCCTATGTTTCAGTTTTGTTGGTGCCAGAATGATACGTGAGCATTTATGCAAAAGCTTTATTTTACGACTGCATTCAAGCCCCTTGTGATCTGTGCACCCCTCTATCGTTAGAGTAGAGTAAATGATACTGTCTCAACTTGAACATGATAAATTAAATTTCAGCTAATTACTTCTATCAGCAAGTTTGATAATGACAGTCGCATGTTAAGTGATTCAAATACCTCTTGATGGATGTGACGAAACATTATTGACTTGAGCTCCTGGTCGCACAGCTGTGGCGCCATTCCCTGATATCTTTGTGACGTCGTTAACATAAATGGTGTGCACAAGAGCAGTCTGCCTGAATACTGAAATAATTGATAAACAGTTTTTGAAATTTGCATGGATGAAAGAACGCCAAAGAATGGTTCTCAGGGCGCAAGTTAACTATCTAATCTGGAAAAATTTGCGCTTCGTCTATTCATGCTAATAGGACGTATTTCGCGGAAATTGTCCTGTGGAAAAGAGCAAGAAGTCCAAAGGCAAAAACCCTTCTCCACCTCCATCCCCACACTCTATTGATAATTCGCTTTCCTTGCTCTACATTGCATCGGACCCAAGACTCTATAAGTGATCATTTCAATTCTATATTTACATCTGTACATTTCCCGCACTAGTGATTAACTGTTGCATGTGTTTTAGCGTACTTAAAATCGACTTCCTCTCTTTAGGTTTGATACTTCATTGGCTTAATATGCCGTCAGGTCACGCAATTCAAGGAACATCAAATCGGCAATTAAAATTGACAGCAACTGGTCGAAATTGTAGAAAACTTGAAAGAAGTTTAGAGGCCCGCTAAAACTTACGAATGGGCAAAATTTGAGAGGATTAAGACAGCTTGCATTACTTAACTCAAACATTGTTGGCCAGCCCCTTTTTCCAATTCGCTTAAAAGCGCTATTTTGAAGACTCAAAATCATCCTTGTCTGTGATTTGGTTGTTATTTTTCTCATTAATTACGGCGAGTTTACATTTGAGAACTCGCAATTAAAGGAATTTAACCGAGGTACCTCGAACACGTCTTAATCGGCGTCAGAATTTTTAGTGCAGTTGTGGATCTGTTCAGGGTGTAATTAGTAATCATAGAAACGCATCTTTGCGTTACACACAAACAGAAGAACGAATTAGGCTTCATGACAACATTCTAGGAAACGATACCAAGTAGGAGTAAACAATCGGAAAAACTTTCCATCCAGCTTCGTGGTTTTCGTGGTTAAAGTAGAAATAACTTTCTCTTCATTCAGAAAAACTTTCCATCCAGCTTCGTGGTTTTCGTGGTTAAAGCAGAAATAACTTTCTCTTCATTTACATGTTGTTTACCTGTTGCTGAGTGTACCGAAAGTCACGGGTCGGTTAACACTAAAATAGGACATCAGAGGAAACTCATGAAAAACGATATCTCAAAGTTTGACTGCGCCGATACATCTATATGATGATCTTTCCGATAATAAAATCATTTCCTTCAAGGTTAAATTTGTGAAGTATATAAATTTTAGAATTAAAATTGTAGAATTGTACCCTAATTTAAACCACTGATTATCCGGTGAAACTCGCCAATCAGATTATCGTCGTTTGCTAAGCAATGCATCTGCTTTTTTTTTTAGTTTTCTTTTAAAATCACTGATAGCTGTAGATTCCTGACAAATTCAAAGAGGCAATGGTTGACTTTATTCGAAATTTATTACTTAATAACTCATTCTAATTGGCTAGACTGATTACGATAGTGAAAAGTCTAAATTGGGACTTTTCCCTTGACCCCTGGTCTGAAGGAATGTCGACTGATAAACTTCCTCTTTAGTGTGAAAAAATGCTTACTGTCAGAAACTAAATTGCTTGCATTGCCAGTTTATGATGACGCAAATGAACACGTTACAACTATTTTTGGCTACTCAGCAGGTCTAACTTCCACTTAACTGATAGGAGGTAGACACAGGCGAAAACTTTAGTGATTTTTAAGCTTAGCTTAAGAAATGTTTTGAAGCAATGCGTGACAAACATATCGCACCATCTTTATTGAAGCGTACAACGAGCGATGAACAAACCATAGAAAAATAAAGGAAGCATAAGTTCTCGCTTATTTCTAAACTAAGCTTTATAGACGATCTATCGTAAATTAACTCGTTACCGTGATTTACATTCATTTTCATGATGGTAAAATTAAGTTCAAAGCTTGTGTATGCAGGAACTAGAAGCTCGGTCCCGCACAAACAGATATTTTAGCTGAACACGATATCACATTTGAGATTGTTCACTTAGACAAGACTCTTGGAGTCCAAATAAACACTTAAGACTTCCAACGAATTATATCAGAAGTTTATGGGCTTGAATGAAAAAGACAGAGAAAACAAATCAATTATTTTGTTTTAGAATAGGAACTTACCGCCGTTTCCCTCCATCATTGATAAGGCTCCGTCTATTTCGCTTGTGCATAATAGAGTAGCGGAGACTTAATCACTGTTTAAATATCTTATGACTTTCGATTCTCAAGAGAGATGGGAATTTTTCCCCCCTAAGTATGGGTTTTTTCCCTTCCGTTTCGAAGGGCTTTCCCGCTAAAAGATATCTCGATGACTTAGCAGATTTAGGCAAGCGAAGCAGTCTCTGTGCATATCAGACTAGGAGACCTGGAACATAATTCAATTTCTCTGTAAAGTAATGGTACAAAGCCTAGTGCATAGGAAAGGTTACTTCAAGTAGTAACGAACTCCAACATGTCGTATTCTGGGAATGAGAATGTTTCGCTTTCATATGCCTTTACGTAAGGGACTTTCCCAGCGAAGGCAAGCGGATTACAAAGAGGCTACCGTAATGCATGCATGAGTACCACGGAAATGACGATAGAAGATTAGTTTGATTGCTTCAGTAGTTATGAGGGATTCGGACCTTCGTTTGCATTGTCGTTGTCTTGTTTTCTGAGAAACTTTGGTTTGCTCTCCTTTCACTTTACAGAGCGTATTTCGAGTAAACAATTCATGGGAAAAACCCCATTTCAATTTAGCTTGTTGACGTAATGATCAGCCTCTGGAAGATATTTGAGGTGACACTAAGGTTAAAGCTAACAAAGGGATCACAGGGCGTCATTAAAATATAAAACAAAAACAAAAAACTGTCATTTTAATGCTTAAGGAGTTTTTTGGTATTCGTTTATCACATTTTCATTTGCACGAGCAGAAAATTTTCGAACCGCTGCGGTTGCAAATTTTCCTTTTCTCTGTAATCCCATCAGAAAAGGTTAATCTTTTAATTGATTTTGACCCAGCAAAAATTTGCATTTGAAACCCCGAGATTCCATTTTATACGGTACCAAAAATGTTCTCTGTGATATGCAGAGAGTGACAAACTAAAACGTCACTTGACAATGCAGGTATGAAGGGCTTTTATAACCAGCAGAAATGTCTCTCAAAGGCCAATAACGGTTCCATAAGGAGGGAGAGTGGGTAGCTAATCTGCACGAACTATTTGCAATCAATGTATTAAACTAGCCTGTAATTAGTACAAAAGTCCCCAAGTCACAAAAAGAGCCAGTTATTTCAACAAAGTTTAGCCATTGTTTGACAAAACTGCGGACTAAGACATCTTCAATTTAGCCGAAACTTTTATATGCGCATTTATTTTTGTGAACAGTGTCAGACAGGCAATGCACAATCGAACTATAACGAACGTCATTAAACACAAAAAGAGTATTTATTATCATAATTATAAAATCTGTCGCCATCAGTTGTGCTATCATTACTAAATCCAAAAATTGATTAGTTCATCAAACAAGGGAGTCTCTGCGTCTATCGAACCTTCTAAAAGTTAATGGTCATCTTGTGGAATATGAGTAATTATGCTTTGTTCAGGCTGACAAGTAATCCAGTAGACTTAGGGTGCAAGTACATCTAAAGTACTCCAAAAGGTGTGTAAATTAGGCAATAAAGCCTAAATTAGTCTGGTTTGTTATATGATTTAAGTCCACTCTAATAGTTTGGTTTCTACTTCGTAAAGAATTGCCGCGATTTTTAGTAGCGCACATGAATAAGGCTGCTGCTTTGAGGAGGTTTCTTTTTCGCGTGGAACAATCCAGTATTTCACTATAGTAGGTGCAATTACTACGGATTTTGAAAAAGAGTTCTCGTTTTATGCAACTCTTGTTTCCACAAAAAGATGTGATGTGGACAGTGTTAGTTAGGGGAAAAGTTCGACTCTATTCCTCAAAGTTTGAAAATTTAAATCGTTCAATGTATATAAGAATATAAAAGTAACTAAAAAATAATCACTACATCTGCTCTAAAAAAGAGACAAGAAATTGAAAATTTAAGTCCTCGTACATTCAGTGTGTTGAAATACGTTGCTACTTTCCTCAGTATTTTCAGTGCCGTAATGATTTTCTTTAAAATGGATATATTTGATGCATATACCTTATATGCATGCATATATGTATATACCTATACACTCTTCACTGAATCGGTAATATGTATAATGCTTATGACAGACTTGTAGCCGAGCAGAGGTATGGTCTCACTGAGTGTTATGTCCGAAATTTTGATTTTGTAATCTACTGGGGAAAATTGAAAATTGAAATCGTTCCCTTTGAAACTACTAAAAGTAAGGGTCCTTATGAAAACGGCCATACCTCTGTAAGTTTGAGATACAACGCAGGCATGATTGACAATGCTAAAAGGGACTTTGCAAGAAATCTTCATATTATCTACAGAACGCCATGAATGCTTTGAAAATGCATGACTTAGGAATTTCACACATGTTTTTTCCCAATCAATTTGAATTTCAAATTTCAAGTTATTTCAGCGCTTTAATGGTGCTCCGCAATTAAAGGTTATACGTATTAAACGAAATACGTGACCTGTAATTCACCGCTGGCCACCAAGTTTGCATACAACGGATGATTCGGTGGGACCAGCTGGTCTTCGAGTCCAGGCGTATTTTCTGCCTTCTTGACTTTAGGATATACTGCCCTGTTTCTTTTCTCTGTTGGATTTGGACAAGCCGCTTTAGTTCCCTCCACATATTCTTCATTTTTAGAGCTCGTCTCTTTGGGAATTGCGTCTATGTTTTGATACAACGAGGTATGTTGTTGATCTGGCTGAGTCCCCAGATTGACATACAGCGAAGCAAGCGTATCCGCTGGCAGGGAAGCCTTGCCCCCATTCATATCGATTGCACTGCTACCATGTGCTCCAGACCTTTTCTTTACCTTTTTAACTTGGAGATTGAAAGTCTCTTTAGCTGGAACTACTCTTTCCCGTCCATCGCCTCTCGTGGATTCGGCAACACCAGCGTCGTTTTCCTCGTTACTCTCAGTAGAGCTCAGGTCTTCAACTGTTATTGAAACAGGACATAAGTAGCCTGCGTCATTGTTGTTTGGTGCCTTTTGTGGCTCAGGGACTGGCACAAGCTCTAGATTTTTTTTCACCTTACTACAGCTACTATAGACGGGTGAGATATCACCCGTGAATGGCACGTCTGGCGTTCCGTTTGCTTCTGAGTAGTCATCTTTGCCGCCTGCCATTCCAAAATTTCTGCAAACGTATTTGTATTCGTGCCTGGAGAAGAAGTCAGGTGAGCACATCTTCTCAATGATATCACTGGAGGGGTGTTGCTCCAAACATGTTACATGGTAAGCATCTTGTGATTGACAGGTGGACAAATCTGGCCATTCACTTTTGTCATGAGTTTTCAGCCATAACTTCATAATCCAGGACTCCATTGGCACCCTGGTATAAAGTAGAAAATTAAATTGATCAGGACTAAGTCTGATTTTAAATTCCTAAATTGTCATATACGATATTTAGCTTTTGAATGCATCAAATGTGTTCTTTTCCCTAAAGATGAGTAATTTCTTATAGCATTGCCAGTGGAAATAGCAATTACAAACATGTGCTTCGACTCTCTTTTTTGAAGCAAAATATTGGACGAAATAAAATAATGTAACATTACTTTCAAAGTATCTTTAACGAGACTAGCAATTAGTGTACATAGTTCAAAGGGAGTAACTAGAACACATGTAAAATAGTACCTGCTGGTGAGGCAATCAAAAATGGCCAAAAAGGGAGGTCGCTGCTGTGCGACATATGCCCAACACTGATGTATAATGATATATACCCATTCAGGACAGCCTTCTGGTTTATCTGGTGGTCCATTGTCTCTTATGTGAGGCAATATCTAAAAAAAACATTTTTAAAATGTTCAAATCAAGCTTGTGATTTACACAAAGTCAATTAAAGGAATGTTTTTGCCCGTAAACTTCGAAGTACACCTTTTGCTGTTCATTTACGCAATATGTACATTCATTTACGTCAACAGTTGAAACTATACATGCAAATATACATTCATTAGCACTTCCATGAACTTCATTAACGCGAACGAACTTTCAATAACGCTATTTGCATGTGTATTAACATTATCTCTGCTTCATTCTTTCCAAGGTTGCTGATCTTGAAGTTAATTACTCTCCCTTAAGATCACACACATTTTTCAGTTTTAATTTAATGAGCACATTTATAGTTGTTGGTTAATTTTCCGACAGCCCCCACCCCCAGCCCCGATTTTTCCGTTTCCACTAAGCTTCCAAAGTTTACCTTTTGATCGTCCAAATCAAAGAAAGGTAGTGAGGAATCTCTTCCATCTAGCCCATTTGCGAATGATGTATACAGCTCCCATGCAAGAATCCCAAATGACCAGACATCACTTGCATGCGTGTAGCGTCCATCCAGGATAACCTCTGGTGCACTCCTGCCGTGAAGGAAACGCCATCATGAATGCGTTAATGGACTGAGAATGTAGTTTCCAAAACAATTCAGATATCGTCCTCTTTGATTTCAATATGCAGTTTCTGGTTTGGTACGGTTTAGCCCTATATGGGCGCTCAAATTCGCTATAGCTGAGTTTCACTTGCAGCCGATGTTCCTCCGCCGAAAGTGTAATGTTTAAATCAAATTGCTTACCAACGTGTTGCGTCCGGATGCATGGCGACCTGCACCACGCATGAAGTGCTCGTAACATCGTATTCACTCGGATTAAGAGGCTTCGAACGACCCAGACGCCCAACCGTAATCTGTAAAAATCAAATGTCAAATTTTAACAACCCGCTTTTGCCCTTGAAAAACCAGAGTTTCGTTTTCTTTCGCCAACTATTCACTGGTGATAATCAACATTAAAGGTTACTCTTCTGGAAACGTTAGAGGAGAAGGGCTATTTTCCATGCACTCTCTGCGTTCATCAAGCTGTCCTTACACGCCGCTGAGATGAAGAGGAAGAGAGAGAGGCAATAGTCACTGCTTGTAATATGCAATACAAATACCTTGTCGTGCGATACGACGTTAACATACGTCGCACGGAGGTCTCCGTGTACAATGTGATTTTCATGGAGATAGTGCATAGCAGACGCCACTTGAGACAGGAACGTTACTATATCACCAATTTGACATTGCTTTTCGAGAACGTAATTCTTTAAATTACCAAGAGGAGCCTCTTCGGTGATCTAGTAGGAAGAAAGATGTCATTGTTTTTTGGTCTCCTAAATTAGAATTGTTGGTTTTCCTTCGTTGAGAATACACCATCCATCACTTAAGCTAAGACAAAGGCTATCTGTTAGTAGTGTTTCCAAATTACTCTCTGAATGAAATTATTTAAACCATGTCCGAAAAAAAATTTCAAAACAAATTTTTGTCCGGTCTTTTTAGGGTTAGGGTGGTACAGGGGTATACTGGCCAAAATTCAACGATACTTACAATATTTGCTGTTGGACAGTGTGAATCCAAATTCTCTATTTTCAAGGTAACAAGGTTTGGATGTTTGAGAGTGAGGAGATCTCTAAGGTGATGGTCAGCCGTTCTTTTGATCTTCTCGATGACATTAGAGTCTGAAGTCTGAAATCATATAATGATGGGTGTAACATTGTGACCATTTCAGAAATTATGAATACGTGGTTACAGCTACGCAGTGTAAGGCAGAATGTTATAGAAAATAAAGAGAAATTGCCCTCCAAACAGGTTTCCAGAGTTTTGTGAGAAAATTCATCGTACAACGGTAACCTCCAATTCTTCACACTAACATTTTTTTAGCACTAAGCTAGCTCTCGAATTCTTATAAGCTTTTGATTGCCTTACATTGCCAATGACCTGACACCATGAAAAAAGTTTCTCATTATAAGGGTACGTTGCCATGTGCTTCTCGCTGAACTTATAAGTTTACTAACCCGACCCGTTTGCCTTTGTCTTGGAAGATCATCCAAATCTAACAATGGATTACGGTTGAATAGTTTTTCCTGAATAGAAGAAATAAAAAATGAGTTGTGAACGCCATCGTCCATAAGCTAAACTGGTTAAAAACTTTGATTAAACAATAAAATTAAAAGATTTAAGTAACACTAAATTAGTGGTCAACTAGGACGTTTGTAAGGTAGCTGGAATATTAAGGACCAAATACAGAATCATTTAAGCACTAAACATAAAACATTATTAAAAATCTATTGTACAATTAAATCGGTTTTACCTCCACTCGCTCCTTATCTGACGTCAAGTTGTGTACATAGTAAGGACCTGACGTGGAAAAATTAAGAGAGAAGTATACATTTTTAAACTCACTCTGTTATCTACTTCAGTAAGTTAGGAATAATAACAAGGACTTTGATCATGGGATGCCTTTTATATAAGTTATGTCAAGTAAATCTTTAATCAAGTGAGTTGCATGAATACATTTAGTCTGTCAGTCAGTCAACAAGTCGGTGAGTCAAAGTTATTGTTGCAAACTAACACCATAGGCACACTTTACCATTTGACACATCAGGGCCTTTATCGGCAGACCGGGAAGTACATTCTTCGTACACGGGGTCTAAGGAAAAAAATTGTCACTCAATCATGAGTTTCAATGATAGCAAAAGAAAAAATGATCATATACGGTCACAACAATCTTAATGGTTAACCCAAAAACAAAAATTTCCCGTCTTTTTCACAACGAACTGAACGAGATTATTTAAGAGGAAAATATTCTCGATTTCTACTCTACTTAAAAAAAAAAGAAATCAAACAAAAAAGAAACAGAAAAAGAAAAATAACAGTAGCAGCAAAAAAACAAAAGATAACAGCTTTTTTCATTGCCATGAAATAACCAGCTATTCTTCTTTTGAGCTGCTAGCTTTTAAACAATCAGTAAGTGAGTCACTCTCTCAGCTGGCCAGTAGTTCGGTCTGTCAGTAAGACAGTCAGTCTGTCAGTCGTTCATTCCAGCAGGTCTGTGGTCTTTCCGTAAGCTAGTCGGTCTGTCTGTCAGTCGGTAGGCACGTCTGTTAGCTGGCCAGTCAAACAGGCAGGTAGGCTTGCAGTTGGACAGTCGGTCAGTCGGTCGTTAAAACTGATTGATTGTTAAGTATGATGAGAGTTTTACAGACTAACACCATATGAAAATTTACCATTTGGCATAGTGTAGCTTTCCTCGATACATTCTTCATAAACGGCGCCTAAGAGAGCAAAATTATGACTTATTTTGTATAAAGTAAAATAGGGGATTCATTTATCGTGATAATTTAAAGCTGTACTCGTAACTTGTTACAGCCAGGTGTATTGTATTCAAGATGACGTGAGACTTCAGTCACAACGATCAAAACTGAAGTACTTTCCTTTCTATTTTAGTTTGATCTGAACGGGACTATAAAAAGATTAAATATTAGCAATTACTTCCCCACAAAATATCCCCCTACCCTCCTCAAGAAAAAAGGAAGAAAGGATTAAAAAAAAAAATCATTGGATTAAGAGAGATGAAGTGAAACTTGGCTCTTTCTTATTTCGCCTAATTCAACAACTATTTCTAAGGGCTGATCACAAGCTTTTCGTGCAATGAGATAGGTGTTTTGTTGACAGAAAAATAAACGTGTACCTGAAGCGCGGTTTATATCTTCAGTATTTCTTGCAGGCTGGAAATATAAAGGTTAGAAGACTTAATCCACCAGGATATGGAAGTTCGAGGGAAGTTGTTCGACATATTTACTTCAAGTGTTTACGTGGATTAAACTTTCAAGATTTGTTAGGTAACAGAAAAGTAGTGGTAATAAAAGTGGTGGATAAATTTGTGGTGGTTTCATTGAGTAAACTGTCTTTGAATTTTTCTATTTAGCAAAATGGTATTTTTACAAAAAAAAAAAAGCAACTTATACTCGATATCAAATTAAACAAAATGAGAAACTTACAAAGCTTCCGCACGCTGTGAGTGGTGGCGGGTCAGACCGTACTTGCTCTTCGTCTGAAAGAAAAAAAAATTGATTTTTACAATCACTTCCAAATTGAAGCACGATTTATCCGCGTCATAGGTTCATTTGTCATTTCGTAAATTGAATGCTACAGTTATTTGTAATTTTTTAAAGTTTGATGGTTAACATTGCCGCCCTTTTTCTTCAAAAAGGTTTTTGCCTTTAGAATTATTATGATACAGGTGCTATGTGTGAGATAAAAGATTAAAATGCGTAATTACCTGCATTTTCGATCATCTCACAAAGGCTGCTTTTGACCTCGAGTAGTTGGGGTCTACTGCGTCGTTGGAACTGAAAGCACTGCTGCATCAGCTTATATTCATTTTCTTCAAAGCACGACTCAAAAGGCAGGATCTCTATACCATTCTTCACCTTAAAAACGTAGTGCTTAAGTCTAAGTCTATGCAATTATAAATTTTAAAACCGTGCCGACCCACATTTATTTATTTGATCTAAATTGTGGTACTGAAGATAACTTGGCATGGTGCACAACCCACTAGGATAATTCAATTAAGAGTACGTCTCTCTAAGGCTGTTAACGAACAGATACCTGTGGCAGAATAGTTGAAGATATAGGACTCTATAAAGAAATTCACAAGCACTCATTAGATTCTATTTAGTTTTTATTCTTGACATAAGGTTGCTAATTCTTTTTGTGTCGATTGCACATTATCATACGACTCGTTCGACCCCGCGTGGGCAATCCCTTTAGAAAACCATGTTAAAAGCTGACGAGTGTAGTGCCGGACAGGTTGACGGGAGCCGAGGCGTAAAAAGCCGTCCGGCCCACGGCTCTTTTGCATTTTCCGAGAGTGTAGATTGAAAAAAAGTTTCTTGTTCAGGCTTCGAGAAAAAAATGTTTTTACTGTCAAAACTTTTAAGTAAAAAAGTGGAGATGGTAAACTTTGAGCTCGGTGAAGAATTAAGGAAGATGTTTTTTCGTCTTGTCACGAGCGTGGGACAGAGAAAAAATTCTGAGTCCCCGTGAGGAATCGAACCTCAGACCATCGGATTTGCGCTCCGATGCTCTACCACTGAGCCACAAAGACTCTTCGGTGAACGGGGTCTATTACGAAACACGCGTCCTGCAAATCAGCAATGTCGATAGCGTAATGTTTTTGACAGAAAAGTAGAGATGGTAAATTTTGAGCTCGGTGAAGAATTAAGAAAGATGTTTTTTCGTCTTGTCACGAGCGTGGGACAAAGAAAAAGAATCTTTGTGGCTCAAATAGTTGTCCAACGTGCGCAACTTTTCTTTTAAATAGTTGTCCAATGTGCGCTTTTCTTTTGTGTGCAATTCCTTTGAAGTTTGGTCGGGCCGGACGGGAAGATATTTGGGTCATGACGCACGGACGTCGCTGCGCTCTGTCTGTAAGTCATGGTTTCTGGCTAAATATTTTCCTTTTAGGCCCTCCCACTCAGTCTTTAAGTACATTATATTTCGAAGTTGTCTATCGCAGTAGTCTAAATGACACCGATTTCCTTCATTCTTACTGTGGGGAATATTGAGCTAATGAGCGGAAGAGGGATATATAAGGAAATTGATAGAACTACTCACTCGTGAGCACAACTCCTCGCTGTCCGAGGTCAGCCCGTAGGGAAGACACCCGTAAGTAAGAACTTCGTACATTAGGACCCCAAGGGCCCACACATCAGAGGCAGTAGAAAAACGGCATTCTGAGAGAACTTCTGGTGCCTTCCATCTTATCGGAAGCTCCTCCTCATTTACTGAGCTTACAAAATCTGGGAAACCGTCAACAGCCGAGCAATAACTGTACACTGAATCGGAACATTCAGCAGCTGCGAATTAAGAAATTCCATGACTTTAATAATCGAAATTGACTAAATATATGTACGAATGAAGAAATCAACGAAAGCCAGGAAGAAAGCAATGAAGGAAGGGATAAGTTCGTTAGTTGGTCTTTTAGTTAGCCAGTCAGTTAATCAAGCTACAATCATGTCTTACTCTGGCTGGTAAGCCGCCGAAGGTGTTGCATGCCACTCAATTTACAGATATAACTGTCTCCCACCAGAACGTTTGCTGCCATTACAGCGCGGTGTACCAAACCTTTTTCTTCTAAAAAGAGGAGAGCGTTAGTGACATCTAATAGCATCTTAATGAGCTGAACAGGTTGAATAGGAGGATTAGTCCCGCGGGACTTCTGAAGAAACTGCAACAGATCCTTTGATTTTTCAAATGCGGTAATAAGGTGATATGGCAGGGTTTTCGTGTTGTGTGCCAACAAAACAGGGAAGTTTGGATGCCGTGCTGCGTTTAGTAGTCGTAGGTTTTCGGCTTCTCGTTTTAGACTCTCTTTAGCAGGAGTGTTAGGGTTCTCTTCCACGAGATGCTGCTTTTTCACCAAGAGAACTTTAACTGCCACTTTCCTTCTCTGGAACATGCCATGATTTACGAAGCAGGTGGAGCTTTTACTTATGGTAGTATCGTTGATTTCTAGTGTCTGAGTCCTGTACATCCAAGAAAGGTGTTTGATGTGCTGTATTGTGTCAAGTTCAACCTGCCGGTTTGTGTTCTTATTCAAAAAATGAGTCAGAAACGTCCTGGTCACTACATCCGGGCAGAACAGGGCTTTCTCAGACTGGCTCTGGACGATGGCCTTGCATTCTGGGGTCTTTTGTACTTTCGGATCTTTAAGAAGATATACCAAGCTGCTACCTGCCTCTGTCCTTATTTCTGTTATAGAAAATAATACGTGAATGTCTCGATTTTGAACTAAGACGGGGTCTCGTTTATCGCCTAACGGCCTGTTTTGTAATTACTGTCATTATAGCCATAGCGCTATAGCGCTTTTTGTCTCCTTGGTGAAATGATGTAATTCTCATCTTACAAACTTTAATGTAATTCATACTTTTCGTTACTGATAGCTTCTATGTTTCACCTTTTGTCTCGTTCTTCATTGAAATGTCTGAGAATATCGTAGCTGCCAGCATACAAAACCTCCAGTCCTGTCCGCCATTTCCATCAAGGTACTTTTCTACGAGAAATCTGAGGAGATTCATAGCGCGTCTCTCGGTCTCCATTCTTGGAGTAGGACGTTCACTGTGCACCTATGCAAAAAGGCAAATGCAATCTCAAGCATGAACCATGTTCCAACATATATTTTTCTTTATTTCTCTGTGTTAAAAGAGAACCTAATTTACAAAACCCACGGTTGCACCTTTCCAGGTTCAATTTTAATTTCTTATGTTTAGTGATGACTGTTCAAAAGTATACGCCTTCTTTTGGATGCATTTTAAAGCCTCGCGTGTCATTACCATGCGAGCTTAGCGTTCGCAATTGATAACTGTCTATCCAGTATTTTTTTTCATGGAAGTCCACCGTCAGTTGAACATGCTGTTGTTATTGTTATTTGTCGATGCGTTTCTATAATAGAACGGAATCATAATTTAGGTTTCTAAGGCATAATTCTATCTTCTTTCAGCTCCTACCTTTCCTTGGAGATGAATAGCGATGTAGTGTAGATCAATCCAGTCGCCACCTTTCTTAAAATCAAGCTGACGAAGAGCCCTCAAATCATTAACTTTGATTTCTTGGTTTTGGCAGAACTCCCGACATTCATTTAGAAAGTTCTGCAACTTGTCATTGGGCTTTAAAAGATGGCTAATTGCTTTGATGATAAACTCTGTTGAATATCGGAGACTATCCTTTGTTTTGTTGCTCACCTTCGAGCCAAATGTTTTAAGCTCATCCTTTATCTTTTTCAAATCTTGTTCCAAACAATTCATGGACGAATCACCTTTCAGAGCTTGATGCGTAACTAGCAAGGAGATAATACGGCTGTACACCGTCAGCTTAAGCTCTCGAATTTCTCTTTTTGAGTCAACCCTGCCTCTTCTAAACAACCCCTCGGAGGAGAGTATTGATGATCTTATAATTGCCTCCACAACCAGTAAATTGATGTAGCAGTTGTCAAAGTTGTCCTTGCAGATCAATTGAAGAAGCAATTGAAGTGCCTGGCTTACGGCTTTGCCACATTTTGCACTGCAAGAAATTTTGGCCAGATTTTCATATACTTCTTCATTGGAAGAAGGACATTTTCCCCACGTTTCTTCCAGAAAGGGAAGGATGCTATGGAGTAGGAGGTCTTCTTTAGCATCTTTGAGTGGACCAGCGTTTTCATCCATGTCTTGGATGAATTTTTCTGGGCTCTCGAAGAAATCTTCGTAGAACAAATTACACGTAGGCTCCCCTGAGAAATGAAGTCATAGCAGTTAAGAATTAGATTGCTATCTTGTCGAAGAGTCCTTGCTACTCAGTTTTCCCTGAAGGACACTTGCCAGTGGAGCAGCATATCAAGGTTCATGCGAAATTACAATTTACTTGGATCCATTTGCTGCTTTGTAATATGTAGAAGTCACGATTTGTTACTGTGTTTGCCTAGAGATACTTACCAAACTAGTTGCGGAAACTCAATAACTTTAAAGCTTTTTGAATTTTTCTTAGTCTTAAATTACCTCTATTGAATGAAATACCACTTCCAGGCCTTGCGTTCCACTTTGCCCCGTTTTCTTCGTGGCGTTGATAAGAGTTGATCGGGCAGTATGATCCTGGGGTGTTCTCTTCATACTGACCTGTGTCTCTATTCGGCGATCCATCGTAATTATCTGAAATCGCTTTTTCATCTCGGGAATTGTCTAGAAGTTGTCCTGTCTTAGTAGAAACTTGTTCATCGCCTGAAAAATAGGTAGAATTTTGAAACTAGAGCCAGGTTTTTCCAAACGAAATTTTATAACATCTTCCATTTTCCTATGACAAATTTTGATTTTTGTCGTCTCTGTTTCCCTTTTTCCACACTGAACGCTAACGATAGTTTGTTACTGATCCTTCCAGTTTGCATCACGTGTTAAGTATTTAAACATGTTGATATTTTGCCATTTCATCGCTCTTTGGTTCTTGTCGCCTAAAATTATATGCGAGAATCTGTAACTTATCTGAAGCAGCCTTTTTTCAATTGGAAAGTCTCTTAGAACTAAAATTATCATCGTTTCGTTGCCTCGTGCTCTTAAGTTTACGCGAATTTTATTCATCTTACTTATTTATCTAAGAAACAGAAGACAAATTAATAGCTACTTGTTTGTCTACAAATGACTAATTCTCTCTTCAGTTAGCCTTTTCTCTTGTGTTCCGACAAGCAGTTTTTCCCCTCGAACGGAAACAAAAGTGATGAAGTAATAATTAAGACGGATGTTCAGTCGCGAGCATTAAAAAAAAAATTTTGCGTGACATACCCTATCTCATGAAATCTAATCCTTTTTTCCTCTTGACCCTGCCAGTCTCAAAAAAATCGATCAAAAATGCAGTATTCGGTGTTAAGAGGACAAAGATTTAGGAAATATTTAATTGGTAGCGGTCTTTAAGATTAATTTTCAGCAGTAGTAGATGGTTTAATATGATGGGCATCATCATCATGACGTGTGTTCTCAATTGTTATTTCTAACTACCTTTGATCCTCGCTCTTGCGTGGGGCCCAACAGCAACAGCGCCTTTGACATGTTTGAAGTTTATTTGATATTTGATCCGTTTCCTGGGTGGTCTTCTATGGGATTGTTCGTCTACAATATAAGTATAATTCTCCAGTATTTATAGCGATCAAGACAATATATAAAATGGTCTTGTAGCGATGCATTATGTTAACTTCTAAGTAGATTTTCACTGATTTTTCTGATTACCATATTAGAAAGAACCACATCATTTAAGATCAAAGCTTTAAGGGAGTAAACAGCGTTCACATAGCAACGTATGCCGCCTTCCGTTGAACTACGTTACGTTTGGGGGTCCGCTCCAACAACCATCATAGACAAGCTTGACGGTTCGGAAATTTCCAATATTTTTTGCCCAGCTTCGCCTCGCGCCCTTTCGCGTGGAAAGGCCAGCTGACGCTTCTTCAGCTTGAATGAAACGAAATTTATAGGGACCCGACACGGACGGAGCCCTCTTGTAGATAACAACAAAAATCAATTTGAGTTGACACTAGGAAAAAACATGGAATTGTCAAAGAAAAAAAGAATCCAGTCTAAAAACGAAATACTAAACAATTTCAATTGAACAAAATAAAAGGAAGACTTTTCTTAAATTATTGATATTTACCAACTTCTGCATAACTAAAGGTATTTCTTAAGCCATTGAAATTTTTCTCGTGGTTTTCAAAGATTTAGTTAATTTACAGACTTGATTAAATGACACCTTGTTAAACAGGGCTGAGACGTCTTGGCAAATGAAAATTTTCAGTGGTTATAATTTCCAATTCCAATTTTTGAGGTGGTTCTATTGTGGAATAAAAAAACACTCACCCAACATTTGTGAGGAAGCATCCGAACTCAAATCACTAAAAATTGAACCTGAGGAAAAAAGATAACGTAAGAAATTAACAAAAACAAGATATCCATTTAGAATTCTGGATTTTAGCAGACAGCGTAGGTTCAATGTAGCGAGAAGATTCTTATTATAAATTCAACTGCGCTTTATAAGCTTATCGTTACTCAGTTTACTAAGCTATTACACTTTCCTATTAAGTTAATTTGATCCTCTTTTAACACGTCGGGGCTTGTCATTACATGAAAATATTTATACTAAATAACCCACCCAAGCAAAACATTTCCTTCAGCAGAACTGCTGAAGAGTGACGGCTCTGTTTTGCATAATTAGTTTGTAACGTGTTAGTTGTTTCGACCAAGTGCCCTAAGGGCAGACTTAATTGTGAAATGCAAAATAGTTTGTGGTGAAATGTGAGAGCGGAAGTCTTAACATGAAGGCTTTTTTTTCGTTTTCCTTTGAACTTGTGCATACACAATAACTTCCCTACATCAGCTCCTGAAAACAACCAGTTATTGACATAACAAAAAAATTCGCTCTTTCACAACTTCTGTAGTTAAGTCCCATTAGATAGACGCGCGTCTCTCGCCGCAGCCGAATACAAACGATATATCGTGACATCGTGTCTTTACTATGTTGTTTTAAACTAAACCAGAATGAAAGCCTTGCATGCCAATTGGTTTGCTATTTTGTGGGAACCGGTAATTAACTACCGATTTACTTGAGGGGCCACTGTAATAAGTAATGAACTAACTTTCTCATTCTTCGCGTTCGGTAAAGTTGCCTAATGTCGTATTGGCGATTATTTTTAATCAAGCCTAACCAGTATATAAACAGTCTTAACATGAGTTGAAGCGTGACCTGTTAAGCGCCTCACAACAAGCCATTATGATGTTTGTTTGTAAACGGGAAAGGATCCGCTACCTACTGAAAACTAGACAAGGCGGTCTTATGCAGAATCAGTCAAAGGTTGAAGAGTAATGCGAACGTTGCTCTTTTGTGGAGCCATTGCATTCCTTGCTCATTTCTAAGGCACCGTTCAGAACCATTGGAATGCTTCGCCGGCAGTGCGTTCAGCAAGGTAATTACAACATACTTATCACGTAGTCCACTTCAGAAAAAATTCGAGTTGAAGAGACAATTGAGTTCAGCCCACTGCCAGTCCTGTACCAAGAACTGAGACTGAACTTAGTTATAAATTTTAGCATGAAGAAAGGCGGTTGCTTAGAGCAAGTGTTAAAAGCTCAGTCTCACACTTTTTCAATAGTTTTAGCTAGTAGTTATCAAAGTGGAAAGTACTTGAGATTGAGTTTTTAACTTACCGTCGTCCGAAGACATGTTCTTTGCAAAAAGAAATTGAAATCTAGACGACGGTGTCTGGGATCAACTCCTCTGCGTTTAAAGTTTAAAGAGATGTTAAACCTTAAAAGGTTAGTCAGGGTTAAACCCTTGACGTATTCCTTTATAAATAGTAACATGACAAATAGATAAACTATGTAAAGTAAGATAACCACCACGGATTATTGAAAGATTGATTTGCTCTCCTTAGAAGACATTCATCCTCTTATGTGAACACAAGTTTATTTGGGGTATGTTAACTCTGGCTGGCCTGTGATCATGTATCAGCACAGGACGAATGCTCTTATTTCAGTGCCTTTAGGCAAAACCGAAAACATCCCTAAAGGTTGACTTAAGCTTTAGGCGTCTTTAATTGTAAACCGAAGTATCCAAAAGCTAACAGTTACCTTTCATGAATCTTTAATTGAACATAAGGTGAACTTTAATAACGTAAATCTTTTAGCATCCTTTAGGTGGTCTCTTTTTTGGCACAAAAGAAGGTTTTTAATTAATATACATTTAATTAACCTTTGAGATAAGATTTAAACGAGTCTCGCTGTTTTGACATCTTTGATTGACGCACTGAAGATAGTCTAATTGTAATCTGAACTGTCAATAGGAAATTCATCACAAATTAGCCGGCACTTGCGTCAGACAGGAATAGCAAATTTTGTTCCATGTGCAGCAGCAAATTTTGTCAAAATATCTGAATTGAAAGCAACGGGTTTTCATTTTCGCATCTCCTTTATAGAACGCATGGAGTGCAATGACAAGAAAGGATATATTTACTGCGCTCATTGTAATGACTTCGTATCACGTTCAATTTTCGAAAGGCATGAGCGAAAACATAACAAGTCGAACTACTTTCTACTAGATACTTTCGGGTCGACTTCAAATTCCCATGATTTGTTTCAAGAAATTTCAAGTTCAGCTGACGATGAAGGTTAGTTACCTTAAATATAGAGAACGTAACTGCTATTCAACGTTGCTTGAGGCGATAGACCACTGCCAACTAATTTTATCTTTTACACCAAATCCCTACAGGACCCACAGATTTTGTTCAGGAAGAGCGTCTTGAAATCGAAGCAGAAGTTGATAATTCTTGGTCAAACGCTGGGCAGGTGAGAAAAGAAGAACGCGGAGTTTGTGCCTTAACTTTTATCATGCAAATTGTAAAAGTTTGTAGTCAACAAACAGGACACTTTTGCGAAAGCTATGTTATCTACTAATGATCTTTGGTTGTTGTTTAATGCTGCCGTTCATTCGTTTGTTTGTTTTTTTCATTAACATAACTCTTAGGAGTTGACTACGTCAAGACGTTCATTTATGCATCCATAATCTTTGTAGGTCATGTCACCCCTGGATTTCACTTGCGTTACACTGCAGGATCGACTTTGTAATAGTATACTTATGCAATAGCTGGGTCTAGTTATCCGCGTGCAAGAGAAAAGATTTGGAGAAAAAATGTGGGGCTTATTTGATTATAAAACCTTAACCCTTGATCAAGCTTGGATGTCAAACACTGGTTAAGCAAAAATGAATAATTTCGATCAACATCACCTTATATTACCTCACATTACAAAACCCTCAGTAGTACAAAGCTGTTGCCTAAACAGTTTAACTGTTAGGTCGCACACATCCACTAGTGAGTCTAATTACTCGATTACAGTTTTGAACATGACCTTCTTTGTGTGCAACGACGAGCACTGGTTCTAAATAGAATTGACATGACAACTATCCTTCTGATTACTTTAAGCTTCCCTGGATTTCAATTCAATTCAAATTGTGCCTTTCATTTCTCCTTACTGATACTTAAGCATAGATTTTTAGCCCTTGGAGATTGATAACAACTGAAATGAAACGCAAGCTGTCAAACGACGTTCAAGCAGTCAGGGGCTGGCTGGACAACGTAGATGTCCAATCCTTTACTTTAGAAGTCACTGGTGTCGCCATTTTTGTTACTATCTAATCCTCTGTGTCATTTGGAAATATACAGTTTTTTCCCAACTATTTCATAGAAAATTATAAAGATAAGTAAGTAAGTAACAACTTTATTTAGGGAGGGTAACACGACAGTATAACTGATAAACTAGTGGTCCTCTTTGTTAAAATTTCAACCGATTAATCTTAAAATAACTGAGACTAGCAAAAAGTATGAACATTAATCACAAAACATTTATCATCTACGGTCAAAAATATTTACAAAAATTAGTTAAAAACACATACATATCTATAAAATAACTAAGAATAATACAACGTATGAATATTAATCGCAAAACATCCATCATCCACAGTTAAATATATACAAATTAATTTAAAGACAAAAAAACATCTCTGTTTACAACACTATGCTATGAAACGTTTTTTCATGGCCGAACTGAAGGTGCTAGGTGTGTTTGCTCTGATTGATCACCCTGTCACACCTTACCATAGTCACCAGCCTGAACAACTTTACTTCTATGAAAACTGTGTCAAAAATATGAAATTTTTACGATAGATAAAAGGTCATAACGAAGTTTCCTTGTCGCACTCTACCAACCTTGACCCGATGGATTTCATAGCTAAATGCAAAGAACTTCCAAAGCCCACATCTAAATTTGTCAAATCGTTTGCATACACATTTAAATGTTCTTGAAAGAGTACTTGCTCAAGTGGTGAACTCTGGTTTTCATACCAGCTTTCTTGTAATTTTTCTTCATATTTTCTTCTTTGGACTTCTCTATAATAAAGGCTCTCTGCATCAATTAATAAAAGTTGAATGGTCATATCTTCATAGACCTCGAAGCTTGGCTGGTAAATTAGGTCCACGCACGCGTAGGGATCAACAGGAGTGCCCTTGTTGCCGCTTTCTGAGTGGGACGATGGTACACCGGTCTCCTCAGCTAGAACGTTGATATAACCTGGCATTTTGGGTTCCTCCTGGTTATTTCCCAGTGACATGTAATGCTCCCTGTTTGAAACAAGATCTTTGTACCCTGCGTTTTCATACATGATGTGCCCACCCTCAGAGTCATCCTTGACACTTTCAACACCAGTTGCGTGGCCCTTAGCCCTACCGGTCGCTTCATCAGAAGAAGGTTCGTCTACATTTATCTCGTCGTAAAAATCACCATCCGATGAGTTAGCGCAAGCAACGCCATCAATGTGATTTTGAGGACGTCGGTCCACGTTGGAAACCTTGGAGGCTTCTGCAGGGCCGGAAGAAATCGAATCGGTGCTGCTAACTGAACCAGCCGTATGTTCCTCATTTCTTATTATCCGATAGGTGGCTTCTTCATACACCATTTCTGTCGCGCTATTCACTTGGTTCGTTTCGTACTCGTCAGCATCGTTGGACACTCCATCAGAGTGATTATTTGAAGTTGACTGGCGGAATGCAGGGGAACTCGGTGGTGGTGGCAACTGAGAATTCGTGTAGTCGTATTCGTATACCTCAGCGGTGTCGGGCTCGTTTTGGCGAACGCTGTCGACATACAGGTATTTGTGACGAGTAAAAAATCCTTGAGAACACATTTTCTCGATATCTTCTCTAGGTGGGTGTTCCTCAGAGTTCGTCACGTGAATTGCATCGTCAGGTTGAGATACTGGCAAAACCGGCCATTCACTCTTCTCATGTTTGTTCAGCCACAATGTCATTATCCATGACAGCATCGGTTCCCTTCAAAAAGTGCAAGAGATATGAGAGGGATTGAGATCCAGTTGAAACAAGAAACAAAATCATACCTCACCACAATCAGTATCATTGACTGGAAGACAAGACAGCGATGAAGCAGATGACACTTATAGTCAGTGAATATCCGCGGTATTTTAAAGAATGGGTAAGGAAATCGCTTTCTACATCCGCTAGTAAAGTATACCATACCTTCTTGAGAGACAATCAATAATTGCAATAAAAGGAGGTCTCTGAGTTGGTTCATATGTCCAGCACTGATGCATCAAAATGTAAACCCAATGAGGACAGCTGCTTGGTTGGTCAAGAGGTCCGTTTTCTTTCATATGATCAAGAATCTGAAGGATTAAAAATTATCCTTAGTTTTCGTAAAGATGTAACAAAATGTGCTTCTATTTCATCTTGAATTGCATTACAGGCTTTTATTGTAACTCTTGTTAGAGTCAAACTCATTTTGGCAGATCTCATTTTCGCATTGAGTGTATTATAAGTTTGAACTTACCTTATCTGCCGGAATATTGTAGTAGGGCAGTGCAGCAATTCTATTCTGTTGACCAGCTGCGAACGCAGAGTACAATTCCCATGCAAAGATTCCAAACGCCCACACATCACTAGCGTGAGTGTAGTGGTTCTCTTGGATTACCTCTGGCGCGCTCCTGTCATGAAAGAAAATTAATCGTGTCGAAAACTCTTTCAGTTAAACACTATCTCGTTTTTTTTTTGTAACCGTCTTCTGAAGTGCACATGTACACATATTTTGTTTTCATGGCTTAAAAAGAACTGTATGAATTTACATATTTGATCGTTCTTGCGAGCACTTCCTTTAAATCCCAGATATTTTACTTTGTCGGACCATAATGACCAACAGGTCTAAAAACCCTTCCAACATTTTCTTTAATCGAACCTGGACATGAAAATTCCCTGGATATTTGCCCTAAAATAGGGTGTTTAATTGACGCCCAGCAGAAAACTCATTTTACATGTAGTATAGATTACCATGTTTCGAGTTTATGCTTACCAACGAACGGAATCAGAAGGTATGACAGCCTCTACGACACATGAGGTACTAGTGGCTTCATAGACACTCATTGGTAGAGATTTAGAGCGACCAAGCCGGCCAACCTGGACCTGAAGAAAATCATAACAGATAAACCATATTTTCATTTATTTATTTTATGGTTCAAATTATTTGCGTAATTTACAGACCTCGTCCTAAAACTTGTCGTTCATTTTATAAGTGAAAACAGAAATTAAACCTTGTGAAAGTACCATTTACTGCTTCTTCTTTAAGTTGCGATCCTTAAAGTATGTGCAAGTTTTACGAATAATTACAACAGTTGTGACTGTGCTAGAACAGCAGGCAAAATAACAATGGGCTTTATACAATACATAATGTTCCTTGTTTACTTGTTTTAAGAATTGTTTGAATGGCATTGGCTACACGAAGACGCTTCACCTGAAATATAAAACGTCTAAGCTTACCTAGACTCGAAAGGTGATCGACTATCTCTTTGGAGCAAATTTAACGGTGCTCAGTTGTATTAAGTATCGAATGTACCTGGACACGTCTGTTGAGCCTAACTGGACTTAAATTCCGTGTATGGTACTCACCTTGTTTGGTGCCACCACATAAACGTATTCAGCACGAAGATCTCCGTGCACGATATGATTTACGTGAAGATAGTGTAAAGCTGTAGCAACCTGGCAGAGGAATGTGTTGATGTCTTCCCTCTGACATTTTCTGCTGAGGACAAACTCCTTTAAATTTCCATAGGGTAGTCTTGGCGAGATCTAACGAGAGAAGAATACGTTAATGAAAAGACCAAGGAAAAAAATGAAATTTGAAGCCCAAAACAAGCACGAAGCTCAATTTCCATCGAATAGCACAACAAGGAAATCCCGCAAAAAGCTGATACTCACTTATGGTGGGTCGAAAAAAATCTTTAATAAGGACTTATTCTATATTAAAGTTCATACGGCAACTAGGTGGGCAATCAGACATGGTTTGATGCTACTCTGGTTTTCAGATTTAACCGAAGAAGTTTACAATTCATAGACACGTTAGCGTTAAAGTTGCTCAAAAACCTTTTCAGATTTTGGGGCATATTTTTGCCGAGCCTAAGGATCCTGTCACGAGAGAACAACGAACCAACGCCATTTATTCTATTCCTTGCAATGAGTGTGACAACGAATACATCGGACAGACCAACATCAGTTTGGTACACGTTCGAAAGAGCATCAAAAAGCGGTTTTCTTTTGCAAAAAGGAAAATTCAGCTTTATCGGAGCACACATGCCTAACTAACCATACAATTGGGTGGGATAACTCTAAAATCATCAACACTAATCGGCGTTATCACCAGCGCCTTTGTTTGGAGGCTTGGCATATTAACTCCGCCCACGTTCCTTTAAATCGTGACGATGGCAGTTTGCTTCCTGACGCCTATTTACACCTCGTCAGAAAAAAGGCCGCTAAGAAGTGATCATATAAAAGGACCTCTTGTTGCAGCGTTTAGATCACCCCTGATGAAGGCACTAGACAGGAGTGTCGAAACGTTGTGTCTATGAATTGTAAACTTCTTCGGTTACATTCATTAAATCTGTAAACCAGAGTAGCATCAAACCATGTCTGAAGGACTTATTCTGTTAATAAGATTGCTGTTTCAAATATGGTAAACTTCAAGCAAACGAAATTTAAATGGGCCCTCTTTCAAAAGGCCCTTTGCAATGCCATTGAATACTACAAAGACCAATGTATACGGCGGAATCGCTAACAAGAAATTAAAATTTTAGTGACACCGACTACGAGCAAAGTTGGTAGAAATTCTGATTAGGATGCAGCTGATTTATGCGTCCAAAGTATAGCGTCTTACTTACGATGTCAACGATTGGACTGCGGGAATCTAAATGTTCTATCCGGCTGATAGGAACAAGAAAACTATTGCTAAGACATAGCAATCTTCTCAGGTGCTGTTTATCTCCTCCAGCGATTTTCTCTTTTATGGCATCCTAATGAAAAGAGGTATCAGCAATTCAGTACCAGCAAATATGATCAATCCGATCAAACTATAGATGCATTAGCGATTGATGCACCGGTGACTTTGAAAAAGCTTAAACATAATAAATTTAACCTGAATGTGCTCTGACATGCCTCACTGTTTATCTCTCGCGCTTGCTAATCATTACAATTTTTCTTATCATATTATCATCATTGCCTTTATTATTATCATGATCAATACCATTATAATCAATATGTTTATCATCATCATTACAGTAATAAATGGTAGTGGTATGTTTAGTTGTATAATTTTTATTGGAATGATGGCGTAAAAAATATTTGTGTTTACTAAAAATTGAAGCAGTTTGGGCAAACCTGTTGATAATTTGTTGGTAGATCTACAAGTGTTTCAGGAGTACCATATCCTTGAGGCTACATATCAAAGAAAAAACAGTAAATTCCAGGTGCACAAAATGAATTTTTATCGTTTTTTAAAATAGATTACTTTGGATGGATCGTGAGTAAGGAATAGTAACGGTAATAATAATAATGATATGATAATAACAATGATAATAGCAATAAAACAAAGAGGTAAAGTTCAAGTGAGATCCATGATAGTAAAACATCAGAATTATTTTTAATTTAGTATTTCCTCTCTGGATACATTGATAAATGATGCACCAAACTCTTGTGAGTTTGGAAAACGTAATTACCTCGTATGTATCTTCTGCATAGTCATATTGTTCTTCGTAGATGGTTCCTGAAGTCGATTCAATGTCGCTGTAGTCTGAACAAAGTGAAAAAATAAAGATTAGTTCTTTGCGTGAATTAATGGTTCTGGCAAAACAAGAGGTGAAGTCTGTACTTCTGAGAAGTGGCTTATTCAGCCAAAGTTTATCTTGGTTTTTGTTGCATGAATTAAGTACAGGCATTCCTGCATCCCCCTTAATAGAGCGTCTACCACAAGCTATCCCCGCAGTATTTCGTCGGCTTGCCCGACAGTTCGCCGATAACCATTTATACTCCTGGATGGAGAGAGGCATTGTGAGGGTAATGTATCTAGTCCTAGAAATCAACATCGTTCAATGCGCTTATTGGTGGGCCAAACCCAATAAATGGTATTGAATGAAATTTGTGATGGAACCGTGTTTTCACGAAAAGCTTAAAGGTCGATAAACAACAAAAACACCAATAAGCGGGAGTGAAATGAATATTCTACTCGAATATTTTGCGAATGAAATGTTAATCTTTGGAAAACGACAGCATATGTTATAAGTGGGTCGAAGTGAGGTTGTCTATCCGTTTTCAGTCATAGTAAGGACTCGAAATCTTAGCTTAGTGAAGAAATATGGGAGCGAGTTAGCTTACTCTTTATGTAATTAAACCAGTATCTACCTGGAACGGTTTCATACAGCACAGAATCAGTTGATTCTTGTGATTGTTGAGGTTCCTGTAAAAATAAACGCGGAGGAAGAATTTAGCAAAGCATACGACAACAAAAAATGTTATTTGTATTCTCATGAATTTGGAATCAAAACAATATACAGGGGAAACTGAAGCCCAGACGTTCGCTGTCTAGGCTACGATGTTCTGCTAGAGAACTCAGTTTGTTAGGTAACTATGAGTTTCATGCGTAACGCCCGTGTTGCATTCTTCAAGATCAGCAATTTCATAATGTGAGTAAATGGGATAAGAAAGATGGTAAATTCTTTGAGCTCCGAAGTTGCACAAAGAAAAGAGTTGTATGGGAAATCTCTGCCAGAAAGAAAGCTTTAAGGTTTGTAACGATATGATTATGAGAGCAGATTGTATCGAGAGAAGGACTTAACATACAAAGTGGAATTGGCTTCTGCTAACCAGAAGTTGACATATCGATTAATACTAAACGTACACTTTCAATGCTCATCTCGAGACTTGGTGGGTCAAGCCGCGGTTTCTCTTCACCTGAAAAAAGTCAAATAAAACGGGATAAACAGTTAGGAATGTCATTCCTATAATTTACTGCTTTGACTTGCTGCGATCATCTGCATCGGAAACATAATTTTGCGTTTCCATCGTCGAAAAGGTCATTGAAATATATATCAACTTACGATACAACATGATATCCGGGGATGAAGTATTGCAAACATCGATAGTTTTGAAAGTAAAAAGGACAGCAAGTATTAAAATGAGAAGGTTAAGCATGATCAAAATAACTTGATCTCAAACCTGTTGAAATTTGGTTTACACCGGTTACGTTATAAACGGCGCCTTTTTCATCTGAAAAATTGCACCCTCTCCGTCCTCCACATAGCAAGACGAATCGTTTCCAACTGCTTATTCGTTTTTCATAATATCCCACAATTTAAGGTCGTGGTCAAGCTTGTGGAAAATGCGTGTGATGTCTTTCCCTTTGTAATATGTAAGTTAAAAATGCGAAGCTTCGGCAGAGTTTTGAAAACTTGGAAATGTTTTTGTTGAGTTTTCATTATAATTTATGAAATAGAGCTGTAATGATGTTGTCAAAGTGTTCACTTTAAGAAATCACCAACCTGAGCTTACTATCTTTGATCGCATATATTGGAATTGTTCTTTGAGCTCAAACAAGCCGATTCTTTCATCCCTTTTTCTTTTCCAGCACTGCTTCATAAGGTTGTATTCATCATCTTCGATGCAACTTTCCTGCGGTAATATTCCCTCGTCGGTCTTTTGCAAAACCTTAAAATAGCACGAGAACGCTTGGTCTTAACGTTTGAATTGTGTAACGTTTAGATTCAAATAATCAATAATAAAGTAAAAGAATGCGTCCTTTATCACAATGACTCATCTTTCTGGTTCGATCTTTCAAAATGGCAAGATTCGGGCTAAATTCTCTTAACCTTTTGATATTTTACGGGCAACAGTTATGACAACAAAATTGGATAGATCAAATTTTGTATTGCTATGTAAGCTAGGTATTGCTATGACAGAAGCTTTTGTAACGGTTGTGTTAAAATGGTAATGTCAGTATTACTTTGTGTGAAATTGTATAAATACAGTGGCTTTCAATGTCATAGAACACTATGGTTGAAGTTGTGATATTGTTGTAGCAATTTCATCGTATAAGTAGTAAATTAGAGATACAAAACAATACTGTAATTCTTCTTACATAATCGACGACATTTTCGTCTCTTTGTATGTCTTTATATGGGCGACAACCTAAGGTGAGCGTCTCGTAGACAAAGACTGCAAAGGCCCACACATCAGAGGGAATGGAGTAACAATTTCTTGATAGTGTCTCTGGAGCTTTGCATCTCACCGGCAGTGTTTCACCACTTTCGCCTTTAAATTCTTTTAAGCCATCGTAGTCCAAAGCGTATTCATAGCCAGATGATCTGTCACCTAAAGATGTGATTAGAGCAGGAGGTTGAGTATTATTCCCCTGGTTGTCATTCCCTTCTGTGACATCAACTTCTCCGAAAATAATGGAGAAAAAATCGTATTAACATTTGTCTCTGCTTATCTCTATCAGTTCGGCTTGAGTTGAATGAAACTATAAAATAACAAAGATTATGAGCAGCAGAGAAGAAGCTCTGAGAGTTGACCAATCTTACCTTCCTTGTTTATTCCGTGCTGCAGCACCCCTAAAGAGTGCATTCCACTAAGCTTGGCAAAATAGCCATCGCCAACTAGAATGTTTTCCGCCGTAACAGCTCGATGAACCAAATTAAGCTCTTGGTGTAGGTATAGGAGGGCTTCTGTTACTCCAATTATCATTTTGTAAAGAGCAGCTGACGACAGAGGCTTGCGTTCCCTTGAGCCTCTTAAAAATTGGAGAAGGTTGCCGTACTTTTCATATGAAGTTATTATGTGATGAGGAAAGGCTGTTGTGTTGTAGGCGAGAAGACAAGGGATGTTTGGATGCTTCCTTAGATTGCTTAATTGCCACAGGTTGTATGCTTCTGCACGTAGTCGCTTTTTCGCCTCCGACTGTGTTGACGTTTCTTCCTCCACGAGATCCTTCTTGGAGACGGCTAAGACTTTTACGGCCACTTCTTGGCGTTTTAACACGCCGTGGCTGACAAAACAGCTCGAGGTCTCGTTACTCGGCCTAGTAGTTACCATGTTGTCAATTTCCAAAGTGTGTGTCTTGTAACACGACACCAGGTGCTGATTGTGGAGTTCTGTTGGAAGCATGTGCTGGTCACTTTGGTTGTCAAAGAAATGAGGTACAAATAATCTCTTGATGGAACGGTCAGGACAGAACAGCATCCCTCTAGAGAAGCGGTCGACAATAGCTCTGCACTCTGGTTTCTTCCTTGCCTTTTCATCTTTGCGAAGATGAACCAGACATAAACTAGCTTCGAATCTCAATGCTTTGAATGAAAAAAGATGATTATGATTATTATGGCGATACTAAGTAGTATCCTTTCTAGCCAGATCCTTACCTACATAGACACGGACACAGATAGCCCGATCATTCTTAATCCGGGGGTTTAAAGGTATCACGGACGCACCCATGGTAACTCGAGTGGTAACTCGCATTGATTGAAATAAAGTCACAGGATAGGTCTTTTCTTCGTCTGATGCAATTGTCAAGAATGTCGGTCTATCAGAATGAATGGGAATGAATTTCCTTAAGGAAGTCAGCTTTTGCAAAAAGGATCAAAATCAATGATAATCATGATCCCCACCGGTATGTAGCTTTTGAACAACTCTTCCAACACTAGCTTGTCATTCCTGTATTCCTATTTTCCTGTAGGAAGCGGGGATGGCGCGGTGGTGAGACCACTCGCCTCCCACTACTGTGGCCCGGGTTTGATTCTCCCTCCTCAAAACCAATATTCAAAATTTCAATTCGACCCCAAAAGAGTGGAAAGGAATTTCCATTGCTAAACTGCTACTATTATCACTATTATTATTATTTTTAATTATATTGTTATTAATATTATTATTATTATTGTAATTACCTTTAGTCGCATTCTTCATTGCAATCTCTGATAGTATAGATGCCACCTGCAAACAAAACCTCCAGTCATTTCCTCCTCCACCATCAAGACGAGCCATTAACACCAGCCTTAAAAGTTTCATGGTCCTTCTCTCTTTGTTAATCTGCTCCGGACGTTCCGTGTGGACCTAAACGAATTGATACAGTTTGTTTACTCATGGGAGAGCCTTGAGGGTAAACAAGTTGATCTTAACAGTATTTGTTTTGTTTTTGTTGTCTATCTCTTTTCGAGGGTTGTGTAGAAGGGAAGGTGGGAAGGGAGGGAGGAAAGATGGGGAGAAAGGATCTTGAGGGAGAATGGTGAGGATTAAACATTGATAAGATATTTTACGGCCTTAGTGAAGTTTCTGAATTTGAAACAAAATGGTCTGATTGCATGTGAAGTGAGTTTTACGAGACACCATATATCTTTTGGCTATTCAAGATCTAATTTGATTTTCAATTTGATCGTCGTTCACTTTTAAATAATGAAGTACAAAACCTATGTACATGGCATCTTTGCACCAGTAGCCAAAGGGGACTCTGCTGAATAAAGGACACCTACCTTCCCGTGCAGATAATAAAATATACAATGCAGCTCGCACCATTTCACTCCGGATCTCTTCACCTTTTTTAGAAGTGACAACTCCTCATTAGGAGTGTCCGAATTTGCACAGTATCTCTTGCATTCCTCGAGGTAATTTCCCAAATCTGAACCCACTTTCTTATTAGGTGGCCGCGTAAGATAACTAATGGCCTCCTGGATGAACTCAATAGAGTATCTTAAAATGTCTTTTTTTTTCAAGGTCATCTTACTGAAATAGTTTTTAATTTCCAGGAGCTGTTTCAAGTTGTTCTCTGCGTCAATTTTAGAGAACCCTGTTTGATTCTGGTGAATGATTAACTCCGATAGTATGCAGCCGTATACTGTTAGCCTAAGAAGTCGTATTGAGTCTGCCTCCTCCTTGAATGCTCCGTCTTGGGAGACGATGGTCAATCGCAGTATCTTTTCCACACTCAACAAATTTTGCTTAGCACTCTGAATGGAATCCCTGTATAGCAGATGCTGAAGTTGTTGTAAAGAGTGCTTTGCAACGTCACCGCAACCTTGGCTGCTGCTTACTTGAGCAAGGACCCTGTACACATCAATGTTGTTTGCACCAGATTTGCCCCACATTTCTCGTTCCAGGTATGGCAATATACAGCGAAGTATAAAAAATTCTTTTTCCTCCTTCAGTGAACCAGCGGAGGTGTCCATTTCCCGCATAAACTTCTCTGGGTTTTCAAGAAAGGATTCGACGGACCACTGAAAATCGTTTTCACCTGTTGAAGTATAACGGTAGAAAACAGGATCAGAATGGTAATGTTAATTCAAATGCTGAGCAATCGCGGTCTCGTCAACCCACAAAAGTCGTCAAGTTTTGGGAGCTGTTCTTACCATCTTACCTTTCTGGATAAGAATTCCATTGATTGGTTTTGGAGTCCAATCTCCCACATTTGTTTGTTGATAATAATTACGGGGACAGTACTCCTCTTCAATATTCCTAGCGTAATAGCTGAGGCTCTCATCAATTTCGTGGTTCTGTGGAGTGCTGGTGTTTCTGTCTTCTTCTGAAATAACTAAGAAATGGCCGAGTAAGAGAATTGAAAACGCTGTACAAAAGCATCTTAAAACTTCATATTTTCAAAATATTACATAGAAATCAATTACAAATAAATTGTACCCGTTGGTTGATTCGTTGGGGCACCAGTGATACGAGCACGGGGGCCGACCGCTACGTTACCACCTCCATTTATATTGAAGTTTAACTTTTTGAAGACAACTTTGCGGCGTCTGCTTGGCACGTCTAAAGTTGGGATTTTAAGAAGTTATGTTTGTTAATAAGTCATTTCAGTAACATTTACTTCCTTATCAATGAAAGATTTTTTTATGCACTAGATACGATTTCAATGAAATGTGTGCGTTCGAACAAGAACATTGGTTGATGCAGCATGCAACGAATGTAAGCAATATATACTTCATTATTTAATTACTAGTCCACGTTTGTCAACCACAAAAAAAGATGCCGAATAACGAATAAATACCGATCTTTCAACAACCTTACCAGAAAATTCTCCCGAAATATCTCCATAGCTTGAGTCGCTGGTATCTTCAAGATAAAAAGCAATGTGGTAATAGTTTGCTTTTGAAGTGCCTCAAAACACTTTCACTCTCACTTTCACTAGGCTGTCAAGTGTCTACTGATGATTTGGAATTTGAGTCATGTCACTCTCAAAGCACCAGATTAAAAATAGTAGTTGTAGTCATTCAACAGGAAGTGGGTTATTAAACATATGAAAATTGTTCTGAGCCTCTTGAAACTATGCCTAATTGAAAATAATTTTTTTTATCAAATAAAGTTAATAATATAAAGTGGCCACCGTAAATACTTCCTAAAGCTGTCGTCTCGAGCGTTAGCTCTTCGTCAGAGCGAAAAATCATGCATAATATCACTCAAGTAGGCAGTGTAATTGTCCATTAGCGCTTATTGTATAAGCTCCTTGTATAATTCAAAGAGTTGTTTATAGCGACTTCATTGAAACAAATTGGTTTCCCCGCAAACCTATCCGGTAATGGAAATACGGAAAGTTAACGCGGGGAGATTTATGAAGTTCAGCCTAATACACACCAAAAACCTTCGTGAACAAGACTCAGTTGAAATAAAAGTTTACCTTAATCGAGCTCAGGGAATCAGCAAAGAATAATCTCAACAATAGATAGGAAAGTGTACACTGCAAGTGCTTCGCTGTGCTCGGTTGATTTAATAGACATTTCGCCGACAACGATACGATTGGCAAGTGTCTATTTAAATCCCAGAACCGTTTTAGATAGTTCCGTTGAATGACGCAATATTAGACTAAATGAACAAACTTCTGTCAACAAATTAGCAATTTGTTGGATTAAGAGGCCTTCATTAAACTTCCTGCTTTCGATTCCACGAATCTTCACCAGGAAGCTCTCTGCATACTTATTTCTGCACACTCTCTTAGGGACGGCTAAAACTGATACACTCAAGCCAAGCTCATTTCAAGACACGATCAGACGGCGAAGCTTAAACGTTTTGAACGGCAAATGGGAAGTAAGTGAAAACAAAACCACTCGCGCCAATAAACCTTGGTTCAATTTCAAAAAAGCACGAGTCGGTGCGCAGTGTTCGATTAGGACGTAAAAGGTCGAGCGGTTGTTGAGGTTATCATTGATTATTTGATTAAATGATACCAATCACTCAAACGCATCAAATTGTAACTAACCGTCGTATGTGGCCATCTCAAGTGGTGAACAGAATGATACCAACAACCACAGAAACTTCCATCAAGTTACGAGGCAGTGCTCAACTCCCCTAACAGAAACGATAATGAAAAGGTCGTTAGAGCATCGAGACTATATAACAACTTAGGGGAACCCCCAGATCATTAAGTAATAATTCCGTGATGACTTCATACCTCAGGCACGTTTTGATGAAGAATATATCTACATACCACATCCATTTCTAGAGTAAGATTACCCTTTTGAGAATCGGTTCAGCAGTCAGGCAAGCCTGGCCTTGAGCAGTGAGATAATGCCACGATGACTTAGCTCTCTTCTCAACCACTTGCGATCGCGTGGCTGCTATCAGACCAGTGTTGATTCAAGAATTTAGCCCACTGACGAATTCCAAATCGAAGTAACGCAATCTTCGCGGAAGTCTTAAAATAATTTGATATGGTACCGGTATTTACTATTCTTTTTTTCGAGCCTTCTTTTTTCAAACTCAATCACTTTTTCGCTTAGAGTTACTTAAAATGGGAATATGGTTCATAACTAAGCAGTTTCAAGCGTAATTTAAGCAGGAAAACCAAGTGTTTATCTTTCCCTGCTAAAGACTGCAAGATACGTCAGCGGAAGCCTATTAACGCTGCGTCATCGTCTTTGCTTTTTTTTCTCGAACTTATGTATATTCAATTGTTAATATATAATTTCAAAACAGTAATCGAACAAATTTCTTTAAGCCGGCTCCAGATGCTCGTATCTCAAAGCGCGAAGGCTTTCAAATGTATTTCAAAACCCCAATTATTTATAGTCACAAAGCTGTCAATTTTTCGCCGTAAGCTGCTTAACGAGCAGTTGTTCGGCATGGCTGCGCTTTTTTTTGGAGGGTATGGAGTGAAAATTGATTAGTACTTTTAATGTCTGCTTATGTCAGGTGAACAGGTGAAATCAGTATTGCTTTCATCCGTTTCATCCATCCGCTTTGAGATACGAGCATCTGAAGCCGGTCTTCAAACCGGCTCCAGATGCTTGTGTCTCAAATTTAGGGGAACCCCTAGCTCATTAAGTGATAATTCCGTGACGACTTCATACTTTAGGCATGTTTTGATGAAGAATATATTACATCACACCCATTTCGATAGCGAAGTTACCCTTTTAAAATCGGTTCAGCAGTCAGGCAAGCCTGGCCTCGAGCATTGAGATAATACCATATGACTTAACTTTCTTCTTAACCACTTGCGATCGTGTGGCTGCTATCAGACCACTGTTGATTTTGTTTTATTGTGATTTTTTCTCTTAAGTATACTAAATTGTTAGATATGAATTACTGAGTAAAAAAAAACTCATTTCAAAACATCAATCCAACAAATTTCTTTGAGCCGGTTCCAGATGCTCGTATCTGAAAGCGCAGAGGCTTTCAAACTTGTTTCAAAATCTCAATTATTTATAGACACAGAGCTGTCAATTTCTCACCATAAGCTGCTTAACGAGCAGTTATTCGGCATAACTGCGCTCTTTTTTGGAGGGTATGGAGTGAAAATTGTTTTGTAATTTTAATGTCAGTTTACATCAGGTGAACAGGTTAAATCAGTATTGCTTTCGTCTTTGGGGAAGTTGGGTGTTTATTCAACTCATAGATGCCTTGTTCCAGTGCTTCCTAATATTAGTAACCGACAGGAAAGCCTCCTCTTGTTTCCTGTGTCTTGCGATGAAAATTAATCAGCGCATTTCAAGTACTCAAAGGTGACTTCAAACGACCTTTTTTCAGACTCTTACGGGTAGTTTTGCGAGTATTTGGCTAATATTTTTATTTTTTGAGAAAAATCGTGTACTCCACAGTTGTTCGAAAGGTGGTTAGCAATAATTTAGATATGAAAGTTTAACCTGTCTTTGACTTCTCCTGAAATAAAGCGGGTAACAGGGATTACATTTTAGGGGTTTTACCCTTGGTGAGCGGTGAAACCGTATAAAAAAATAAATACAATTCACTGTCTGCAAAGCTTCAAAACTAATAAAAAACTCTTGGGTAATCCGGCCTCTGTTAGCTTCATCGTGCCTTGAACAACCCGGCCCAGGAGTCTCTTTTACTATGAATTACAAAATAGGAAAAGTTTATTTCATTGAGGGTTATCAAGTCCTTTGTGATCGAAAAGTGATAAACAATTTGTGTCAGTGCCTGTAACTTGCTTTGCCACTTATGTATTTCCCCTGCATAATTATTCAAATAGTTAGTTCTCTAAATCAAACTCTCTCCTTCAACAAGCCAACTTGTCTTGTCTCTTCCATTTAAAGACCAGAAGCTATGAGCCATTAGATCAGTAGAGAGTGTTTTGTCACGCTCATTTGAATCTCATTTGCAAAACTACATTGTAGGATGTCAGTAAACACCAAAAGAAAAAACAATAAAGGAAATCGAGGGAATTGGCAACTTTATTAATGAAAACATTGTTAGCGTATCGTTGAAAACGTTTCTCAGAAGGATTATCATTTCCATCCAAGCTTGTTGAAAATTATTTCTGTAGTAAAAATTTGACGCGTGCTCCATACGAAATGAACCCAACTCTTTTTTGTTAGGTTTTATCAAGTGAGATGATAACGTAAATTGGCCACGGTAAAGAGTTTCAAAGCTGACGTTTCGAGCGTTAGCCTTTCGTCTGAGCGAATGGGTCTCGAGTCCCTTTGAATCAATCTGAAATTTAAAAAAAAATATGTATATATTTTTAGCCATAGGCAATTACGAAGTCTACAACTTTGCATTTTTGAATACATTTTTGGATAAATTTTGTTAAGTGTATGACCTTTACGGCCCCACTTGAACAATCCTGCAAAAAACTACAATGAAAGCTGACGTTTATTGGGCTGAACGGGTCAAAGTAAATTTGATCCGGAAAAAAGTCGTGCGCCCCACATTCAATGGCAGAAAACTTTGTATAGAACAAATATGAAAATAAGTTTCGATTCTCGATAAATCGTGATTTGTTTGTTCAAATAAGAAGAAATAAAGGGAACGCTCGATTGAAAAATCTTGTTTTGTAGATTTCCAGCGCATTCTTAACATGAATGTGATCTCGTCCTATTTAGGATCACACATAATTTCAAAAAGACTTCGTAATGATATGATGCAATACTTATTGAATAAATTTTGTCGGGCATGACGGGAAAATGTCTGGCTTCTGTTATGACATGGAGACCTTACATGACGTTGAGCTAAATATTTTCCCCCAGCCCACCTACTCAGTCAATAAGTACAAAATATATATATGGGCATTAAATAGACTAATTTTACGAATTCTACAATTGAAAAACGGGGTAAGTTTCTTAAGAAACCGTGGTGCTACGTCGATTCGGTATTGTCAACTGAGTTGATAACGTAAATTAGCCACCGTTGAGAGTTCCAAAACTGACGTTTCGAGCGTTAGCCCTTCTTCAGAGCGAATGACGAAGGGCTAACGCTCGAAACATCAGCTTTAAAACAACGGAATTATTTAGAGTTGGAAAGTTTGACTCCTGCACGTTTAGCCTTATTGAGCCAACAATCTTTTCTTCTCCGACAGCCAGCTATGTTGTAGTTCAGTTAAGTTTCATGGTGCACAACCGATGTCGATCGGAGCATTCGTCTCGAAGATTTCCTCAAATTTTTATGTAAATGTATGGGGGTCGGACCCGGGATCAGGCAGCAAAGAGCGAACAGGACAAAGCTGTGGAATCTCGCACAACTTGATAAAGTTATTTTTTTTAAAGCGAAATAGTTAAAAATAATTATGGGCGTCAAATGAAACAACTCCAATCCTATGATTGTTTTATGGATGGTGGATCGAGGGAGGATGCTGTGTAATCTATGTAATGTAGTAGAGCGCCTTTGACGACACAATAGTGTCTTGGCATTACCCTTTAGTTGAAAAAGATCCAGTTTCAGCCTTGGTTGATCACATCCTTCGTAATAAACAAGCGGCACTCCTTCAGAGGGTCTTCCCCCTTTGGGGTGAACGCACAGACCACTTTATATGTGCATAAGGGACATCCCAGGTCTCCTGAACAAGTATGCAAACAGGAAACCCGTACAAGAATGCTGTGTCAGTAACTGACTCAGAGTATGTTCGCTGTACCACCTTATGTAAACGATAATGGGTCTGAGTATCGGCCCCCTTTGGTGCATGTGAACACACAGACCACTTCTCGTGATATGTGCATGAGGGACATCCCGGGTTTCCTGAAAAAGCATGCAAACTGGAAACAAAACATGATCAGATGTGGCAGCAAGCATGTGAATGGCAGTGTAAATATAGTTTTATTTCAGCTAACATGTTCACCGAATCACCCTAGGCAAACAAAACATGATTACTTTAGGCTTCCCTAGATTTCAATTCAATTCAAATTGCGCTTTTCATTTCTCCCTATTGATATTTAAGCATAGACAGCATCACTGTATTGTCGCCATTTTTGTTACTACCTAATTCTCTCTGTAATTACTTTGGGAATATACAGTTTTTTCACAATTATTTCTTATAAAATTATAAAGATAAGTAAATAAGTAACAACTTTTTTTTAGGGAGGGTAACACACGATAGTATAACTGATAAACTAGTGGCCCTCTGTGTTAAAAATTCAACCGAGAAATCATAAAATAACTATGAATAGCAAAAAGTATGTATATCAATCACAAAACATTTATCATCTACAGTCAAAAATATTTACAAAAAAATAGTTAAAAACACATAGATATCTCTATTAAATAACTAAGAATAATACAAAGTATGAATATTAATCGTAAAACATCTTTCATCTACAGTTAAAAATATATACAAATTAATTTAAAGACACAAAGACATCTCTATTTTCATCACTATGCTATGAAATGTTTTTGTTATGGCCGAACTGAGGGTGCTAGGTATGTTTGTTCTGATTAATCACCTTGTCACACCTCACCATAGTCACTAACCTGAACAACGTTACTTCTATGAAAACTGTGTCAAAAATACTTTCTGAAATTATTACGATAGATAAAGGGTCATAACGAAGTTTCCTTGTCGAACTCTACCAACCTTGACACGATGGATTTCCTAGCTGCATACAAATAACTTTCAAAGCCCACGTCTAAATTTGTCAAAACGACGTTTGCATATACATTTAAATATTCTTGAAAAAGTACTTTGTCATGTAACAAACCTTAAGGGCTATTTTCTCTTTAGTTATCTTTTTAAGTGTGCAACGGGTCCTTTATAATTTTCATATTGTCAATCTTGTTTTTGTTTCGGCTGATCTTAACCGCAAAAGTATGAAATTTTAGGAAGAAAGTCGTTTTGAAAAGAGTCAACAAAGCGAGGTTACATACATAGTATGCGGGATCTGTTTAACGTAATTCAGCATGATTCTCTGGTAAAGTGAGAAATAGTGACGTTGGTCAAATATTAACAGCTTTCTAACTGTCACTTCTATAAGCTGGAGACCAACACTTTCATGGACAGAGTAGAGTTAGATCCCGAGTTAACACGTTGTATTAAGTTCTTTCAAGAAAGGAAATAAATAAATATCAATTGAAGGAGGAGTATGAGAATGGCCATGTCTTCATAAAAAGTGAAGCTTGGCTGCTCCTCTATGTTAGGGTCAAGTTCGTTAGAACTTAAGGATTCTGTGGTAGCAAGGTCCACGCACATGTCGGGATCAGCAGGAGTGCCTCTGTTGCCGTATTCTGTCTGGGACAGCGGTGCAACGGTCTCCTCGGCTAGTGCGTTGATATAACCTGGTATTTTGGGTTCCCCCTGGTTATTTCTCAGTGGCATGTAGCACTCCCTGGTTGATGTAAGGTCTTTGTAACCTGCGTTTTCATACAAAATGTGCCCGCCCTCGGAGTCATCCTTGGCATTTTCAACACCAGTTGCGTGGCCCTCACCATATAACGAGTAAGCGCAAGCAACGCCATCGGTGTGATTTTCGAGACGTCGGTCCTCGTTAGAAACCTCGGAGGCTTCTGTAGGGCAGGAAGAAATCGAATCGGTGCTCTCAACGGACTCAGCCGTATGTTCCACATTTCTTATTCTCCAAGAGGTGGATTCTTCAAACACCGTTTCTGTCGCGTTACTCACTTGGTTCGTTTCATACTCGTCGGCAACGTTGGACGCTCCGTCAGAGTGATTACTTGGAACTGATTGGCGGAATGCAAGGAAACCCTGTGGCGGTGGTAACTGAGAATTCGTGTGGCTGTGTTCGTATACCTCAGCGGTGTCGGTCTCGTTTTGGCCAACGCTGTCGACATACAGGTATTTGTGATGAGTAAAAAATCCTTGAGAACACATTTTCTCGATATCTTCTCTGGATGGGTGTTCCTCAGAGTTCGTCACGTGAATTGCATCGTCAGGCTGAGATACTGGCAAAACCGGCCATTCACTCTTCTCATGTTTGTTCAGCCACAATGCCATTATCCATGACAGCATCGGTTCCCTTCAAAAAGTGCAAGAGATATGAGAGGAATTTTGAGATCCAGTTGAAACAAGAAACAAAATTATACCTCACCACAATTAATATCATTGACTGGTAAACAAAACTGCGATGAAGCAGATTGAAAAAAAATTGAGAAATTGACTCTTTGGTCAGTGAGTATCCAAGGTATTTTGAGAGGAGGGTAAGAGAATCGCTTTCTACATCCGCTAGCAAAGCAAACCATACCTTCTTGAAAGACAATCAGTAATTGCGATGAAAGGAGGTCTCTGCGTTGGTTCATATGTCCAGCACTGATGCATCAAAATGTAAACCCAATGAGGACAGCCACTTGGCTGGTGAAGAGGTCCGTTTTCTTTCATATGATCTAGAATCTGAAGGATTAAAAATTTTTCTTAGTCTTCGTCCACACGTAACAAAGTCTGGATCTATTTCATCCAGCTTTGCGTTGTTGGCTTTTATTGTAACTTTAATTAGATTTATTTCGGGAGACCTCATTTTCGCGCTGAGTGTATTATAGATACGAACTTACCTTATCTGCCGGAATATTGTTGTAGGGCAGTGGAGTATCTCTATTCTGTTGACCAGCTGCGAACGCGGAGTACAGTTCCCATGCAAAGATTCCAAACGCCCACACATCACTAGCGTGAGAGTAGCGGTTCTCTTGGATCACCTCTGGTGCGCTCCTGTCATGAAAGAAAACTAATCGTGTCTAAAACTCTTTCGGTTAACTCTTATCACTTTTTTCGTAACAGTCCTCTAATGTGTATATATACACATCTATTTTGTTTTCATGGTTTAAAATGAACTGTATGAAAAAAGAAATGAGCATTTCCTTTAAATCCCAATTCCAGTCCGAGTTCCAGTCGCACCCTAATGACAAACAGGTCTAAACCCTCCTAACATATTCTGTTATTGAACCTGGACATGCAAATTACCTGAATATAGGCCGTAAAATAGGTGTCTAGTTGACGCCCAGCAGAAAACTAATTTTCTTACAGTACAGATTATCATTTTTCGAGTTTATGCTTACCAACGAGTTGAATCAGAAGGCAAGACAGCTTCTAGGACACATGAGGTACTAGTGGTTTCATAGGCACTAATTGTTAGCGATTTAGAGCGACCAAGCCGGCCAACCTGGACCTGAAGAAAATCATAACAGATAAGCCACATTTTGATTTATTTATTTTATAGTTCAAATTACAGGCCTCGTCCTAAAACTCTGTCTCAGACACGAGAAGAACAGAACGAAGCGCGCGGCCACGCAATACCTATAACTAGCGTACCGCTATCCGGTACTGGCGTGTGACAATGCTGAAACAAATTTTTCACGCGTTACGGAGAAAAAATTCGTGAGTCGTGTTTTACACTTGATGTTATTAGCGTGATAAGGGCCTCTGGAAAGTAGGCAAAATAACAATGAGCTTTATAAAATACATAATGTCTTCCTTGATTATTAGTTTCAAGAATTGATTGAGTGATATTGGCTAGATGAAGACGCTTTACATGAAATATGAAACGTCTAAGCTTGCCTAGACTCGTAGGGCGATCGACCATCTCCTGAGAATAAATTTGACGGTGTTCAGCTGTATTAAGTATCGAATGTACCTGCATACTTTTATTGAGCCTCACTGGACTTTAATCCCGTATATAGTACTTACCTTGTTTGGTGCCACCACATAAACGTGTTCAGCGCGAAGATCTCCGTGCACGATATGATTTACGTGAAGATAATGGAAAGCTGTGGAAACCTGGCAGAGGAATGTGTTCATGTCTTCTATCTGACATTTTCTACTGAGGACAAAATCCTTTAAATTTCCACAGGGTAATCTTGGCGAGATCTAATGAGAGAAGAATAAGTAAATGAAAATGCCATAGAAAAAATGACATTTGAAGTTCAAAACAAGCTCGAAGCTCAATTTTCGTCGTATAGCACGACAAGGAAATCCCACTAAAAGATGATACTCACTTATGGAGGGTCGAATAAAATCTTTAACAGAGACTAATTCCGTCAATAAGATTGCTGTTTCAAATACGATATAAACTTTAAGCAAACGAAATTTAAATTGGCCTTCTTTCAAAAGGCCTCTTGCAATGCCATTGAATACTGACATAGACCAATGAATACGGCGGAATCGGCAACAAGAAATATTATTACATTCTAGTAACACTGACTATAGGCAAAGTTGGTTGAAATTCTTATTAGGATGCGACTTATACGTCCAAAGTATAGCGTCTTACTTACGATGTCAGCGACTGGACTGCGGGAATCTAAATGTTCTATCCGCCTGATAGGGAGAAGACAACTATGACTGAGACATAGTAATTTTCTCAGGTGCTGTTTATCTCCTCCAGCGATTTTCTCTTTTATGGCATCCTAATGAAAAGAGGTATCAGCAATTCAGCACCAGCAAATATGATCAATCCGACCAAGCTATAGATGCATCAGCGATTGATGCACCGGTGACTTTGAAAGAGCTTAATCATAAGAAATTTAACCTGAACGTGTTCTGACATGCCACATCGTTTACCTCTCGCGCTTGCTAATTTTTTACTACTATTCTTATCATATTATCATCATCATCATTACCTGTATTATTATCATGATCAATACCATTATAATCAATGTGTTTATCATCATCATTACAGTAACAAATGTTAGTAGTATGTTTAATTGTATGATTTTTTTAAAATAAATACTAAAAAATTGAAGCAATTTCGGCAAACCTGTTGATAATTTGTCGGTAGATCCACAGGTGTTTCAGGAGTACCACATCCTTGAGGCTACATATTAAAGAAATAACAATAAATTCAAGGTGCACATGCATATTTTTATCTTTCTTTTCTATCAATTACTTTGGATGAATAACAATACTAATAATACTTACATGATGATAATAATGATAATAGCGATAAAACAAAGAGGTATAATTCAGGTGAGATCCACGATAGTAAAATATTAGAATTATTTTTTCATCCAGTTTTTCTTCTCTGGACACATTGATAAATGATGTACCTAACTCTTGTGAGTTTGGAAAATGAAATTACCTCGTATGTAACTTCTTCATAGTCATGTTGTTCTTCTGAAGTCGATTCAATGTCGCTGTAGTCTGAACGAAGTGAAAAAGTAATGATCAGTTCTTTGCCTGAATAATTGGTTCCGGCAACAAGAGGTGAAGTCTGTACTTGTGGGAAGTGGCTTATTCAGCCAAAGTTTATCTTGGTTTCTGTTGCATGAATCGACTAGATGCATTCCTACACCTCCCTTGATGGGATGTCTATCACAAGTTATTCCCCCAACATTTCGTTAGGCTTGCCCGACAGTTCACCGGTAACCATTCATACTCCTGGGTGGAGAGTAGAACTGTGAGAATAGTGTTTTTCATCCTAGAAATCAACATCGTCCATTGCGCTTATGTTAGGCCAAACTCAGTAAATGGTACTGAATGGAATTTGCGATGGAACCGTGTCAGTTTCACCAAAAGCTTAAAGGCTGATAAACAACAAAAGCATCAATAAGCGGGAAAGAAATGAATATTCTACGCGAATATTTTGCTGAATTAAATGTTGATCTTAGAGAAACACAGCTTATGTGATAAGTGGGGCGAAGTATAAGTGGGTCTGCCCGTTTTCAGTCATAATAAGGACTCGGAATTTTAGCCTTAAAATGAAAGAAATTTGGGAGTGAGTTACCTCACTCGTTACATAATTAAACCGGTATCTACCTGGAATGGTTTCATACAGAGAATCAGTTGATCCTTGTGATTGTTGTGGTTCCTGTAAAAACAAACGCGGAAGAAGAATGTAGCAAAGCATAAGAAAAAAAAATGTTGTTTGTCTCGTCATGAACATGGAATCAAAAAAATACCCATGGGAAACCCTCGCTCTCTGGGCTACGATGCTCTGCCACTATGCCGCATAGAACTCAGTCGTTTGTTAGGTAATAACAAGATTCATGAGTGACGCGCGTGTTGCATGCTGGGAAATCTCTACGAGAAAGAAGGCCTTACTTAAGAGCTAATGTCAACATGCATCAGACAAACAGCAGCAAGTCACCCAAAATTTGCTTTCACTCCTATTTTCATATGTTGTAGCCCAATATGTCCTAATAATTGTGGTTTAGTTTTTTTGTGAAAATATATTTCAGTTTTGGAGAAATGATTTTTTTTAGTTCCACCACTCAAATATACAAATTTCACCGTACATGAGGTCACACAACTCGGGTAATATTCAACGAATATACTTGACCTCCGGTATTTCTGTCAACATAATCCTTTGTGTTATCATCTAAACTTAATCCCCTGTCATTATTGAAGCTGGCAAAGAAATATCTATTTTTTGGTCAATATTTTCGTCCGACATAGTCGCTAGCAAGTAAATTTTGCCGGACTTTGAGTTCGTCTCCTTGAAGATAGCAAAAAACGCAAGGAAATTTTTACAGTAACTTTATAACCTTTTTTTGTCTTTTAAAAGCTAGAGGCTTAGTAGATTCTGTCATATCGGTCATTGTTAAAACTGTCTTTGTTTTGATGCTACTTTTCGACACAGGAAAAGTAATTCGTATGTATGAACACGAATTTTGGGAGAATTGCCAAAATATTTCAAATTTGTTCGATGAATGCTGACATCCTCTCTTAAGGCTTGTAATGATATGATTATAAGAGAAGATTGTATCGAGAGAAGGAATTAGCATTCAATGTTGAAGTGGCTTCTACTAACTTGAAGTTGACATATCTATCAATACTAAACTTACACTTTCAATGTTCTTCTCTAAAGTTGATGGGTCAAGCCGCGGTTTCTCTTCACCTGGAAAAAGTCAAATAAAAGGGGATGCTCAGCTAGGAATGTCGTCCTTATAATTTACTGCCTTGACTTGCTGCTATCATTTGTAAACCGCATCGTTTTCACCGTCGAACAGGTTAAATGAAATCCAGAGATGCAGTATTGCAAATATAGATAGCTATGAAAGTAAAAGAAAGCTAATATAAAAATGAGAAGGTTAAACATGGTCAAAACAACTTTATCTCAAAGCTGTTGAGATTTGATTTTCACCGGTTACACCATAAATGGCGCCTTTTCATCTGAAAGCTTGCGCCCTCTCCTTCTTCCACATAGAAAGACGAATCGTTTCCAACAACATATGCGTTTTACATGATTTATAGTAATTTAAGTTCGTGGTCAAGCTCGTGGAAATGCATGTGATGTTTTTCGTTTGTGATGGGTAAGTTATAAATGCGACGCTTCGACAGAGTGACAAAAAACTGGAAATGTTTTTGTTGAGTTTTCATTAAAATTTATAGCATAGAGCCGTGATGGTGTTGTCAAAGTGTTCCATACGTTACGAAATCACCAACCTGAGCTTACTATCTTTAATCGCATTTTTTGGAATTGTTCTTTGAGTTCAAACAGGCTGATTCTTTCACTCCTTTTTCTTTTCCAGCTCTGCTTCATAAGGTTGTATTCATCATCTTCGATGCAACTTTCTTGGGGTAATATCTCCTCGTCGTTTTTTTGCAAAACCTTAAAATAGCATGAGAACGCTTTGCCTAACATTTGAATTGTGTAACGTTTAGATTCAAATAATTAAAGTAAAAGAATGCGTTCTTTACAACAGATTCATCTTTCTGGCACGATCTTTCAAAATGGCTAAAGGCGGGCTAAACTCTCTTAACCTTTTGCTCTTCTACAGGCAACAGCCATGACAACGAAATTGGAAAGATTACAGTTTGTATCGCTATGCACGAAAGGTATTGCTATAACATAAGTTTTTGTTAAGTTGTGTTCAAATGGTAATGCCAGTATTACTTTTTGTGGAATTGTCTAACTACGGTGGCTTTCGATGTCCTAAAACGCTATGGTTGTAGTTTTGGTATCGTTGTCGTGATTTCATCGTATAAGTAGTAAGTTAGAGACACGAAACGAAACTGTAATTCTTCTTACATAATCGACGACATGTTCATCCCTTTGTATGTCTTTGTATGGGCGACAACCTAAGGTGAGCGTCTCGTACACAAAGACTGCAAAGGCCCAAACATCAGAGGGTATGGAATAACAATTTCTTGATAGAGTCTCTGGAGCTTTGCATCTAACCGGTAGTGTTTCACCACTTTCACCTTTACATTCTTTTAAGCCATCGTAGTCCAAAATGTATTCGTATCCAGATGATTTGTCACCTAAAAACGTGATTAGAGCAGGAGGTTGAATATTATTCCGCTAGTTGTCATTCCTTTCTGGGACATCAACTTCTTCGAAAATAATAGAGAAAAAATTGTATTAACATTCGTCTTTGCTTATTTCTACTGACTCAGCCTGAGTTGAATGAAGCTGTACAATAACAAAGATTATGAGCAGCAGAAAAGAAACTCTGATAGTTGACCAATCTTACCGTCTTGGTTTATTCCGTACTGCAGCACCCCTAAAGAGTGCATTCCACTAAGCTTGGCAAAATAACCATCGCCAACTAGAATGTTTTCCGCCATAGTAGCCCGATGAACCAAATTAAGCTGTTGGTGTAGGTATAGGAGGGCCTCTGTTACTCCAATTATCATTTTGTAAAGAGTAGCTGACGACAGAGGCTTGCATTCCCTTGAGCCTCTTACAAATTGGAGAAGGTTGCCGTATTTTTCATATGCAGTTATTATGTGATGAGGAAGAGTTGTAGTGTTGTAGGCGAGAAGACAAGGGATGTTTGGATGCTTCCTTTGATTGCTCAATTGCCACAGGTTGTATGCTTCTGCACGTAGTCGCTTCTTCACCTCCGACTGTGTTGACGTTTCTTCCTCCTCGAGATCCATCCTGGTGACGGCTAAGACTTTTACGGCCACCTCTTGGTGTTTTAACACGCCGTGGCTGACAAAATAGCTCGAAGTCTCGCAACTGGGTTCAGTAGTTACCATGTTGTCAATTTCCAAAGTGTGTGTTTTGTAACATGACACCAGGTGCTGATTGTGGAGTTCTGTTGGAAGCGTGGGCCGGTCACTTTGGTTGTCAAAGAAATGAGGTGACAACAACAATGATCTCCCGATAGAAAGGTCAGAACAGAACAGCATCCCTCTAGAGAAGCGGTCAACAATAGCTCTGCACTCTGTTTTCCTCCTTACTTTTCCATCTTCGCGAAGATTAGCCAGACATAAACTTGCTTCGAATCTCAATGCTAAAAAAAAAATGATTATGATTATTATGGCGATACCAAGTGGTATCCTTCCTAGCCAGATCCTCACCTACAAAGACATGGACACAGATGGCTTGATCATTCTAAATCCGGGAGTTTAAAGGTATCAAGGACGCACCCACGGTAACTCGAGTGGTAAGTAGCATAGATCGAAATAAAGTCACAGGATAGATCTTTTCTTCGTCTAATACACTTATCAAGAATCTTGGTCTATCAGAATGAATGGGATCCTTAAGGAAATCAGCTTTTGCCAAAAGGATCAAAATCAATAATAATCATAATCCCCTTCGGTATGTAGTTGTTGAACAACTCTTCTAACGCTTGCTTATCATTCCTGTATTCCTATATTCCTTTGGGGAACGGGGATGGCGCAGTGGTGAGAACACTCGCCTCCCACCACTGTGGCCCGGGTTTAATTCCTGGACCTGGCGTCACATATGGATTCAGTCTGTTTTCGGTTCCTTTCCTTGCTCCGAGGGTTTTTCTCCCTCCTAAAAACTAATATTCCAAATTCCAATCGACCTGGAAACAGTGGACAAGAAGAGCCACCTTGTGGATTGTCCACTGCTAAATTGTTATTATTATTATTATTATTACTATTATTATTATTATTATTATTATTATTATTATTATTATCACTATTATTGTTATTATTATTACCTTTCCTCGCATTTTTCATTGCAATCTCTGATAGTATAGATGCCATCAGCAAACAAAACCTCCAGTCCTTTCCTCCTCCACCATTAAGATGAGCGGTCAGCACCAGCCTTAAAAGTTTCATGGTCCTCCTCTCTTTGTTAATCTGTTCCGGACGTTCCGTGTAGACCTAAACGAATTGATACAGCTTGTTTACTCTTGGGTGAACCTTGAGGGTAGACAAGTTGATCTTAACAGTATTTTGTTTGTTTTTGTGGTCTGTCTCTTTTCGAGGGTTGTTTCAAAGGGAAGGCGGGAAGAGGGGGAGGAAAGATGGAGAGAAAGGATCTTGATGGAAAATGGTAAATATTTAACACTGATGAGATATTTTACGGCCTCAGTGAAGTTTTTAAATTTGAGACAAAATGGTCTGATTGCATGTGAAATAAGTTTTCCAAGATCTTGGCTATTCAAGATCTAATTTGATTTTCGATTTATTCGTCTTTTACTTTTAAATAATAAAGTGCAAAACCTAGGATCAATATCAGTATCAGGGCAACTGCCCACCTACCCCTCCCCTATCTCAACAACAATCAATTGATAACAAGTTAGGGTTAATGTTGGGTTAGGGGAGGGGTGGGTGGGTAGTTGCCCAGATACTGATATTGATCCAAACCTATGTACATAACATGTTTGTACCAGTAGCCAAACGGGACTCTGCTGAATAAAGGACACCTACCTTCCCGTGCAGATAATAGAGTATACAATGCAGCTCGCACCATGCCACTTGAGATTTCTTCAGCTTCTTTAGAAGTGACAACCCCTCATTTGGAGTGTCCGAGTTTGCACAATATCTCTTGCATTCCTCGAGGTAATTTCCCAAATCTGAACCCACTCTCTTTTTGGGTGACCGCGTAAGATAATTAATAGCCTCCTGGATGAACTCGAATGAGTATTTTAAAATGTCTTTTTTTTTCAAAGTCATCTCACCGAAATAGTTTTTAATTTCCCGGAGCTGTTTCAAGTTGTTCTCTGAGTCAATTTTAGAGAACCCTGTTTGATTCTGGTGAATGATTAACTCCGAGAGTATGCAGCCGTATACTGTTAGCCTGAGAAGTCGTATTGAGTCTGCCTCCTCTTTGAAAGCTCCGTCTGGGGAGACGATGGTTAATCGCAGTATCTTTTCCACACTCAACAAATTTTGTTTAGCACTCTGAATGGAATCCCTGCATAGCAGATGCTGAAGTTGTTGTAGAGAGTGCTTTACAACGTCACCGCAACGTCGGCTGCTACTTACATGAGCAAGTACCCTGTATACGTCAATGTTGTTTGCGCCAGATTTTCCCCAAATTTCTTGTTCCAGGTATGGCAAAATACCGTGAAGTATGAACAGTTCTTTTTCCTCTTTCAGCGAACCAGCACAGGTGTCCATTTCCCGAATGAACTTCTCTGGGTTTTCAAGAAAGGATTCGACGGACCACTGAAAATCATTTTCACCTGTTAAAGCATAAAGTAGAAAACCTTAGGATCAGAATAGCAATGTTGATTCAAATAATGAGTAAATCGCGGTCTCGTTAACCTACAAAAGTCTCAATGTTTTGGGGGCTGTTCTTATGATCTTACCTATCTGGATAAGAATTCCATTGATTGGTTTTGGAGTCCAGTCTCCCACATTTGTTTGTCGATAATATTTGCGGGCACAGTACTCCTCCTCATTGTTCCTAGCGAAATAGCTGAGCCTTGCAACAGTTTCATGGTTCTGTGAAGTGCTAGTGTTTCCGTCTTCTTCTGAAATAACTAAGAAATAACCAAGTAACAGAACTGAAAACGCTGTAGAAAGCATCGTCAACAGAAAATCCTTGTTGCCTTTTTTAACTTCATATTTCAAAAATTACATAGGAATCAATTACAAATAAATAATACCCGTTGGTTGATTCGTTGGGGCACCAATGATACGAGCACGGGGGCCGACTGCTACGTTACCACTTCCAGTTACATTGACGTTATACTTTTTGAAGACAACATTGGGGCGTCTGCTTGGCACGGCTAAAGTTGGGATTTTAAGAAGAATTTTGTTTGTAACTAAGTCATTTCAGCTACATCTACTTCCTTATCAATGAACGGTTTCTTCATGCACCAAATACGATTTCAATGAAACGTGTGCATTCGAACAAGAACATTGATTAATGCAGCATACAACAAATGTAAGCAATATATACTTCATTATTTGGTTACTACTCCACGTTTGTCAAACACAAAAAACGATGCCGAATAACAAAAAAATACCGATCTTTCTAAAACCTTACCAGAAAATTCTCCGAAAAAATCTTCATAGCTTGAGTCGCTGATATCTTCAAGATAAAAATGTAGTTATAGTTTGCTTATGAAGTGCCTCAAAACACTTTCACTTGGCTGTCAAGTGTCTACTTATGATTGGGAATTTGTGTCATGCCACTCTCAAAGCACTAGATTAAAAATAGTAGTTGTAGTCATTCATTAGGCAGTGGGCTGTTAAACATATGGAAATGAGCCTCCTGAAACTATGCCCAGTTCAAAATTATTTTGTTTTATCAAATAAAGTTAATAATATATAGTGGCCGCAGTAAAGACTTCTTAAAACTGTCGTCTCGAGCGTTAGCCCTTTGTCAGAGCGAAAGATCCTAAGTTAATCAAATATGTAGTCTAACTGTCTCTCAACACCTATTGTATCAACTCCTTGAATGATTAAAAGACTCGTTTATAGCAACTTTATTGAAACAAATTGGTTTTCCCGCAAACCTATCCTAATGGAACTCAACTTAATACAAACAAAAAACCCTCGTTAATAAGACTCAGTTGCAATAAAAATTTGCCTTAATCGGGCTTAGGTAATCAGCAAAGAATAATCTCAATAATCTGAAAAATTCGACTATAACTTTGTCTATTTATACAGACAATGTATCTTGCCAATCGTACCGGATACGCTTAGCAAGATACATAGTTAATATAAGTTCCAGAACGTTCAAATAGTTCCATCATTTGCATAGCGTGATATGTGACGTAATATCAGACTAAATTAACAAATTTTTGTCAACAAATTAGCAATTCCGCACACTGGCTCCAATATTCTATCTGTGGAGTAAGAGGCCTGATTAAGAGGCCTGCATTAAACTTTCCGCCTTCGATTCCGCGAATCTTCGTCAGAAAGCTTCCAGCATACTTATTTAGGGACGCCCTCTTAGAAACGGCGAAATTGATACACTCAGTCCGCACACTTTGGCCAAGCTAATTTACAGACACGATCAGACAGCGAACGCCGGGCAAATGGTAATTAAAAGACACTTGTGCCGATAAACCTTGGCTCAATTTCAAAGAGCACGAAACGGTGCGCAGTGTCTAATTCGGATGTAAAATGGTCGAGTGGTTATTGAAGTAATCATTGATTATTTGATGAAATGATACCAATCACCCAAACGCATATCAAATTGTAGCTAACCGTCGTATGCGGACATCTCCAGTGGTGAACAGAATGAGACCAGCAACCACAGAATCGTCCTTCAACTTACGATGTAGCGCCCAATTTCCTTATCAGAGACGATAATGAGAGGTCGTTAAAGTAGCGAGACAAAATAACAATTTAGGGGAACCCCCGGTTCATTAAGATGCAAAATAAAAGCTGACATGGTATTTTCCCTGAAAAACTAATAACTCTCAAGTCACAATGCTTATGCACGAAATTAAGTCCACTTCAGCAACCGCCCCAACTTAGTCCTTGCAATATTGTACCTTGTCACCACTGGCGAACTCAAATCTGCGTAATTTCTTGAGACAAGTATAGGTGACATGTCCGTTACTCTGTGTTAGTGCTTATTTGTTGTTTGGTTAAGCCGCTGAGTCGACCTTGAAATACATTGTAAGGAACAGTTTATTTATAAAGTTGTAAAATAGAAAATTTTAACTCTATGATTGTAAAGAGTGGGTAGGAAGAGAAATCTGTTAAATGCGAATGGTCAGTGTGAAAAATAACTTTTCAACCACAATAATTTTACCCCCCTGGCGAATTCTACACGGAAAGTTCAACACAATCTTTGCGGAAGTCTCAAAATAATTTGTCATGGTTCTGGTATTTATTTTCCTTTTTTCGAGCCTTCATTTTTCAAACCCAATCACTTTTTTCGCTTAGAGTTATTTAAAATGGGAATATGGGTCATATGAGAATAAACAAGCAGTTTCAGGCAATAAATCAAATAAACAAATTTAACCAGGAAAGCCAAGTCCTTATCTTTCCCTGTTAAACGCCGCAAAGTAAGTCAAGCGGAAGTCTATTTACGCTGCATCGTCTTTGTTTTCTTTTTCTCGAGCTTAAGTATATTGAATTATTAGATACATATTACTAGGTAACAAAAAAAAAAACTTCAAAACACCAATCCAACAAATTTTTTTAAGCCGGCTCCAAATACTCGTATCTCAAAGCGTGAAGGCTTTCAAATTTGTTTTAAACCCCAGTTATTTATAGACAGTAAAGCTATAAATTTTTCGCTATAAGCTGCTTGCCAAGCGGTTGTTCGGCATGAGTGCGTTATTCATAGAAGGCTATGAAGACAAAATTGTTTTTTACTTTTAATGTCAGCTTATATCACGTGAACCACTTATATCACTATTGCTTTCATCCGTTTCTGGATGCTCGTATCTCAAAGCGCGAAGGCTTTAGTGGGTTTAACTCTTGGCAAGAGTTGAAACCGTATAAAACAAATTAATACAATTGATTTTCTGCAAAGCTTTAAAACTAAATAAAAAATTATTAGCTAATCTGGCCTCTGTTAGCTTCATCGTGCTTTGAACAACCCGGTCTAGGAGGCCTCCTTTTATTATGAACCACAAAATAGGAAAAGTTTATTTCATTGAGGGTAATTGAGTCCTATCTGATCGAAAAGTGATAAATAACATGCGTCAGTGTCTGTAACTTGCTTTGCCATTTGTTTTTTTCCCGTGAATAATTATTCCGTTGGCTAGTTCTCCAAATCAAACCCCCTCTTTCAACAAGCCAACCTGTCTTGTCTCTTCCATTTAAAGACCAGAAGCTGTGAGCCACTAGACCAATAGAGAGTGTTTTGTCAAGCTCATTTGAATCTCATTTGCAAGACTATATTTTAGGATGTCAGTAATCACCAAAAGAAAATACAATAAAGAAAATCGAGGAAATTCGCAATTTTATTGATAAAAACATTGTTAACGTGTCGTTGGAGACGTTTCTCAGAAGGATTCTCATTTCCATCCAAGTTTACTGAAAATTATTTGTCGTAAAATCTGACGCGTGCTCCGTACGAGCTGAACCCAACTCTTTTCTAACCAAGATGTATTCGGTTTCATCAATCGAGTTGATAATGTAAATTTGCCACGGTAAAGAGTTTCATAGCGGACGTTTCGAGCGTCAGCCCTCGTCTGAGTGAATGGGTCTCCAGTCACTTTAAATCAATCTGAAATTTAAAAAATATATATCTTTTTCACAATAGATGATTACGTTGTCTACAAGTTTGCATTACTGAATACATTTTAAAATATATTTTGTTTTAGTGTAGGACCTTTACAGCCGCGCTTAAGCAGTCCCGTAAAGCTGAAGTTTGTTGGGCTGAACGGGTCGAAGAGAACTTGATCCGGAAAAAAATCGTGCGCCCCACATTTAATGGCAAAAACTTTGTATAAAACAAATATGAAAATAAGTTTCGATTCTCGATAACTCGTGACATTTTTTGTTTAGAGGCGAAGAAATAAAGGATACGCTCTTCTGAAAAATATTGTTTTGTAGTTGTTAAGCGCATTCGTCACATGCTCGTAATCGCGTCCCATTTAGTTTCAGACATAATTAAAAAAGACTTCGTGATGATATGATGAAATACCTTTTGTAAAATTTGGTCGGGCAGGACGGGAAAATGTCTGGCTTCTGTTATGACGTGGGGACCTTACATGACGTCGAGCCAAATATTTTCCCCCGGCCCTCCTACTCAGTCAATAAGTACAAAATATATATATGGGCATTAAATAGACTAATTTTACGAACTCTACAATTGAAAAAAGGGGAAAGTTTCCAAAGAAACTGTACGCTGTGCTGCTGCGTCGGTGGGAGAGTATAACAAAATAATTCGGTATTTCCAACTAAGTTGATAACGTAAATTAGCCACCGTTGAGAGTTTCAAAGCTGATGTTTCGAGCGTTAGCCCTTCGTCTGAACTAATTGGAAAGTTTGACTACAGCGCGTTTAGCCTTACTGGGGCAACAGTCTTTCCTTCTCCGACAGCCAGCTACATCGTAGTTCAGTTAAGTTTCCATGGCGCACGACCGATGTCGATCGGAGCATTCGTCTCGAAGATTTCCTAAAAAATTTATGTAAATGTGTGGGGGTCGTAGCCAGTATCAGGCAGCGAAGAGAGAGCAGGACAAAGCTGTGGAATCTCGCACAACTTGATAAAGTTATTTTTTTAAAGTAAAAACCTTATTTAAAATAGTTATGGGCGTCTATTAATACAACTCTAATCCCATGCATGTTTTAAGGATGGTGGATCGAGGGAGGATGCTTTGTAATCTATGTAATTTAGAAGAACACCTTTGACGACACAATAGTGTCTTGGCATTACCCTTTAGTTGATAGAGATCCAGTTTAAGCCTTGGTTGATCACATCCTTCGTAATAAACAAGCGGCACTCCTTCAGAGGGTCTTCCCCCTTTGGGGTGAACGCACAGACCACTTCTTATGTGCATGAGGGACATCCCAGGTGTCCTGAAGAAGCATGCAAACAGGAAATCAATACAAGAATGCTGTATCAGTAACTGACTTTGGGTATGTTCGCTGTACCACCTTGTGTAAACGATAATGGGTCTGAGTATCGGCCCCCTTTGGTGTGAACACACAGATCACTTCTCGTGATATACGCATAAGGGACAACCCGGGTGTCCTGATAAAGCATGCAAACTGGAATTAAGCACAAGCATGCTGTATCAGTGACTAACAAACCCTTATGTTCACTGAGCCACCCTAGGCAAAAAAAAACATGATCAGATGTGGCAGCATACCATATTTTTCTTCCTTTTCTTTTCTAAACAAAACACATTGTGAATGGCCATAAGATGCTTCAAATAGGAGAGCAAATTGTTTTATTTCAGCTGAGCTACTAGTGCTCTCTAACCTTTCAAATCTGGCATCTTCTGGATCACAGTTGCCAGTTGAACTCACGATTACAAGTTCGGCGCCAAAGTCGACACGACCTCCTGGGAAAAGGTAAATATTTAGTAGGGAAACCTTCTATGAAGAATAAAAAACAAGCTGAAAAGAAAACACAGCTCTCTTTCATCCAAGTCATTAACCCAACACTGCAAAGAAGCAGTAATATTTAACCAGTTTGGAAATTAGGGGGATGCCATCGTTCGATTGGGTAAAAGACAGTTATGTACGAATCATCTTTGTAGTGCCTTCACTAATTATCTGTGAATTCAGGTCAATGTACTTAAAGTCCTCAGAGTCAGCCTCATCTTTTGAGAAATTAGAGGACACACTTCATTGGGGAATAATTCACTCGCTGAGACAATGTACTTGAACTATCAAATCCAGAGAACAAACCTCTCGGACAAACATATTTTTTGCTACATTTGTGCATCAGAATACCATCATCGTAAATGAACTTCTGATATTCTTTCGAGCATTCAGCAGAGGATTTGTAAACCAGCTTAGTTCCGTCGGGTATCTGGCAGCTTGATCGCTGAGGCTGGACACAAAATTTGTCCACCGCCCGGATGGGACTTTCTGTTGGGCGGAAGGAAAGCAAAAGGAGTGATTTAGATGTATCTTCTTTCTTACAATTGATTGATATATTAAGACAAGCATCGGGAATGATTAAATTAACACACCTGACAGAAGGATATCGTCAATTAAGAAGAATTATAAGTTGTTAATATAGAAAATTGACCGTCAGTCTGCCGTAATCAAATCAAGCCTAAGACAGAGGGCGAGCCTTACTTCTTTAAGAAAAAAAGGTTTCGTATACTTTGTCTTCCACCCTCGTAGTTTTTGAATAAACAGATAAAAAAAACCAAGCGGAAGTTGGTCCAGTTTTGCTAAAGGAAGGTTCTGCAACAGACTGAAAATTATTCATAATATCCGTTAATGGGGGCTAAAATGGCGCACTGTAACACAGGATACGGTTTGTTACCTGGACAGTAATTACACTCCTTGGTTTCCTTCTGCAGAATTTTCAGGTCACACTGTTTGCCGCCACACTTGGGTTTGGGATTGTCACACTTCTTTTGTCTGGTCATTCTACCCGGCTGGCAGAGCTTGTCACAACGACTCCACTCACCCCACCCTGATACACCACCATCAACTGTACAAAGAAAAGGGATTTTCACATGTGTTCTGCATTTAAAAAAAATAATACACCATACCAATCAACGCGCCTATTACGTTCCACTGTTATTCCTTCGTTCTCAGTAATAAAGGTCTTTGCTTTTCTCCACAAAGCGATTCCATCACAATCGATCTTTGGGTTTGTTTGCTGTGTTTTGGGTTTCTTTTTTTAGAGTTTTTCTCATTGGCAATAACTTCTTTCTGCAATTTTAACATTTTTTAAGCTTTCGTTTATCGTCTCACACACCAGGTTTCCTACTCTGGTCGCAATCATCTTCATTTATCCAATACCATATAACCCCTGGATCAAACATCCCCGGATATATCCAGTTAGCTGGCTTTCCCTCTCTCCTGTCTGTGATGATAGTTCCACGAGGATACCAGTCACCCACAGTCGCAGTGGTCAGTAACCCAAATGTTCCAGCCATCCAGGGCATGCGCTTCTGAACGCCATCGTCGCTGTATTCCCATTGGTTGAACTTTTTCACCAGGTTGACATTGGTTTGAGTGTTATCGGTTTTCAGGAATCTGTGAGTTAAATAAACATTTTTATGGGGCGTTACTTAGAAGATTCTACCGCGGATTCGAATGGTTAAAGGATAAAAGCAGAAAAAAGCTTGTGATCATCTCAGTCCTTCCGTGCACTGATTCGAAAATCTATAAGTGCCCTACTTGAAAATATGGAACGGAGAATTATTTAGCCAGAAATGCAGTAGGAGAGGCACTCAACTGACAGTAACTCATGCGTTGATACACAACTCGAAATCATCTTACGTGTACTCTATAGGCGCTTCCCAAATTCCACCCCAGGTTCCTGGTGAATTAGCTTCCAGCCGATACTTGAAAGACTTGGCTGCACTGATATCTTTTATATTATCTGCCAATCCTAGAATAGAATAGTCGTTGCCTAGCGACGGTTTCTCCACATTTCGAAACGTCACATCTTTGGCATTCCAGTTATTCGAGGCACTGGTGACTAGTAGAGTATAAGCCCCAAGGTCTGATGTCATGTCGCAAAAGACAGGCAAGTAATCGACGTCATCCTTTTTAATCATGTAAACTCCGTCGTCGTATGTGATGCCAAGCTGCGTGCCGTAAACCTTGACTTGGTTGCACGAGCGTCTATGTAACAAGAGAACATTGAAAAACAGTTTAAGATGTCTCATACATACGTTTGCTTTCTAAGGAAAGGAAATAGCGGTTATTTTGAACTCCCCGCCTTTTTTTTATCTTATTTTATCAATGGACTCATCCATCTGGATAAATGCTTGCCAGGCATCCTGAACGATTCGGAAGTGATGTTAAAATAAAGAAATCTGTTTACATCGGAACACAAACACGTACGAAGGATGAAAACATTGAGCCACAGCTTTCCAGATTCACTCTACCGCCTTGAAGCTAACTTTGAGAAAAAAATTGTCCATTCCTTATAATCCTAAGCACTAAGAAGCGAAAATCATACACACATCTACAAAATCATTTTTATTGTTTGCCGGTACAAGCAAAGCTCCATCAAGGGGGAGATAAGACCGAGGCCATTTCTCCCCTGATGCTACCCGCGGGTAGAATAGTGGGGGTAAATGACATTAAGGAGTTCTCAGGTTGAAAGCGAACTACAAGTGATATTACGAAATAAGAAAAGAGCGCACTCTGGGCAGAGTTAATGAGTAACAAACGAATGCTTCGTACTGTACGGCCATTGGACAATATCCAATACCTCACATTTATATCAAATGCTAGCTTGGCTAAAATCTACATCATATCGTACCTGGTTCCCTCTCGTATCCATACCCGTATGACCTTCGGTTTGGGTTTCTCGCTGTTTATATAGATGGCATCATTCGCTGAGGTCACTATTACGCCCGAGTTATCTCTCGCTGAGCCAGTCGTATATAAGTATTTTCCACCGGCCTCGAGACGAGGAACGCGCTTGTTCAAATTTTCTGTCTCATCCCACATTCCAAACTTCTTTAGCAGTCGTATGTTTGTTTGAGTATCAGAGGATGACGTCATAGAGTAGCCTCTTACAGTCTCCCAAATTCCTCCAAACATGTCGTCACCATCGGCCTCGAGTCGGTACTAAACAAATACAATGAACTTATTCATATCAAAGCGAAATATATAACATTCAGTTCTTCTTCATTAAAGGAACGGGTAGGGGAAGTTTATCTCATAAATTTTTATCATCACAGATCATCAACATGCCCATTTGATTGCATCCTTAAAATTTGCCTAAAAAATTCTCCAATTAAAGCCAAATGAAAATTGTCTGATAAACTTTCTTGAATATAATTTTACAGCACAGTACACTTTTATTTCAGTGGCACCATACTTACGCGTTAACAAAGAAAATTTCTTCCGAAGTTGAATATCGTCAGATACCGTGAAAAGGTAATTGTTATAGGAATGAGTACCTATTCTTAATGCAAAAAACTAAGCACCTGAAATTTTTCCTTTCCAAGAATATTATCAGCTTGCCCAAGAATCGAAAAATCTGTTTTAAGCGATGGATTTTGCCTATTCCTTTCCAGAACGTTCTTTGCATTCCATCCTTGACGAGAAGCGCTGGTAAGGAGTAAGGTCCAGCCTCCGCCATTACGTGTCATGTCGCAATATGTTGAGACTGGTTTGTCCACTGGCTGAATATTGTAGAAACCATCTAAAAGGAAGAAATGATTAATCGTTTTCTACCATATCAATCATTTTACTGCGTAAGCTTTTATACCGCTTGAAGAACGCTTTTAATCTAAACAGAAATTAAGCCCACGTTTCGTCTGTTTTTTAATCAAAAACCTTGAGTTTCTTTTTTTTATTATTATTATTTCTTTGGATGAGTTACGTCTGTTAAGGTACATGGTCTGGGCTATATACTAGACCTGAAGCTCCCTCCTTCCCAATGCTACGAGTCATGACCTCCATGCAGGATCTCGGAGGACCGTACTCTCCTTCTCTCATCCAGTACCAGATGTAGGTCGGACATTGTTCTTTGTCTTTGCCAAATATCCATGGAGCTGGGTGATATTTCTTCATAGAGGCTGTAAACAAGCGTCGTGATATAACAAAAATCATTTTTTTGGTGGGGGACAGTGGGAAATTATAATTTTTCGTCGTAATAAATTTACTAGTTGATGATAATCATGATAGCAGGCACGAGCCTGGAATACAATTCCAGCTTAGATCCACACGCATGACATGCTTTTAAATTTTTTTAAAATTTTTAATTGGGAGGTCACACTTCTGGGAATAGCCTACTTTATCAGCACAACATTCTAATCTGAGTTTTCGACACCCTCCTTTTAGGTGGAATTCAACATAAGATGCTTTTTGATGAGTTAAGGAATATACTTAAGACGTGTCACTGAGAGACCTTTCCATGACCCAAAGCTTGGAAAAGTTTCATCTTAAATGATTAACAGTATTTGAACGTCGTGCACCATTGACAGATGGGGTTAGTCTCTATATTTAAGGCAACTCCTTAATATTATTAACCTGTAATAGAACCTATTAACCTTTAGTAGAAACTATTAACCTGTAATAGAACCAAATTCATTTCTCTTTGGTTCACCAGCAGTAGTTAGCCTCTCGCCGTACAGCCAAGGCATCCTTTTCTTCAAACCGTACCACGAATAACCCCACTCGTCAAACTTCTTAGTTAACCGGACTCCAGTCTGACTGTTATCAATTTTGACAAAACTGTAGCTACGTGGTGCCTTCCAAATTCCACCCCATCTTCCTGAAAATTTAATGTAATAAAAGAGATCAAGAGGACTACTCAAACTGACGACGCATTTTCCCCAGTATCTGGTTATGTTAGCAATTTTTGGAAAGCAAAATGTCATCTCAAAAATCGCCAAATTCATTTAGCTTTGGCATACCGTTAGCTATTATCAGTCCACAAATTGCCTGGTCGTTATCGATGAACTAAAAATAGCAGCATACTGTAAAAACATCGTGATTCATTCTTTCACAATTGACGGTATATTGAGACGTGCCGTAGTACTTCATAACTTGTTTATCACCGGTTTATCATCAGCAACATATGGAACCTTTATAGGCGCGTTTTTTTTTTCTCCTGTTTAACGGAGGAGGAACAAGACACTGGTTGAAATATGCCTCGCTTGAGGTATCAATCTCTTTAGTCACCTGAACGTAACCATAAACAGAGCATCGCACGTACCTGGACTATCAGCTTCTAAGCGATATTCAAAGGTGGAACCCTTTACGTTTCCACTATTTTTGATGTCATCTGCCTTAAACAGGATAGAGTAATCGTCTTTAAGTTTTGGATCCATTTCATTATTTTGTAAGACATTCTGCCTGGTCCACTTGTTGGTGTAGCTGGTAATCAATAGCGTCCATCCACCACCATCACGCGTCATATCACATATGGTTTTGACAATACCCTTCCCATCTGGATTTATTTCATAAACGCCATCAGCGTAGGGCTTGTTAAGTCTTTTACCGATGGTTTGCAAATGGCGGCAGGAATGAGCCTCTAAATCACATAAAAAAATGATTTAGGATCAGACTTTAAGGAGTATTGAACATTGGACTGATGCGTCTTAGAAGATAAGGGTATGCATTGTCTCAGTGCATAGTGCACGGCCCATGTTCTCCGTCACAACTCGCCAAACATTGTCATATGGATTTATATATCCTCAAGAACTAAAGTTTTATTTGCAATGTAAACCTGGCCTATTTGTTTACTCCTGAACTTGCTTCTAGCACTTAATTAAATTTTGCAACTGTTTATCTAACATCTCACTCACGATTTTTTGTTGATAAAAAGCAAAGTACATAAGGGAGCAAACCACGCGGTGAAGGCAATGAGGACGTGGCAAAATAAAAGATATTTTCAGTAGAACAATAGCTCGTTTTAGAACCTCATTTTTTTCTTAGCCATCTTCTGCAAAACGACAACGTGCGTGGTCTGAGAACAGAAACTCAGACTGAAAATTATTTATGTTTTAATTTCGATCTTAACACTTCTCACATGCATTATGCTGAAGTTGAGAGGGGCGCTCTTAGAGACTTGAAATACATCCATTCGCTGGATGTAATTAATTCTAACCAAATTAAAAAATTGATTTTTAATCAACGTCTTTCTCGGTATTGTCGTGCTGACTGATTAAGGTCTCTATTGTGTGTTGTAAGCGAGGCGAGCGATATAATGAAACTATCCCCAAAACGTCCTCGCTCTTTACTTTTACTTCAAGAGGTTGCACTGATTTTTTTCGCTTCCGATAACATTATTGACATAGTCATGCAAGAAATGTCGTGTTAAAGCGAACACTATTTTACAGTTAATAAAGACATATTTCATAATAAGACGGGTTTGAGATACGTTTTCGTTTTCTAATTGTTGGAAGCAAATTGGCAACACCTTCAACATCAAATGAAGTTGGGACAATTAGTGAAGCCTCAAAATTTCGACCAAGTTATCTTGTGACAAATCCATTAACGGAAAAAAAAAGCACCATTGCTGTCACAAAAGTGCTTCTAGGCAGCGAATGAAAAAAAAGCAATTACTTTTTATATTATATAAAATTGAATAGAGTCTCTATTTTTTTATTGCCCTAAAAGAAACGCGTGGAATGATTGCACAGGTAAAAAGATTTAATTTACTGTCAAGGCGGAAAACACAATCGGCCCAGCAATAAATCAGTATAACGTGGGAAAGTGAAGAATAGCTATTTTGATTTGCACTTCCGAGAGGTATTTTTTTAATATTTCAAATAAGCAGTTTCGCGCAAATAAAACAAAACTCACCAATGAAGTCCTCCGCCAAAGTCTCGTAAGAATAAACGATATAAAGGAGATCACATCGCTTAACCAAGGATCGTCAAAGAATTGTTGAGAAGTTTGTACTCCAAATGCAGTTGCTGACTTGCTTCTCTTTTATATTTATGTTCAGGCAACGCTGAAGTCTTCTTAGTCAAATATTGCTTTATAATTTCAAAGAGTTTTTCCACACCACTTCAAAATAAATATTTCTTCGTGACACATATCGTTTGTTGACAATTGATCGTCAAATATGACCTGAACCTTATTCATTTCAAAAGTGAAATGATGGACAGTTTTATACTGGTCGAGATTCTCATAGAAAATGCATAAAAAATATTTACGTTGTGAGATTCTCAAATCATGACGAAAACGTTATACTTGCGATACTTGACTCTGACAACTCGAAACAAAATAATTTCACTATTGAAAATCAGTCCGGTTAGCTTAAAAACAATCCATGAAAGTGAAAAAAACCACAACAAGCCTGACGAAACTGCTCTGAAATTTGAATATAAGGAGAAGGATTTCTCACCATTGATTATTGTATGGTATGAAAAATTGCTACTTGAAATTCTTTATTGCTATTGGCTTTCTTTTTACCCTGGACACTCCCACACAAGAAGGTATAGTGTGAAAATAAATTCTGTGGCAATAGATACATCTTTCTGATGGTTTTTATTCATGTAGGGTTTGCAACTACCTGAGAATTAGGCTTTTAGCGAGAATATGCAATAATAATGAAATTCATGTAACATCACTTTCGATGCTGAGGTGTCGCTGTTATTTCTATTATTTAGATCGACTCAGAGAAAGGTACGAGCAGCTGATGATGGAACAAAGTGGGCGGCAAACAAGAAAAACGTCATTAACTAGAACCCAGCTGGAAACTGTGAGAAAGTGAAAAAAAACACAATTGATCGGCTAATGACGTCGAATAGCAGACGTGAAAGTTGAGTATTTACCGCCGACCGATTGTCGAAGGGTTCATTTTCACAGTGATCAGATATTTTTGCGTCTATCACTGATACTCACAAAGAGATATTAGTAAGTTGAACGTTCAAATTCAAGTTTATTGACCGTTTTATCACGCAAATAATTTTCCAGGTTCGATAGTCCCCTACATAATTACATGCACCGCGCTACTTTCGCCTTTGTTTCAGAATAAGCAGTCAAAGTTCCAACTTGTTCGTTTCCTTAGCTTGGTCGTTTCCTTAACGTCTCCAGTTACGTTTTACGCACGAGCTTTTCAAACGTTTCTCTGCAGGTAAAGTGCATGAATTTACCCAAGAATTCTGTCTTCCAGCTCATTGCTTAAACCTTCATGGATTCAAATAACACACAGAGATGTTACTTCCTAGCAACTTTGGAACCGTCGCGCGTAGGAAGCTTCTTTGCCTCTGACATCGTTTGCTGCGTACTTAACTCTGTGTTTTCTGTAGTGGCGACCACCTGGAACATTGTAGTGATCCTAGTGATCTGGAAGACGCCGCTTCTCCATTCGCCTTCGAACATTCTCATTTGCTGCCTCGCTTGTTCCGATTTTATTATCGGTCTCATGGCTCAACCTATGCTCGTCACCTACAAGATCGCCGAACTTAAGAATAGCGCCAATACCGCCTGCATCGGTAGACTCATTCACTGGATTGCTGGATTTGTATGCGCGGGAGTCTCTGTTATGACAATTTGCGCCATATCGGTGGATAAAGTGCTTGCCCTGTACTTGCACCTTCGTTACAAAGAAAAAGTCACAGTTGCGCGCGTTTTTAAAGTTATTTTCGCTTTCTGGATTTTTTGCATCTCTACCGCTGTGTCCCTCTTCTTGGCGAACACGGATCGTTACTGGACTCTTGTTCCATTACCCGTGCTTGCGGTGACTTTGACCACAACTTTCGTTGCATACATCAAGGTGTTTAGAGTGCTCCGACGCCATCAGAGACAAATACAGTCACAGACTCGGTCTGCGTGGGAAGGAGTCAATATGAGTAAATATAAGAAGTCCGTTATTACCATGGTTTATTTGTTAGTGATGTTTCTCGTTTGTTATACTCCGTTCTTAACGGCAATGGCTGTTCGCCTTCTAGCTGGTTACAGTCCTGGTGTAAAAATGGCTTACGAGTGGGGAGCAACTATTGTGTATTTGAATTCGTCGTTAAATCCAGTAGTGTACTGGTTCAGAATGCAAGAAATACGCCTTGCAACGTACAACACCATCAGAAAAATACTTGGGAACGAAAGCAGATTTGAGAGTAGGGTTTTTCAATTCAGCAATGCGAACATTTTTAATGATAATGTTAGCAAGTTTCGATTTGACAATTCGCAAGCTTCTTAAAATTTATTGCCAATCAAACTGAGTTAATTTTTTATTTCATGCAACCTGTCTTTCACGTTCAGTTGGACTTCGAATCCTTCGTGGGAAACAATATTTATTTTTTTCGAATAAAACGACATCAGTTTACAGCTGCTTGCCGCCAGCGATACTGGGCTTTGTATGAGGGTCTGTCAGTAACAGAAAGATTGGTTGTAGTACGAAATTTTAAAAAAATTTCGGGAAAATTTAATCTTATCACCACTTTAAAATCAATTTGTAATTATTTAAGTGATTTTTGTAACCATATCGTTTTAAAAGAAAAAATACGTGAGATTTAGAGAAGGCTGTGTTCCATTATTTTTACTGAAGTTTACAGTTTCAGGTTTTTATATCATATAATCGATATAAGCCGAAGGCAGCTGAAATTGATGTCCTCAGATCAGAAACGAATGGTGGAAGAAAACGAAACACTCGAACTACGCACCAACTGAAAATACTACCAAAGTGATAGAGAACAAGAAGAGAATCTAACACCCTGAAAATTATTCAGCCCTCTTAGGTTAATTGATCAATAATTTAAAGCGTGAGTTATATCACAAGTCAACGTCAAAAAAATGTCAGCTGAAAAAACCTTTTAGCGCTTCAATGGCAACAAAGAGAAAATATTGTTGGGTAGAAAAACAACATAAGCCTTGCTAAATAAGAGTCTTATCACTCCAATCTTGAGATTTAGCGCAAAGAGGACAACTGTAGGAAAACTTCTAATTTCCTAGAAGTTATCATTGCTGGTCACTGTATTTTTATTAGAGTGAACTCGTATAATACGTTTATCATACGCTAATGAGTTTATCACCAAAGATATTATGAAGAACTACTGCGTAGGACATTTGTAAACATTCATTCAAACACGTCCAACCGCTGAATGTTCCCTGTGGAAAATTTCCATAACAACCGATGCTGTAAAGGATACTAGCTGTACGACATGTTTTTAACAGTCTGGTACCTTCCAGCGTGAATTGTTCGTGCGTGCCAAACAGGTCACTAGAATATTATTCGAATAATAAAACAATAAAAATTTGCAACTGAAAGATTTTACTGAGTCGGCCATATACCATGCTCCATCGCTTTACCGGGGAAATAACTCGCCGAAGTTTCATTCATTCACCCGCAGGCAGTTGGTCTTCAGAGGCTCAGTGGGATGAATGGCAAAGTAATTTCGCGATATTTTAAAATTTAGAGAGAAAACTGGGGGTGCCAGACGATGCAAAAAGAGAGATAACAGTTAGAACTTCAATTTGAAGGTTTGAATTTTAAATTGACGAGAACTTTTCTATCATATTGTCTATTAAATTCTCTCGACTTTAAGGTAGTGAACAGGCTTATAAAATTGAAACTCGAGGTTTTCCAACCATTTACACGGCAGGGAGACAGTTTTCGCTGTACTTTTAAACATGTAACTCCTCGTCTGCAGCTGCTTTATGATTGATCAATGCAACAGAAAAATATCCTCTTCCATAATGATGACTATTAATACTGACCGTACCAATCAAGCAGGAAATGAAACGGAAGAACTGCACACACGTTTCATAAATAAGAGATTCACAATGTTTTAGTACAACGGAAACTCCAATTATCGCTTTATTGTCATCATCTGAAGTTGATAATCGCCGACAACAGAACAAAATTTAACGATAAAAAGCAAAACAGAAAACCTTGCGGTTAAGTTCGCGCTCGTGTTAGATTTATCACCCGGATTCCGTTTGCATAGCACAAACCTGTTATTATTCGATCAGGCGGATCAAATTAAAACAAGTTAGAGCAGATTAATGTTAAGTTTGATCCCGGCCTCGGTTTTGTTCGAGCTTCAATAGCTGAGAGCGATTTTCATCATTTTCAAAACTATACCGATGCCTATAGCTAGTCTTACGGAACCTTAAATTTTCGATGTGTTATCAGTGTTCTTGTAAATTCATTTGTATGCTTGAGGGATATATATATATGATATTGGCCTTGAGAAATTCTTTTCATGTCGCCGTTTTACCTTAAGATCCCATTACTGTGTTTCATCAATCTCCCTATTATATATATCCTTGAACATCTCAAGGGAAATCGATATTGGTAATGTAAAAGGAAAAATATGCAAATGTTTTGGGAAAATGTTGCTCAGGTTTTTTAAGTTGGCCATTTGCAGTGTGTTGAAGTGTCTCCCTTTTTTTTGCACCGCGCCCCTCCAGTTGAAATGTACGTTTACGGCCTTTTAATAATATTGTTTATGGATATTTTCCTGGTGAAAACTGTTTACAATAACAAGAGTGTTTTCACCATAAAATTATGGTGTATGTGCCTTAAGGATAATGTCTTTTTTCTTGTGTTTTATTTCGCCTGGTTTTTTTGTTTTTTTTTTCATTCTTTATCTTTTTTTCCTATTCCTTTGTTCCCGGCGGACGTTCGCCTCCCCTCTTATCAGTTTCTGCATGTAAGCGTACGGCGGTAAACGAGAAAAGTCAACTGCTTCCCAAGAAAAGTGCACTTTGATGGAAATGTTTGTATTTGCATTGACCAAATATTGAAAGCTTGATGTCAGACTTAAAGGTTAATAACATGAGTGGGGGACTTTATTGTATCCAACAGGGTCTTTGAAGGAGTTATCATGACATCGTTCAGTAGGCCGCGTTTACCCCTGTGACACTTCACTCCTGACAACAGGCGAATGTAAAAAATCAGGCTACTTTGGTCAAATTTTGAGCTGGAATTGAGAATTTAAATTCGTTTGGTAAATACTTACGAGGACAGGGTTCCTCGTTGCAAGCCTCTTCCAGAAGTCTTTCTCCTTCACAGATCTTTCCTCCATACAAAGGGGACGGACTGTCACAAAATCGATAACGTAAACGTGTTCCACCGTTACAGGCTCGCGAGCAGTTTGTCCAGCTTGACCAAGCCCCCCAGTTGCCATCACGTGCAGTACCAACTAATGAAGAATGTAAAACGTCACGAACGTTACTGTGGTTGTGACCAAGTTCACACCCTCTTGGTCTCTAAACGAAGTGTAATGACACTGCAATAGCGCATGTTAAACCACGCCGTTCGAACATGTACATTAACGTTCAAAATTCATTTAGTAAAGTTATACTTTCATGCGGTATTAGTACTTCATGGTACTAAGCAATTTGGTAAAACTCAAATAATCGAGTGAAATTCTACCCTTTCTCGTAGAGCTTCCAATTTCATGTAGTTAAAATAACGTATTTCGCAAATTCAGAGATGTTCCTTGACAGTGTATAATTCCCGGTCTTAAAACTTCTTTTTCCTTCTTTTTCCTGACTTCGACGTCTGGTTGCACGGTTATGTCATTTCGGGCCAAGTAAGATAGAATGCAAACCTTTGCTGCAAGTGGACGCCGGATCAAACCCGTTTTCACAAGCGCATTGGCCATCATTGGTACAAAACTAAAAGCAACAAAGAAATAGAACACTTAACAATAAGACTGGACAGTGAAAAAAAGCTGTCAGGGATAAATTTCCACAATTATAGAATTTCTTTCTCTGCTAATTGGGTAAATAGTAGGAACTATTTTTCCTCAAGAGGCGCACTTTTCAAGAAACTTGAAGGTGCAGATGTAGCTTTTGTAGGCTAATGCAAAAAAAAAAGTGAAGTGTAAAAAGAAGCCGGAGAAACTTTATGGGTGAGTTAAGAGAGTGGGGAAGAGATTAAAATCGCTAGCTACCCACAATTCCCCCGTGCCTTACGGCGTCGTTCTGCCGTCGCTTTCGTTAAAAAAAGTAAAGAGACTCTGAACAGTGAACAACTATATATGTAAACTTACTCCTCGACCGGCACATTCTTTTCCATCAACCATTTCACATTTTTTTCTCTGGATTGACTGGCATCTATTCTCCTGACAAATCTACAAGGAATGAAAAAGTAGTGGTCAGATACTCGGACAGAAAGGTTAAAAGGTGACCGGTAGAGTATTATAACCGAATTTTTTGTTTACTCTTAGGTGGGATATTTATGCGGAAGGCAACTTCTTTTGAAGCCTTTGTGCAGAAGATTTTGCAAGTGAGATTACATTCTGATATCGATCCAATGACCGATGATTGTAAGGTTGTATTTTTGTTTTTTGTTTTATTTTTTTGCTTTTCTTTGCATGACTTTTGTTATTCACACTTGCCTTGTTTGCTCCACATTTAGTTCCTTCTTTTACCATTCCCAGCCCGATAAAATCACTTTGATAATTCAGGGACGCAACGCTGTATTAACAAAAAGATGTAATCAGACTAAAAGATTAACCAGGAAATTATTTAAAGGAGCTTTATACCATACCATCTCATACCATACAACTCATTGATGAACGAATACTAGATTAAGTTTAAGAGTTATAACAAACAAACAAAGATATTAAAAACGTAGAACTAACTGCTAAGGATGTGAATTGAAAAAAAATTACCGCGCCTTGAAAATGAAAAGCTTCAAAGCCGTCAGTCTCAGAAAGAAAAAGCTGCAGCGTAGGGGGTTCCTTTTATATTTCTTTACGTCGCAAAGCCTCCCAATGTCCAACCCTACCTCTTCGTCCTTGGGGGCGGAAAACACCTTTGGCCAGCTAACAGGGCTCTGGCGCATTCGGGATAAAAGATTCGGTAACAACTAGGCGCAGATACCAACAATAAAGTCATGAAAACGGGTCGAAATGGGTTGATAGCCGAAACGGAAACTATTAGAACAGTCTAGTTATTATCAAAGTATCTAGTTAATAAAATAAAAAAAAAAAGGTTGAAACTTTCGACGATTGATTTATCTTACTTGGGTCAAATAAGCTACTCTTAATGGCCCAGCAAGATAAGGAAACCAAAGTTGGGAACTTTTAATGTTGTAAACTTTTGAATTACCTGCATTGAGCCCCAGAAGGAAGAGGAATCCTTTTATAACCAGAGCCATAATCCACATCTGGTATTTGTCGAAAGCTGTCTGTGCACTGAATTTGTCCACACATAACATCGCTAGATTGATCAAATCCAGAAATTTCTTAACGTTGTCATCGGAGGCATGATGTACTGGTCTCTATCATTAGCCACCCAAGCCTTTCCCAACTTTTCAAAAAAAGGACTTGATTAGATGTTTTGAGAGCAATCTTCATTTGAAGAAAGTAGCAATATAGTGCGTTTTGCTAAGTTGCATTTTGGCTGGCATTTTGCAAACATTTTTGCAGTACTTAATGTTGTGATTTCGTTATCCTATGCTATAGGCAAAAATAAATGCAAAGAAAGCTGAAAAGATAAGTATAGATACAAAGATCACTTTTCGTAAAATAGGTTTGTTACCTCTAGAATTATTTAAAGTTTTATATGGTGGCGCTTATGGGGTGCGCATATCTAGAGCTTTTATCAAAATAGCAGCGGACCATCAGCTTAATTTACATTTTTTTCTTGTCGATTGAACTAACCACCCCTCAAACATTTTTACATCTAGTATTTTCCATACTGGACCTTTTCGCACAGGGGCGGGGCCTTGTGGCGTCACATGTCCCGTACTGCGTTCTCCGTGAGTTGTATTTATCCCAGCATGCCTTTTCAGCTGAGCGGGCAGCTTACAGGTGAACCAAAAAAAAGTTAGTAGAGTTGCAGAGACAGATTATTATAATAAATCTTACTCCTCAAGTTAGAAAGACTCAAGGAAAGCGGGCACACTTACTTCCGCCCCACAGATCAGAACATTGAGTATCCAGTGAGTCGGCACATTTTCCTAAATGACAGAAGGACTGAAAAGGGCATAAAAAATCTCAACTAAGATCGCAACTTGGGAGCAATGAGCAAGAAGACGTCACTAATGATAAAGATAGTCAAGTATATGTCCCCCACTGATAGTGAAAGCATGGACGATAGAACGACAGTGGATGCTGTTTAGCGAACGGAGAGCGAAACGGATGCACGAACATTGTTTTAATTGCTCGTCATGTCGAAAACAATCTCATGGGGAATAAGGGGGTGGTAAGGTGAGGGGGGGAAGGGGGTAAAGGACATTGTACTACCAAAAAGAAAGGGAGCCTGGGCATGACAGTGGATGCAAAGGACGGAGAGCGAAACTGGGCACAAACATTGTTGCGTGCTTGAGACATTCTACAGGACGGCATGATGTATCAGAAACAATCCCATGAGCAATAAGGAGGAGGGCGGTAAAAGATAAGGACATCTTCTCTACGCTCCTCCGCTCGCATGTCCATTTTACCGCTATAGCGACATTTTACCGTTAAATAATGTTTCTTACATCGGCTTCCTGCTCATCTCCACCTTCGCTATAAACTGTCCACATTTTTCCATCTTCACTGTACCAAAGATAAAACCCTTCAACAAGATCCCATTCATATCCTTGCATGGTGACTCTTGTAATCATCTGAACCTGGGTAAATATGAAAAAAACAGCGGTTGAGTTCAATACATCACTAAAAAGAATTTTGACACTGTTGGTGCAGTTTTCCTAATTATGTCAGAACTCTGAAACGAATATTGCAGGTAGTGTGGGCTAAGAAAGATAAGTTTTTTCTGCTGCAATGGAGGGAGGGGGAGAGCAGAAAATGTTGGAGGCTACCCACGTCAAGAGAGAGTCACCAAGAATCCTAAACGCAAAGTCTTAATTATTCTCGTCAGTGTTTTTCAACTTCTTTCTTGAACAGCTTAATCACTTCTTTGCTATCGCCACCGCTGGGTTTAGTCTTTTAGCGGCCACTTTTTAAAAAAAAAACTTAAGAGTTCAATATAGCCCACACTTGTTTGTACCTCTAACCCTCCATCAAAACGTTATCAAAACTGAATCAGTATGATGGTTACGATAACATGAAATCATACCGAGACATACCGATTGTCTGACTCTCCAGGCCCTATTTTACAGATCTACTGAACTGAAAGCAAACCAACTAAAGGAAAGACATACTTTCCCAAGGTCGATCTGTAGATACTCGTCTTTATCACTTTTGTCATTCGGTTTACCACACCAAGCCTTAGGTCCATTGAGACGAGCGTATTTAGGCAGCCACTCATCGCTGAGTGTAGATGAGGCAGTTATTTGTTTATCTGCAATGATACCAGTTGACATACCAAGGGAAAGGACACAATCTGGGGAATGAGAAAAAATAGCACCAGACAACTTTACCCATTACTACGCAAGTATCCAACACGATATTTCACTACTTTGTTAAGGTGCATACCCAACGTCACATGACCTTGTACAGTCATAATATTTGAGAGAAGTGCATAAAGTTATTAACAGATTTTAGAAATAAAATGCCTCTAAAATCAGATTAGTGCGCGAATAAAATCGAAACAAAAATTGTACAGTTGCCTCAGTCTCTGTCATAAATTATTATCTTGTGTTCTTGCACTATGCCTGTTTTGTATATGTTTACAAGAACAAGGGAGGTTGATTAGTTGCTTTACCAGCGTTTGCTGAACTCCGAAGTTACAGCCCGCATGGCGAACTCACCTTGCTTCATGAACGTGACTTTGGTACGATCTTCGTCACACCCTTGCCACAAGCAAACCTCCACTCCCTCTCGAGGGTTACCACCATACAGATGAACACACATTCCAGTTGGTTTGTGTCTTAAGGAATGAGCTACGCGAGACAACAAAATCCAGTGGCATTAGTGACAGACAGTGCCAAAATAATTGCCACAAAACTTATGTGTATGGCAGCAGAATGTGACCTGAGAGAACACGATTTTGTTAGCTTGTCTATGCGATTAATGTAGGTATTAACTGATTGTCTGGTATAACTGGCTCTGTAAAGATAGTCCTTAAATCAACCAAAAATTTCATATAGGGCTCGTTTAGCCAGAACGCTTGCAATATAGGTCTTTTTATGAGACCAAAATTATGAACACTCTAAGGATAATGAGGACAAACCAAGACTATTCCGTGAGGCATCTTCAGACAGACTTACCAGCAGTTCTTTCAAATTTAGAGTCCTGTGGCTGACATTTGCTGCTGATCATGAGTTCACAATTTTTACCACGAGCTGGCTTACGAGGACACACTGGTCTGCCGCTGCAGTGATGTTTAAGGGTACCATCCGCCGATAGGGAGAACTGCATAAAAGGCTGATCGCAAGGTTTTCTTTGAGTAAGGACAAGAATAGTGCCATCCTGTGGCCGACAGTTTCCTCGCTGCGGCTTAATGCACATTCCGCTCGCTTGAAGGAGAGGCGTAGGCGCAGCGGGTTGAGCTTCAAACGAAAAAAAAAATTAATGAGAAAAAAACCCAGTTTTAGTTGAAGAACTAAAGCGAATTTAAACCTGGGACCTACATATTTTTAAGCGAGCGCCCTCGACCATTTGGGCCTGGCCGCCTCAATGTTGAGATAACGTTAACCTTTTATTTTCTCTTTAACGTCTCACTCCCAAGATCTCATCAGTAATTCTCCTTACTGTCTGCCATACGATTTTCATCATGTTAGTTTGGAGAATTTGGTATTGGATCAACTAATAATTCCCTAATTACTTTCTGCAATATGGTTCTTGTGATGTTAGTTTGGAGAATTTGGTATTGGATCAACTAATAATCCCTTAATTGATATCTTTATTGATTCTCATCACTTGTCTGCTTGATATTGTATTGATATTGTAAGGAGAAATTCTGTCTTGGTCACTTATGAGAGTTAAAGGGTTAATCATATAATAAGTCTATCTTGCCTTGTTCTCCTGAGCAGCCGTAGAATTCTGCCTTAAGGCACATTCTTGAGTAGCTCCAGTACTGGGGATTTATTCTTAAGTACTGCGTCTCAATTGGTGGATTAAGCACAACATTTTTAGTTTGACCATAAGTCGTGGGTCCAACAAGAAGCTGAGATAGAAGTAAAACAAAAAGGACTCTACGTTTGCACCGTCAGGGTTGTTTCTTTACATTGAAGTTACACTTTTATGACGCAGAACGGTTACAAGCTCAGAATATCTCAGAATAATGAGAGTTTCTTATAAGAAGACACTTGCCTGTCCTATACTGCGGCATGGATATCCGTCATGAATAAATGAATCCTCCGGGCACTAAAGCGTATAGAAAAATAATTACTGAGTGTAACTATTGATAAGTCGAATCCCTAATCCAATCTTGTCTTGAAAAAGTTGTCCCTTCAGTTTTCCGGATGCCCTCACTGCATGAACAATTTGTTCGCTGTAAACATTCCGTTACATTGTCGGCTGGGAGAGGGTGATAAAATCGTTTTTGTGGGTTCCACGACATTAAAAAATTACCAAAAACCTGTCGTATGTTACACCATAAAACGGTTTACTCTCGATTAAACGGATTAATAACCCACTTGGGATGTTGAGATAACTCGAGCTGGGGATTATCCTGATTTTTCCATTGCATACACGAGGAAAGAAAATTTGCCGTAAGCATATCGTTAGGTTACCCTGACAATTTTTTTCCGATTATCAATTTATGAGTACTCCTGAGTAGCGACGCGCATTGCAAGAATTAGGTGTCTTGCGTCTGCAGCAGCAGTATGTAAAGAGAAACTATTTCATTGCTCAATGAAGTTCCTATTTACAAAATGACTGGCATACTTAGTTCTGTCGAATATGTAATAACACTCTGTCTTGTTCATGCATGATCAGCTCAACTGTCGACTACTCACGTCTCCATTATCTCCCGGGCAATACTCTGGTACATCACAATCACCTTCACTCGGTCGACACAGGATTCCGTGTGGTTTAAACTGTCAGGTCGGAGAGATATTTGAAAATGAAACTTTTTCATATACAACTGAATAAACTACTTTTTGGGATAAAAATTTAATAGTTAGTCTTAATTCCTTGCTCGGACCCACAGTTTTCATCTCATAACCATTTTGATCTTTTTTGTAATATTATTTCCTAGCTCTTTACAGTTTTCCTTTGCCACGAGAAGATCTTAAACGTTCTTTTTAACCCTTTACACCCCAACATCAGTGTTAATATTCTCCATACTGTTCTCTATACATTTCCTAAGGTGCTGAAAAGGAGAATTTGTCTAATAATCTAGAGTTTCATTAGTTGGTGATCATTTCCTCTATTCTCATGACGTTAATGTGTGATTCAGTGGTGATATTGTAAGGAGAAATTAGATGTGAATCAGAACATCAGAACAACTATCAGTTGAGACTTTTGTAATTCAAGGGTACTTAATTTTGACTGCTTCACATTTCAAACTGGATGCTTTCAACCGCTGTGGGACGACTGTATGAAAAGTTTAAAAAGTTTTGTCGATGTTCGGATAGCCTCGACAGTGATTTTAATGATAAAAACTCACCACACAATCTTGACAGCAAGCGTGATTTAGTACACTGCACTGTGAGCCCGGCTTAAGTTTACAGCCTTTTGGTTGACAACACGGATCCAACTCCAGGCAATCCTGACGTAGAAATAATAACAAATAAGCACAGATAAATAAATGAGCCGTCGAAAAGCAAGTCCACCAAACTTGTGTCTTCTGGCATTTTTGGTTTAACTAACTTGTGCGAGGTTAATTCCATCAAGGGAAACACACAGTCATGTACAGGACTAAATCTGTTGAGAGAAAAAGGGTTTTGGTTGTCGTGACAACCAGTATAAACGCAAAACTTCTTTCACCTCTTCGGTTCCACAATCACATTCCTCTCCTTGTTCCACAAGTCCATTTCCACATCTCGGTCGTATTTCCTAAGAGAGGAAGAACTTAGTTCTGTGTGTTCATTTTTCTCATTTCAAAATCAGCTGAATGGAATCGTCCTTTTAAGAGACCATGGGTAACGATAGGTTGAGAATTTTCCTCTATTTTTTTTATTGTTTTTTATTGTTGTTGTTGTTGTTGTTTTTTTTTTTTTACTATTTCCCATGTAGTCACAGAATTTCAAAATAACTTTTAAGTCATTTTAAAATTGTCTGACTTGCAAGTGGCCTTTAGAAGTTTATCACTATACTGATACCATTTTTAAATCTACTTCCCGGCTGGAAAATATTCACTGAGGCATTTTATAGGTTATTTTCAGGAAAACGTTCAATAATACCTTTCGTGACCAAAATGCCTCAAAGAATTTTGAATTATGACCACAACCGACCCTCAACTGCATTGCGTGACTCCCCTTAAAATGTATCTGTATCTGACCAATTTTAGCTCAAGACTGTCACTAAATCCACTCGCTTCTAAACAGATTCTGTCGTAATTCAAACAAGAAAATATTGAATGATAACTTTAAAAGAAATCCAAAACAACTGCTGTGTCGGTTTTCTTACAAAATGTTCAACAAAGACTTAGTAGTGGGTTATTTTAATTCACAGATATAACAATTCTTATCACACGCTCAAGCAAACATTCCTTCAATATCCGGAACCGTCGGGGTCCACTGTTATCAGAAATTTGTATACTCAGCCACCGTTGTGAGTGGCCTTGGTTTTGACTGAACAACAGAAGGAACATTATGCTCGGCAGAATTTTGCAACTTTTTTCCAATGGGCCTTTACAAAACGAAGCTTCTTTGGGGAATATTTCACCGCGTTTAATCCTCAAGACGAAACAGAACTTATGTGAAAATAAACCTCTTTGGTGTCACGCTTCATGACCCAGACGGCGTTGCGAATATGATGTGTTACTCTGGTATAAACTCTTGTATTTTCAGTCATGTCGTATTCAACGACTGATAATGTTATCATAGTTTATTAACTGTTTTTTTGTTATGAGTGTCAAGTTCACCTTAAGTTTGCAACAACATTTCTCGGCGTGATTTCTAGTAACAAAAGGTATTCAGTTAATTACAACAGAGTTTAGATATGGGGGATTCCTTTCATTGTTAAAATCTATTGAATCCATTGTTTTTTTATTTTGATTGGTTAGTTATGATTAAAAAGACAACATTATCGGTGGACATCAAAATTTAATGTGCTTTACGCAAATTAGTTTTTTTTTGGTTGATAATAAAAAATCCGAGGCAGCCGGTGGAGCGCCATTCTAGTCAAGCCCTTCGAGCGAGCAGCTTAACGAACCTGCTGTGAGAAATAACTCTGTAGTCATGTCGAAGATCAGTGAAGACGAAATGTGTGAGTTCAGAGATGCTTTCACTTTGTTCGATCGCGTTGGAGATGGCAAAATTGATCCCGATCAAATTGAAGATATGCTTCGCGCCATGGGATTGAATCCACTAGGATCCGATCTTAAACAAGTGCGGGACGACTACAAGGATAAGAGAGTGGAATTTGAGGATTGGCTTGGAGTCTACACCCAGTTCAAAAGCAAACCAGAGCCAGTCAGGGAGGATTTCATAGAAGGATTCAAATGCTATGATCGCGATGGTTCAGGCACTATTGATGGGGCTTCGCTGAGAGGGCTGCTATGCCTGCGCGGAGACAGCAGACTGACAGAGGATGAAGCAAACGAGTTACTCGCCCCGGTGGAAGATACACAGAAAGGGGTGATAAACTACGAAGAAATCATCAAACTGGTAATGTCCAGGCCAGAGAAGATAGAATGAAAGAAGAAATTGAATAGGACTTTGCCGTATTCATTTCTTCTCAAGAGTGCTTAAATTTTATAGACTTTGACGGACCTAGGAACTATGTCATTTAAAATAACGGTTAAAACGAATGTTTTATTTGCATTTTTTTCTCAAAAGAGTTTATAATTTTGGCTTTAAAGAAAGGTGGCAATCTTTGGACCGACAGTTTACGAAATATGGACATGTTTTCACCCTCTTAACATTATGTATTAGCATCTTCTGATTTTATTAACTCTGTTTTAATTGTTTCCTAATGAGTTCTTTACCGAGATAGTAATAGTTTGAATAAATATATATATTTTAAGAGAACTCACTTTCACTATATTGCTTCACTTTAAAAATAAGTTGTTTTGCTCATGATGTAATTTCTGCAGTCTCGATTACAGCGAACAATGGTCGGCTTTCAAAAGCTGGGTGTGACTGACCAGCATTTTTTATCACATACATTGAATGTTTCCAAACTACAGCAAACTGTTTAGTTACCCTCTGATTTGACTGAATCATGTACTATCTGTGATGTGCATTTATGGTTTCACTTTATTGAAATTACTTTTAAACATGACAGAGATTTCGTCAGAGCGACAGACTGTTTGCTTGCAGATAGCAAACGGTTACGCTGCCGTGATCAAATATTGCCCCCGGGTATTCAATTATCACAAGTTCTCATTTGTAAAAATGATGTTTCTATAATGACACTAAGCGACAGTGAGACTAAAGTATAATTACAGATAAAATGGCTTTTGAGGGTACCAAAGAGATAACTTTATGGAACACTGCTTTTCATACCCGCTAATGTTGCGAACGCATACGGTACAGTGAGACTTTAGCGAGAAGAATTAGGACATTCAAAGATCAGAATTTTTCGTGACAACCGGAACTTGAAAGCACGTTCACTTTACCCTCTCTGATAACGAATCTTTTATTAGTATACCTGCGGCAAAGGTTACGGGGGAGGGGAGGGAGGGCAGCGACTTGAACAGTGGTCGGAAATCGCTATTATCGAACCATTTTGGCAACTATTGGGTAACGCGATTGCTTGGTTTCAGTTCCATTCGTTTAAATGCTAACATTGAATGCTACCTCTAAGATTGATGAAAGTATATGAGAACTCCTGAAAGAGAGGCAGAAATGTTTTCAAATTTGTTTATATAACTATAAGCTCACCGCTTGTGGACGATCGTACAAACAGAAGTCGTTCAGCTTTGCGAGACTTTTCATACTGCAGTCTGAGAATCCTGCAACGCGAGTCCTGTCCAGCAAATTTTGCAAGAATAGCATACTGTTAGCTTAAGCACTAAGTGTTTACAATTTCTTTTAATTTCGCAGTTAAGTGTCGGTTTGAGGTCTGGGTAAAGTAAATGCTACCGCCCCGCATTTTTTTTCTATTTTCCATCTTTATCTCGAGTCAAGATACCAATCTTACACAACTTTTATCGTTTACAAAGAATGGAAACAATTTTTTTCCATGAAGAGAGAACGAAGCATAACAAGAACTTACTTGTGTCCTCCCATGATACAACCTCTAGGGGTCAGACAAGTACATCCACCAATTTCTAACAGGCAAATAATTTCACACATAAACGTAGAGATGGTTAATTTGTGCAAAGCCATCAATGATAATTTTGGCCCACGTTTACCTGATAGATATTTCATATTCATTTCTTAAACAGCAGTTCACATATATGATTTTCATATATTTACAGTCAAAGACGTTTTATTTGTTAACGTGATCCAAATCTTTCTTGACCATTGTTATTTTCGTTCCTTACTCAGTTGCTTATTCAGCTAAAGTGCAGACTACTAGAATATATATTGCTTACTGACCTTCATCGTGTTCCATACCAAAGTTATGTCCCATCTCATGGGCTGAGGCTATCCAAGGTCCCACGGAGATATAATGGTCCCACTACAAGAGGGAAATTAATCAATGAATTGACCACGCCCATGTGCACTCTTAAGTGAAGAGACCCAGCTCTACTGTACGGAATGATGTCAAAATGAGAGTTAAACCAAACGGTGTGCCCGATAAAGTTTATTACAAAAGTAAATTCGCCCTGACGAAGGGCTACTGCTCGAAATGTCAGCTTAATAAAATTTTTACCGTGGCCAACTTACATTATCAACTTAGTTAATGAAACCAAATTCTCATGGGATACCCCAACTCCCCCTCCCCTGCGGACGTAGCTGTACAGTTTCTTGAGAAAATTACCCTCTTCTTTCAAAATGAAAGACAGTTTATTACCGCAACTATTCCTGAAGAATCATCAGTGCACATGCCATATAGCGCGGCCATTCCTGCTGCGTCAGTCCAGCTGTTGTTGCTGCAACGAGAAACAGCGAACTTGATACGGCGTTTTAATCACATTTTGAGTTATTCAAGGTTAATTTCGGCAAAAGTATATTCATACATACATACATTCTAGTTTGCAAACGATAGAGAATCCAGCAGAAATTATACTCACCACATTAACTGTGCATTATCATGATCAGGGAAGGTTTTCTTCAGCGTGTTCTTTCGATATTTTGCGAATCTGTCATAGTACACCGAAGCTGTTTCATTTCTGTCTATTTTGTCTCCATTGTTCCAGAATTCCAGTGCAACCAACACCACTCTGATGTTTATTTTGCTATAAATCTGAAAAGAATTCCTCTCGTGATTAAGAGCACTCATTATGATTATTATTTTTCTGTCAAAAAACGTAGATACACAGTGGGAAGAGGTAAAGATAAGGCTGTTACAAACTTTGACTAATGACAACATTTTCTTATTGATGAGTTCTGACTAAGATTTACACCAGCTTGCTTCAGAGTTTCAGTCAATAAAACGGGGCGAAACAGTGAATGGCACGATGGTGGCGTCAGAGCAAAAAAGTGGAAGGGGAGGGGAGGGTTACGTAGTTCATTTACTTACTTTATCCACAGCATTTACTAAAGTTATCATACGGTTGGTTACTTCTTCCTCTTCGTTTCCAAAGTAATTGTACTGTTAAAAAAACAAAACAAAAAAAATACAAATCATTATGTTGAGCTTTTATCTCTCGGCTGCGGCAGTGGCACAGAAGTGTTCCAGGAGATATGAAACATGCAAAGACAACATTTTCATATCTCACCAAATTTTTGTCCACGGCTATCATAAGCTCTGTGTATCTGGTCTCCGCCGTAGTGAAATAAGGACGATAGAATTCGTCAATTCCACGACGAACCTGATGATTTAAAAATTGTACAAAAACACAAAACATAACATTGTTGTGTGTTGATTAAATTTTAATTTTTGATACCATTTTGATCATCAATCAAAATCCAGTATAGCTCATGTTTATACATCAAATAACTTCGATTACCCTTTGAGTTGATCGGTTACCACTATGATCATAATCCCATGATTTTTTCCTGATGGCTTTTAAGTTCTTCGGGTGAGATGTGCCTACGATGGAAAATTGCATAGTGCGGTGTAAAGTTAGGCTATATGGCTTTTTTAAAATGTATTCTTACAGTTCACCTTTCGTTGTTGATAATGTCACTGTCGCTGTAATGGTGGTGGTTGTTGTCGGCGAGAATCTCTTCGACTACCTGATCTACTTAACTTTATCAAAGTCGTCTAACTTGGGGCCATTCCTTCCAATTGCCATAGGCTAAGTGTTCACCACATTTATCGCTGATCGATTATCTGTTAGAATAGTTCAAAGTTCTTTATCCGTGGTTGATGAAATCAATTATAGTTGTTACTTACTGCAATAAACTTTGTCCTCCGTACTGCGGGGCTTTGTTCGGTAAATCTTGTGTGCTCTGCCTGACTAATGATGAAAAAATGAGAGACATGCACGTTGAAAACAAACACAAGAAAATGAGACGACTCTAGAGAGCGTGAGCTCATGGTAATGGCTACAGCTTTTAAAAGGTCTCTCGGGCAACACCAATGTTACATCACAAGATAAATTTCTTGTTTATTTCTGGAACTTCAGCTTCGTATTTAAGGGCTATAAACGTTAGCCCAAAAATGATAAATTTGAGTCGTTGCCTCTTCGTTCCTCTTCTCAAAAAGACTCAGTTCATCCAGTCGCAGTTTGAAACACCTCCATACTGTCACATCAACATTTAAGACGTAAGATAGATTTTTCATGACGGGGCTCGTTCGCTACCGTGTAGTTAGAATTTGTGAGGCCTTCCAAGCTGTTTTGTTATAGATTGTCCCTTTTTCTTGACAAATAGGAGAGTGACATGTGTTCTTAGATTCTCCTCCCTTAGATACGCCCTTAAACATGTCTTATTTCTGCATACCGCCTTATGTTTACATGACTGCATGGCATACCTCAGACGTTGCGGGTTCCACGTATAGTCTTTGCTTTCCATCGTCAATATAACCCCTGCCGTTGAACAGAGAGAACTTTTCTATCCCACAATGAATCTTCTGATAACCTCAAATACTGTGATTCAATGGGCCTAAAATTAAACTTTGCAAAGGACCTTGAAACAATTTCAAGCCGGTAAAAATTACCTTAATCCAGTACAAGTGCTGATTACGGCGATGGATTCTTCGTTGCCTCGGATTTTCCCATGGTAATGGCAGTTTTCCGGCCTTAACTATAAGATATGAATAAGCGACCAACATGAAATCAATTCAGTTGGGTACAAAAGTATCCCCGAGTCTCCCGGGCGTCTTTCTCATAAGAAGAGTAACATAATCTTTCTCCTCCAATCATCTCTCTCTTCACGATCTCCCAGGGGTAGGGGAAGTAGCAGGGAAAAGCGGGAGGAGAGGGAAGAGGGGAGGGGAGCAAGGAAAAGGGACAGGAAATGCCATTAGGCAAAGCTATGTATTCAGTCTTAACACAGTTTATACATGGTTCTTTTTTCGGAGTATACTCATGGTAAGACATCTTGACATTTTCTAATGGTACTTGTGTTAAGCTTCCCTACCGTTTTCATCACGGGTGTACCGTCCTTCTCAAAGGATCTAATCATAAACGAACGAGGTACAAGTTCCCTGTAAAGAAAAATATAAAAAAATTCAGCCTCGCTTTAATGTCTTTAGTTTGGCCATTTGTCGACACTTGACACAAGTTAATTTGCGGTAAGAGAACATAAGACAAGTTTAGGAATGAGCCTGTTTTTGCCCAGAATGCGGGAAAACAGGGTAGACCTAGTCGTGATTGGTTTTAGTTTTGCATCTGATTGGTTGAGAGGGTAGTACGAGTTTTCTGGACCAATCACAGAGCGAAATAAAGCCAAATCAAAGCAACCCCGGATATAATAAATTTCTCAGTATCTATACAACAAACTGTTATTAATACGAATCACAGTGGAGAGATTACAGCTACAATCCCGAGACGAATGTATCATTGATCATTTAACTCACTTGTTTTGATGCAGATCAACAATGTGCTCACCACTGTGTGATGGGATGACGAAGCTCACCTCCCTCATGTGATCTTCCTGTGCAAGTCATAAAAATCATTAGTAAAACTGTGTTGCCTTGGATACCCACGAATCGTTACTAATCGAATCAGAGGCTAATTTTTCATATTGTGGTGTTCCTGAATAGGACACAGAGATCTTGGGATGTTTGTTTGAAGTTCATCCGTACTTGTTTCTAGTGAGGGTTAACGTGGTAAGCGCTTAGCAAGCGTGCAAGGACCTTCACCCGTAACCCAGGCGCCATTCGCCATTCGCCATTCGCTTTTCTTGGGAGCAAGACACAAATTGTTCGTTAACATACTCACGTTCTCTTTAGTAGATACGCATTCTCTGGTATCACCATTTCTCAAAAGTCTTTTGGGATATACCAGTTTTGTACTGCTAGGGTCCATTTCCTCTCCGGGAATCTTAAACCTCTCGCCTTCAGACTCTATCAGTTAAACGTATTCACACTTTTACTCCTGAGATCTCGATCTTAATTCTCCTCACTTCCAGCTATACATTTCTTATCATGTTGCCTATGAGAATTTAGTGTCAAATCAGAAAATGCAACATCCCGTGGTTGATATCTCCTTCATTCTTATATTATCCCCTGTTTGCAGGAAAATGTCTTGTTGATCATACCTGGGACTGTAAGGCGATCGCGTTCATCAGGCAAACAAAAAAAACTTGATCGCAATTTGGGTAAGGCCAAGACTCTTGGTATTACCGGGTAACCTGCTAAAAAAAACCTGGTTTCGAAATTCAGGTCATTTTTTGGTGGGAATGTAGTTAACGTGTGTTTAGAAACTGAAAACGAAATTTAAAAAAATGCAGTCAATTTGGAACCGAGGATATACTGTACTAAAAAAGATATATTCAAATAGCTACCAATCACTGTTGAACGTACTTGTGATGATGCAAATAATCAGCAGAAGAATTCCACAAATGCACGCCGCGGCGTTCAACCAAGTCATGTTTCTTTCCTACCCTAAGCAGGGGAGAAATAAACGTCCAGAAAATTGTTACAATGGGAAAGTGAGGAAAGTGTTTTCATTCAGTTAAATTTCGAGGGATTCCAGAGTTGATCGATGTCGTTCATTTTATAATAGTCACTATGGCCGTTGCAATTTATTATTTCCCTGAGTACATGGAATAACTGAACTGCAGCTGCAGGCGGAATTGGTTTCAACAGACGCAATTTAACTCTTTACACTCTAACTTAGTATACATGTTCTTCAAACTGCTCTCTCTACATTTCTTAAGATGCTGACAAGTAGAATTTGTTAGGCAATCAAGAGCTTCTTTATCACTTTTGGTGATTCGTTTCCTTTAATCTCGAGAACTCTATGTGTGATTCGTGGGTGATATTTTAAGGAGTAATTAGATGTTAAGAAGAGTTTTAACACTAGCTTGATGTTTTAGGTCACTCAGGAGTCACTCCTAATTCCGTGGAAAAAAATCTTATTTGTACCCAACTCTTTCCGATGTCTTCCCGATATTTTATTTGGTAAAATTTGACATTTGTTTGGTGATTTTGAATTTGTTCCCGCTGAGTCTTGTAGGTCGGACTCATCATAGTTCGTAACTCGGTTTATTTTGGTCTTTAGTTTAAAAAGTGTTTGAAAGGAAGTTGACAGCTTATCAAGTGTTCGATGTTGCCTTCACTGGAAAACGATCTCGTTTGTTACTTCAGCAAGGAAAGTTACAATCAATATCACTTACCAGAGGCGTGGATGTTTGCTATCTGGTGATCCCAGTCTTTTCAATAACGAGTTTTATAAGTCAGCAGCCTGTAAACGTTTCGTCAACTAATAGTTCTCCAAATTACGTTCTGTGCCACGAGTAGTGTAACAATTAAGTTAAATGATGAACAAATACGCAATCGAACCAATCATTTATATCCAACAATTAAATTAAATGGATTATAATAACCTATTAAACAACCAACTTGATTGGTCGACAACCGTGTCATTAGAAAGCAGGTTAGGGTATGTTGCATTCTCTTTAATTAGTTCCGAAGTCGTAAAAAGGCTAAATATCTTGACAATACGTTAAACTGAAATTTGTAAAATACTTAATTTGTGCATATGGTGACAATTTGGTGTCCAGAAGCGACCAGATAACAATTATAATTACAGCGTACGCTACCTTTGTACACAACACGCTTGGTTTAACTCAATTATGTCGCCGTCAAATGTGTTAGTGGCAATATTGTGAATAGAACAGGTCGCATATTGCTCGGCTGTTTTGAACAATATGTTCCCTGTTTCCAAATATTAAAGAGTTAATTATTTTTAAAAGTAACATGTACTTTATGATCGCAATGTGCCAATTGTACTATACAAGTTCTTTTAATTCACAATTTTTTTCCTATTTCCCATTTTTTACTCGAGTCAAGATAACAATCTTTACTAACAGAGTTTCCTATCTTCAACTCTTATCGTTTATAAAGAAGTGCAAATAATTACCTCCATCCAAAAATAACCAAAACCCTTCTGCTAAAAAATAAAGTATATTTCAATCAACAGATAACTCTCATCATTCGATTATCATAACTATGCGCTCTTAAGGACTGAGAATCTTGTTTGTTCCAGATATTCAATAACTTCTTTTGACTGTTAACACTCAAGTTTTATCCTTGAATACATATGGAATTTTTTCCACATCTGTGAGCTCTGAATTTTTTTGTAACATTTAAGGGCTAAGGTGAGGTACCTCCTGCTCAGCCAGTCAAGCGATATCAATAACTAAACTGGATGTGCAGGCAAAAACACTATGGTGGTATGTGGATATATTTTATCCTAAGCATACCCCTCAATCAGCCTTATTTGCTCGTACATCCCCGTTGTTTGCAAGACCCTTACTGTTAAGACATTCCAGAAAATCGCTGTATGGTCTCTACAAGTTCTTCCAGTTTCTTTATCCTGACAACTATTATGTCAGTTTTCTTTATCATGAGTCGTACAGCAGTCTTAAGGTAAATGGATGCGCGCGCGTTTGTTCGAGTTTATGACGTAGAACAGATGTTTCCAGGATACTTGCTGTATGTGTTCGCTCCCCGCGCAAAGCTACATGAGAAAATCTGTTTAACAGAAACGTTGCTGAGTCTTACAAACTCAAGGAACATGGCGACGAGAAAGATTCTACGCAAGGACGAGCAACTTTTAAACAAACTTAACTCGATTCTAGTTCTGTACGAGAATTTCCAACATAGTGCCGATGAACGAGATAAACTTATCATCATAGAGGCATTGGTTGATCTGCGCGAGATCCTGACAAGAACATACATCTCAAAACCTTTAAAAGCAAATGACGTGTCAGAGATTGAGCTGATTTTAAAAGATCTGAACAGTCACGTGAAAGCAATGGCGCTGGACGAATTGTTTGATGAAATAAATGACATAAAAGGCAGATTGGATCTAGTAGAGAAACGGTTCGAACTAGAAGATACTAGAAGACATCCAAAGATGTATTTTCGCGATGAGGGTGAGTTGTAGCCTCATCATTGTTATCATAAAATGCTTTACATATTCAATGTTAAGTCACTTCTACTATCATTGGCTTCCTAATTATTTTGTCATCGAGATTCTGAGTTACTCCGAGGCACAAGCTACCACTCATATTTCACAGCATGGTAATAAAATACAGAGTGACGGACTGGTTGAATGAACGTCCGTCAAAACGACCGACAAACCTGTTGAGCAACTGACTGAACAAAGGATTGACTGAATGACTGATTGAAGGACTGACTAAACACTCGACCCACCGATCCACCGATCCACAGACTGACGGTTGATGGACTGCGCGAGTGACTAACCGACAGACCAACTATCTGTCTGACTGTATGACTAACTAATTGACTGACCGACTGTCTGACCGACTTATTGACTCACTGACTGACCGATTGTGTCCGACTGTCTGACTGACTGATAGACTGACTGTCTGTCTTTCTGACTGAGTTATTGACTGACTGTCTGTCTGTCTGACTGAATTATTGACTAACTGATTGATTGACTGACTCATTGACTGACTGACTGACTCATTGACTGATTATTTGTCTGACTGACTTATTGACTGACTGACCGACAATGTGTCCGACTGTCTGACTAACTAATGAGTGACCATCTATCTGTCTGTCTGTCAGTCTGTGTGACTGACTTATTGACTGACTGACCGACTGCCTGATTTACTTATCGACTGCACCAGCTTGTTTATGAAAAATTAAATGGTATGCGTATTGTTAACTCTTTTTATACGCTATAGTTACTGAACGTTGCAATTCAAACGTACTCAATGTAACAATTAAAAAAATGTGCTCAAGCATGTGGCTAGATTTCTTTTTTGTCCTTTCATTTCGTATACACAGATGAAGATGAAATATGGAGCAGAGTTAGTGCTATGAGGAAAGAAAAACTTGGCCAATCAAGTTTAGTGTTAAGATCTAAACTCCCACCACACATGCGCAAAGTGAGGTTTAATTTACCAGGCTCACATGTTCGTGAGGAAGCTGGGTCAGATAAGGAGAGTGCCGCAGAAGAAAACAGGCCAGAAGCGTCTGATTGGATACCAAGACACGTCCAATCAACTAAGCGATTGCCTCACAATAGAATTAACAATGTCCATGGGCTTACAAGCCAAAGGAGAACACGATTTCGACCGGCAAAGAGACGTGACATGTCGGCAAATTACACAGCTTCTCTGGAAAACGAGAAGGAAATGCAAAGTGCTCGTAGCACGGCTGTGCACCATGAAAATATTGCTACAACCACAACCGTTGCTAAATGCGATGACGACGACAACAAACAGAAAAAGTCTAACAATGAGACACCCCTCCGTTGTGGAGATTGCCAGAGGATTTTAAAAGAAAGAGACAAGTTTTGGGGTTTGGAGTCTGATTCAGAAGAGGAAGAAATCAAAGATTTTAATGAGCATGTACGACGTCGTAGTCTGAGACTAGATTCAAGATTTTTTAAGAACGTAAAAGAAAAAGCAGTAGATAATGGTAGGTCTTACGAGGGAAAAAGAATCGCTGGGCGTGGTACCTGGGCCACCCCAGCTTATGTGCCTCCTTGGGATTTAAGGAGAGCTTCCAGCACAAGGAACTCTTCGATGATAGAGAAAGGATGGTTTGGTGACAGGAAAGGTATTTAGATTATCATAGCTCTTTGACTGTTTTCTTAGCGTCAATGAAACAGGCTGAAAACTGAAATCGAATTCGGAGCGAATTTTAGCTACGCCCTTGTTCGTCAAGAACTCGCTGATTTCAGTTTTCCTTTCTTTGTGTCATCTCATTAATTGGGTGAGAAATAATCTATGTTATCATATGGCTCGTGCGACCCCGCGTGTGCAATCTCACAGAAAACCATAATGGAAACTGACGTGTGTAGGGCTGGACGGGTTGACGTGAACTGATCAGGAAAAAACCGTCTGGCCAAGCACTCACTCGCCTTTGTCGCAAAAACTTGAGGGAAAAAAAGAAAAGAGAAAAAAAGTCGCGTTTTTCGACGAATTGTGTGTTTTATTGTTCTGACTCGAAAAGACATAGGAAAGGGTTTTTTATTATCGAATCTTTTTCGTGGTTGTCCCGCAAGCGCCCGTCTATCGCATACTACCTAGGCTAAAACAAAATTTCTAAATTTTCAACATTAGTGGTCAAGTGACAAAATGCTCATTTACTGTTCGGGCCAGACGTGTGTAAGGCCGGATTGGTTGACGTGAGCCGCTCCGGAAAAAGCCGTCCGGCCCTGCACTCATAAGGCTTTGCCGCAAAAATTTAAAGGAAAAAAACAAAAGAGTAAACAAAAGGTCTGTCATGGCGCACGGACCTCGCTGTCCTCGGTCCGTACGTCAAGAGACGTCGAGCCAAATATTTTCCCGTCTGGCCCTCCCATTCAGTCAAAAAGTACATATTATGTCGAGCCGATCAAATAGTGTAACTCACTCTTGTTAATGTTGGTCCAGAAAATCTTGTCATCTTACCTAGCTCCTTGATCCCTCAACCACTCACCTTCCCCCCACATTCAACTCGCGCTTGTTTCATACTTTCTTGTAGAAGACACAGACTCAATTACGGACTAAAAGAAGCCGTGAGAAATACTAACCCTGCTAACAATAGGAATAAAGATTCTCTGTATCTTAGACTGCGAAAAGAGTAGTCGTTCACAGACCTAAGATCATCGTCAAGTACGGAAGCGAACGTAAGGGGTTTGGAAAGGGATGAGGAGAGAAGGGACGGGTGGGAGACGTCCATTGAAGTCCACAGACTTTCCACGTGCTTTTCTTCCGCTTCATTACTGCTCTTAAAGCCGGCGACACACCTGGTGATTATCGTCGATCACCGCGATCGGCAATTAAAATCGCCAGGTGTGTCGCCGGCTTTACGAGCTTACTTCACAACAACGTTTATATGCAGATTATGAAACAATCGTAGCTTTTATCTAATATATCAGTGTTGCAATATGAAACTGGAAATATAAAATCTGCAATATTTAAGACTGGATTTTTTTTATGTTCTTTGCAGGAATTGTAAAGAAGTTATTTACTCGCCTGAAAGGTCGCCATCATTGATCTCAGGAGTCTGCACTTAGTTCAGTTCGAATCTTCGTCTTAATTCTGTTTAACTCTCCTTGATACAGTTAGCTTTATTGTTCAGTTCCAGCTTGAAAGCACTTTGCATAATAATTTATCCTTAACTGAAATGTCATTTGTTGTTCCCTTGATGGTAAGCGTTTGTGTTCTTAATTTAAAAGCGATGACGCATAACTCCTTCGATGAATGTTGCATACTTGCTGCACACTGTTCGCGCTCTCTTCACTACACGGATGTGTGCGCACACGAGAAAGACGATATAATGATTTAAAACATCATTAAATGAACGCCTGTCTTAAGGCATTGAGTTATACGCGTGCGCTTGTTAACAAATAAAACGCAACAGCTCACGTGCTAATATATGTGCACGTGCGGTCAGTAACAGCTATTACGCAAAAGCTCGTGCACCAGTAAGTGTACGCGAGTGATCAGTAACAGATACAACAGAGCAGCCGACGCATCAGTAAGTGTGCTCACGCGCTAGTAAGTGTACCCTTGCAACATGAGAACGCGGGGTCTTTGTCTTCTTTTTGTGTGCGCCGACAAACGCACGCAAAGACCTTGCCTTCCTTTGAGTATTTCGCTAAAACACGCCTGTTTTACGTTGCCGTCGTTCTATGAATTTATACTGTATTCACATTGACTAGTTCGCTGGATCTTCGTCAAATACTGCATCCCGAGATCAAAGTTTCACACTTGACGCTAGCCGCCTCTGATCCCGATATATGTCAGTTCGCAGATTCTGGCCATTTTATTGTTTGCCTTTTCTGACGCCGAGTTCGGTGGATCAATCACCCCTTCAGCGTCTGTGGGGTTTACTGGTCACGACTTTTGTGAGATTTGGTGGCTCCTAGGGAACACTGTAGATAGAAAAGGCGTGCTTTGGCTGGGTGAAGGTCAATGATTGTTATGCATGCTGCTTTCAAAACATATGAACTACAGATTTTTAGCTTTGCTTTGGATAAAACTTGCTTTTGTGGAGTTCTATTTTTCGAAATATGAAGGCAAATCTGCACAACTATAAACGCCGCCATTTTCTTTAAGCTGTCTTCACGGTGGTCCGTATTATTTCCATATATATTTTCCAGCACATCGAAGTTCACCATTCGTGTCTTCAATTCGAGGAAGGAAGAGTTAAATTTTCATGATGTCTGGAGCAGCAAAGTCCCCCGCTAAAAAGAAGCCAGTTGTGCCTAAGAAGCCAGTCGAACATCCATCTTATTTTGAGATGACCAAGGCTGCCATCCAAGCGCTGAAAGAGAGAAACGGTTCCTCCCGCCAAGCCATTGAGAAGTATATCAAAGCCAACTACAAGGTTGGTGAGGTCAGCTCACATTTGAAGATGGCTTTGAAGAGGGGCGCTGCAAGTGGAAAACTCCTCCAAACTAAGGGAGTTGGTGCTTCGGGATCCTTCAAGCTGCCTAAGGAAGAAAAGAAGGACAAGAAACCGATAAAGAAGCCAGCTGCAAAGAGGGAGCCTGTTGCCAAACCAAAGAAATCCTCCGCCAAGAAGTCAGCAAAGAAACCAGCGGTTAAGAAGCCAGAAGCGAAAAAAACCTCAGCTAAGAAGCCAGTGGCAAAGAAACTCGTGGACAAAAAACCGACAGCAAAGAAACCCGCAGCCAAGAAGCCCGCTAAGAAAAGTCCCACTAAAAAGCCCACCAAGAAATCGGCAGCCAAGAAAGCCTAAGGAGTGTTGGCTGCTTATCATTAACAAAACGGTTCCTTTAGGAGCCACCAAATGTAATAAAAGAAATAACCAACTGTGCAATTTTCGAAAGTAAGTTTAACTGCCCTTCTTGCCTGTATCTTCTGTTTACCTTTCGAGAGCCATTCCTTTATAAAGGTGCTGGTTTTGCTTTGCCAACATCAATACATTATATGCCTCGGCAGACGCCTGACGAAGACTAGACTAGCAGTTGCAGACTAGCACTATAGCAGTTGAAACTTCGCAATCAAAACAATTGATAGACTTACCCTTAATCATAAGACAAACGGTTCAACGTTAATTTCTACAAAAACCACGATGAACAACATTTTCTATGACATTTTATGCCTAGTCATGAATCAATGGCTGTAAGAGAAATTGCGCCAAAAATCGATTGTTACTTACGTACCTAGAGCTGACATTTCTAGAAAGTGCTCTCAATGCTTGTCACGGCAGTGAGGCAGTCTTTTACCTCTGTCACTAGTTAGGAAAGAAGGTTTGCTGTCCTGTCAATGGGCACTTCTTTGCTTTGGCCTCAGAGAGATTCAGAAGCGCAACTAAGAAGCGTGACTACCATAAGAAGCGCAACTTCTTATGGTAGTCATTGAATCGTGACTGGGTCAAAAATGTTCATGAGAGGACAGAAAGAACCTCCCCCCCAAAGACAAAGGACTTCTGTCGCTGGCTTGTGTAAAGGCGAGCATTTAGCGAAAGAAATGATGAACATGCTACCTCTACTCAAAAAATATATAACAAAAATTGTTCAGTGAACAGGAATTGAAAATAGACAGATGCTCAAGGTATTATCTTCATACTAAACGGGTTTAGCCCCCCCCGAGCACCTCTTTGTCTTTAGCCTAAGTTATTATCTGGTCTAAGACGTAAGGAGTTTTACAAGATTGCCCTTGACTGCATGGGAAACAGCTAGTAGTATCGTCTAAAACTCTTGTTTGATCGCAATGTTCCAACTCTCAAAATCCTATCGAATTAAATAAAGAAGCAAATGAGGAAGTAGCTTACTCTCCTAGCGAAAACACCAATTCAGTCGATAAAATAACCTCTCCGCGATCTCTGGTCCCCTGCACACCTGTCTTGGAGACATCCGATGTCATAGACGATGATAACGATGAAGAACTTCCAACGTTTGACCTCTTCTCCTCTTTAGGCATTGAAACTGTGTAGTGGGCACTAATTGCGGCGACCAAAGAGAATAGGACGAGTACATACTGAGGAAATGAAATTATGCTTGCTCATTGCCGTAAGTTTTAAGGAAGCTCTAGGAAGGATCGCACAAGCATTAGACATTAAAACACGAGGCGATGACACAGTTCAGTGTCACTTCTCTCGACGATTCTAAGGATTTCGCACGGCTTAGACACTTGTCGTCTATAGCTATTCTTGTGAGGGCTGAAACCCTTTAGTGCATAACTCGATATTTTCTTAACCGATATGTTACATGCAAAGTTACATTGTGCGTTAATGCGTGACATTTCTGAGAGTGAATAATTCGTTTACAGATGCTTAAAAAAGAATATATATATTCAATAATTATTTTTCCTTGGTTTTTTAATTTTGTTATTGACGAGGGTTGTGGCTTAAAGCGAAATTCAAGCTCAGGTTTTGGGATGTCCTTCTTAAAAGAACGAAGAAGACTAGCTGCTCAAAATGAATGCTGATTTTTTTTTAGCAAAGCATGTTCTATACAAGATGCGTACTATCAAATGCAATCCGTTTCCTTTCTGGAGTCATTGTGCACTTTGGTGCACAATTGACTAGCATCAGTGTAGCAAATACCTGGTCGCCATCTCGAAAATATGTCCATAAAAATGCTCTCCAGTTTCCAAATAGCGAAATAGTTTTGTCACGGATACCCCGTCATGAAACGTTTTAAATTTGTGAGCTAAACAATAAAGAATTAGCGTTTTCCCCGTTACGTGACACTCCCTATTGGTGACATCTGTTTTTTGAGCTCGTATTTGCATAATCTAAGATGGAGTTACCGGAGTTCATTACGTTTGGAAATGTTTTCCTGGCTATAGTTTTCATCCTGATTCTTAACCAAATGATTGAACTCTATCAGTTAAGGAACATGCCGCCGGGACCTCGTTTGACATCTTTGCCTTTTATTGGTAATATGTTAAGCTTTGATTCTGGAGAAAGCTTTGGCGAAGTCACAAGGAGGTTTGTTCACTCTGCTATTCATAATGTTTCTAGTTTTGAACACGGCTAAGTCGACCGCGCAGTCTTCCTTTTCGTGCTATTATCTGTATACAGCATTTGAATTTATCAAGTGGTAGCGAATGCTCATCTATTTAGTAGTTTTACGCAAGCTGCTAGCGCCGGGAAAGTAGACAAATAATATTGCAATGTTGGAGCCTCCATCATGATATTTTGAGTTGCGTGACGCTAAGAAAGTAGAAATGTTGATGAGGTTGAACGACAGGGCTACCCAAGGAGAGCATTTTATCTATGAATGATAAATGTACGATAAAGAGGATACTGCAAAGATAAGAATGGTTAAAATTTTCATAACGTTAGCAAAAGTGGTGGCTGTTTGATTACCTTGTTTTTTTTTTTTTTTAAGAAGACTTTAAGTTTCTCAATTTTCTCACGAAATATGATTAAAATTACTAGGCGAGTGATAAGTTCACAATTAGCCACCATTTTTGGATTAGTAATGGTGTAGAAAGGAGTTTAAAAACATATGACCTGTCCAGTGGTTATAGATCCCCCTTCAAATAACAATATTGTACTCAGAGGTTACTTCGCCCCTATCAACTATCACGTTAAAAAAAATTATTCTCGCGCTCAAAGCCCAATTGTTAAATAGAACAATTAAAAGGAAAAAAACAAATGAAAGCAACGAAAAATAATCAAACTATAACAAAATAAAACTTTATATTGTTTTATAGTATCTACGCGATTTGCCTTACGGTTGACTGTTACCTTCTGAGGGAACAGGTTAATGCAAACTAATGAGGTACTTTGCTTTCTCTTCTCTATTACAAAGCTTGAGGAAGAAATATGGAAAGTTGTACTCATTGAAAATCGGAAGTTTTAAGACCATATTTGCTGAAGACGCCGCTTCCGTTAAGGAAGTGCTCGTGAATAAATCTGCCGATTATGCCGGGAGACCTCCATTTCATAGCTTTCAGATGACTACTCTTGGTATGTGCTGAAAACATTTTTTATCTACGAAATAGTTTATAGCGGTTCTTAAGCCTAGCTCCGCGGAATATAGTCACATTTGAGAGAACTACAAAATATCAAATAAATGGTTTGGAAGAACTTTCCGCCAATATCTGCAAGGAAATTTTCAACTTTGAACCGAAAATTCACATTGGCTTTTCACCCACATGGCCGTCATGCTTACTAAAAATTTGAAGCATTATCGAATTTTTCCGTAAAAAAGTTTGCACCAGCTCAAAGCATGGTTAGTTATCTAATTGCTTATAATCTAGTAAGGTTTGACTCTAATCGGTGTCGCGATTACACGCGTAATTAGTTATTTTCTTTGACTTTTTATTTTTTTCCATGCACTTTTTCTTTTTAATGTGAGATGCAGAGGTTTGCCTTCAGGCGAAATTGCTGTTTTTAATACTTGGTCAAGGATAAATGCCAACTTGCTTTGTAGGTGGGAAGGATATTGCACTCGGAAATTACGGTCCTGCCTGGAAGTTTCATCGCAAGCTCTTCATGACAGCCGTGCGAAGGTACATCTCGGATCAGCAGCTGATTGAGCGCAGAATGTCTGAGCAAGCAACGAGGTTGCTACGATACTTTGAAGATCAAGAAGGATCTGCTTTTGACCCCTCACAAATTGTGACGGAGAGCGTTGCAAATGTGATTTGTCGAATAGCATTTGGAGAGCACTTTGATTCGTCTCATACGGATTTTCAGGAACTGCTGCAATTAAATATAAGTGTCTTCACTGATGATGAAATGAATATTCAGGTCTTTGCATTAGATCAATTCCCTGTAGCCAAATTCTTTCCATTCAAAGCCTACCGGAAAATGCAGAAGATTTTCGATCGAATCTTTGAAATTCTGCGTAGTCAGCTCAGGGAGCAGGAAACAGCATTCGATCCAAAAGCAGCGGTTGAGAGCCTCACTGGTAGTCTCTTAAAGGAGAGGATTGCTGCCGAGAATGAGGTAGGTGCCGAAGAGAAAGCATCCCTCTTGTCAGATGACTACATAATTAACGCTTTGGAGGATATGTTCAGCGCTGGTTACGAGACCACGAGCACAACCCTTCGTTGGGCCATTGCATACCTTGTCCACCATCCTGAGTGCCAAAGGGAGATACAACGTCAGCTCGATGAGGTGGTTGGAAAGGACCGGATGCCAGGCCTGGATGATCGTCCAAATCTTCCACAGGTACAGGCCACTATCATGGAATCACTGCGCCTCGGGAATGTCGTCGAAGCTGCACTTCCTCACTACACTTTGAAGGACACCACACTTGCTGGTTACCGTGTTCCAAAGGATACTGTAGTTGTTGCCAACTTAATGGCTGTTCACATGGATCCAAGCTGTTGGGAGAATCCAGCTGCATTCAACCCTCGCCGCCATATTGATGCTGATGGCCAACTTATTACCAACTCTGGAAACTTTTTGCCCTTTTCCGCTGGACGCCGAGTCTGTGCTGGCGAGGCACTTGCCAAGGTATCATTCATCATTTGCTCTGAATCAGGCATTTTCTTCTAAAACTGACGGGCTGAAGTGTTAAGAGGTGTTACCATTTGACTGATACAATAATAATAATAGTAATAGTAATATTTTTTTACAATGAAATTTTTTTTTAATTTGAAAATATGTAAGTGATTTACAGAAAAAATTTGAAATAAGAATTAAGCTCTATAAAACATTAAGAATCATGTAAATCATAAAAAATACAATCATGTGTTGCTCAGATGCGATCAGTAACTCTTGCAAGGAGTCCGGTGTTTTGATTTAAATCATGACTAAAGAAAATTATTCGTCTCTGGTATGAAAAGAAACAAGTTTAAAAAAAATCTCGAATTCCTAAAATCAAAGATTAATTCGGGCAAGCTCTGATATTTTCGATCTGTAAATCTGAGTCAACAATGATAATAACAATAATAGTAATAACGACAATAGCAACAATAATAATAATAATAATTATAATGACATTATTAATAATAACCTCTCTGTAATGGTAGGATGCCTTACTCCAGAGTAATATAGTTAGTTCAAGTTATACGCAGGCAACGCAGTTTGATGAGTCTACACCGCTTTTATCTTACAGGTCGAGTTGTTCATTTTCCTGTCCTGGATGTTGCACAAGTTCACATTTTTACCGCAAGAGGATGGTGTTCTTCCCGATATCAAAGGAGTTAACAGGTTTACCCGGTTTCCAGCACCTTTCCAGATCAGAGCTGTAAGACGTCAATGATAGCTAGTTGTCAGAAAAACCATCACGAAGTTGTACTAGCTCAGGACTTATTTCAAAGAGTACGAGCGATCAGTGTTTTGTTTTTGTTTTTGTTTTGTCCTGAGGGTCTTATTATTTACCAAATAAATCGAAAATAAAGGAAAAGAATCCTATGTTTTTCAGTGAAATGCTCTAATGCTCTTTGGTCTTCCTTATACAGTTATGGGGAATTCGCATATCATTTCGCTCTAGTTGTTTGTATTCTGGATTGAAAGCTTACGACCCATCTAAAAAGCCTACAAGACCCGTTTAGGAGACCTGACCGGCTCGCTTGACTTCTTCACTCAAACGCTAAAGGGGTAAATACCCTTTGCGGTGGCCCTAGTCCGGGGCCTTGTTATGAGACCATAACTATACTTGAGCGTGAGTGTATTTGTAGGTGTCTTCAGTACTTTGCCGTGTTCTCGTGCTTGAGCCTTCTGCAATGACATTCATTGTTGAAACTTCACACGGCTGAGCTCATATCGTCCAAGTAAATGAATCAGTATAAAACAGCTGCCAGTAATGAATGCAAATTCTTCTTTTGTTCTCGCATTTCGCATCTAAAAACGATTAAGTCTATCTGTTTACGCGGTAAGAGCTCAAGCGTTCTTAATTTCTTTTCTTCCCTTGAAAAAGAGCTCTCGTTTTCGAAACGGCTTTCATTCAAATGTATTCTCGAAATGTCTGCGCTTTAAATTTGCAAACACTAATTTAGCGTAGAGTTTTAGTGACAAACAAGCTGGATACCTGTTTGCCTTACAATTGACAGTCACGCCATCTTATTGTTTGCGATATTATCTCGTGACCTCTGGTGACGTCAGTGGCAAATTTGGGTACCCAAGATGGAGCTGGCAGTTTCGGAGTACTTTACTGTCGGCAATATATATCAATTCTCAATCAATTGGTTGAACTGTATCAGTTCAGGAACATGCCACCTGGACCTCGTCTGACATCTTTGCCTTTTGTGGGAAATCTGTTGAGCTTTGATGACGGACAGGTTTGTTTGCACCAAGAACCACTCTATATTTATATTTTATCGTAATTTGCTCAGAATTCGATCTTGTGATTGATTTTTGCCAGTGATTTTATTTGAGTACGACGATTTACTGTATCGCATTCTTGTGAAATCCTGGCTATATTGATATAATAGAAAGCTCCTCTCCCTGCATTTTCATATGCCTCACCGAAGGGTGCTAAACAAACAGAGCAAATTTGCATGTTATGTTTCTTCGCCCCAGCAGTGTGCGTTGAATCATAATCCAACCGTAGGATGAGAGAGGTCGAATTAAAAAGTACTACTATAGAACAAAATAAAATTTTCTCATCGAGGCGCCTTTTATACTGCACTGGTTTAGGAAATGACATTTTCACTCTGCAAATGCAGCCAATTCAAAACACCGGCGATTGAAACGCTTGACTGCATCCTTGGTCATACACATAATAGGGATTAATTACGCCGATAAAAATACACAAATAGCAACTGCAATAACGGTCCCGTTTTCGGAAAGCTCAGCTTTTCGTGGACGCATTGCCGGATTATATTAAGGGTAAGGCTTAGCTGCCTGTACAAATAAGACAAAACTGCATCTTTAGATTTGAAAAGAGCGTTTCTGTAAAGCGAGATGATTGAGAGATGTTATTATAAATAAAAAGCTGCTAGATGATTGTGAGATGTTTATCGTCTTCTGTAGTGTCTCAGCAAGAACTGAAAAGATGAAATTTTGGTGTTTCCAGGCACAAAATAATTTGTTTCAAAGGTATTCTTCTTTCTTTTGTGTATGCTGCGTCCAATAATCTCTAATGCAAATGTCGAACTACGAAGAGAGGGGCCGAAAACTGTGAGAAGGAGGCTAAACGTAACGATATAATCGACATAAATTTAGGCAAGTTATACCTTATATCGGACGCTTTAACTATTATATTTTGTTTCCTTTATGACTAAGCTTGAAAGAGAAGTATGGTAACTTGTACTCCTTGAAGGTGGGGAGTTTTAAAACCGTCATTGCCGAGGATGCGGCTTCAGTGAAAGAAGTGTTGGTGAAGAAATCGGCTGATTATGCTGGAGGACCCCCATTCCATAGCTTTGTGATGTCCACTCTTGGTAAGTACTGCAATTCCGAATAACATGTCTTGCCAAAGTAGGGTTACTAGAGAAAACTGTCGGGCAAGTAGCAACCCATGTGGGGGGGAGGGGAGGGATAGTGACACAACTAAAATCCTCCACCCCACCCCCCCCACCCCCCTGGTGCTAGATAATGATCGGTCTTTAAAGTCAATGTAAGAGCTGAGTTTGGACATTCGTATCGTTTTTCTGTCGTACTATAAATGCGGTATCTTGACGCTTACTGGAGCTACGGAAATCCATGAAAGTTATGTATTTTCTTTTATTGAATTCCAGGCGGAAAGGATATTGCATTTGGGAATTATGGTCCTGCATGGAAATTTCATCGCAAACTCTTTATGACAGCGGTGCGAAAGAATATCTCAGACCAGGAGCTGGTTGAAGAAAGAATCTCTGAGCAAGCAAAAAGGCTACTGCAGTACTTTGAAGATCAGAAGGGAAAAGGTTTTGATCCTTCACAGATTTTGATGGAAAGCGTTGCAAACGTCATCTGTCGGATCACGTTTGGAAAGCTCTTTGATTCATCGCATCCAGATTTCCAGGAACTCCTGGATATAAACAATAGAGCTTTTACAGACACTGAATTGAATAGTCAGGTATTAAAGTTAGATAACTTTCCCATAGCCAAATACTTCCCATTCAAAGCTTACCAAACAGAGAAAGAAATGACTGATCGAATGTTTGAGATTCTGCACAATCAGATAAGGGAACAAGAGAAAGCATTTGACCCCGAAGCGGAGATCGAGAACCTTACTGGTAGCCTTTTGAAGGAAAAACTTGGCGCCGAAAATGAAGTCGGCACTGAGGAGAAAGCAGCCATTTTGTCCGACGACTATATAATTAACCCTTTCACTCCCACAAGTGACCAAGACAGAATTTCTCCTTACAATATCAATACAATATCAAGCAGGTAGGTGATGAGAATAGAGAAGAATATCAATCATGGGATTATTAGTTGATCCAATACCAAATTCTCTGAACTAACATCATAAGAATTGTATGGCAGATAGTGAGGAGAATTAATAATTAGATCTTGGGAGTGAAAGGGTTAACACCATATAAGACATGTTCAGCGCTGGTCACGAGACCACCAGCACCACTCTTCGTTGGGCCATCGCTTACTTGGTCCACAATCCTGGCTGTCAAACAGAGATTCAGAACCAGTTGGACGAAGAGGTTGGAAGGGACCGAATGCCAGGTCTGGATGATCGCCCAAGCCTTCCGCTAGTTCAGGCCACAATCATGGAAACACTTCGCCTCGGAAATGTCGCTGAAACAGCTCTTCCTCATTACACTCTGAAAGATACCACACTTGCAGGGTACCGTGTTCCAAAAGATACCGTGGTTGTGCCCAATCTGATGGCAGTTCACATGGATCCAAGCTGCTGGGAGGATCCAACCAAATTTAACCCACACCGCCATATTGATGGTGATGGCCAAGTTGTTACCAACTCTGTAAACTTTCTACCCTTTTCTGCTGGACGTCGGGTTTGTGCTGGCGAAGCACTTGCAAAGGTAATTCGTGTCATCAAATTATGATGGGGAAAATTCATCTTGTATGTAACAGATATAATGCAAATAATAAGTGATTATGTTTGCCTTTCTTTTCTTGCAGGTCGAATTGTTCTTTTTTCTGTCCCGGATGTTGCACAACTTTACCTTCTTGCCCCAAGAAAATGGTGTTCTTCCTGACCTTAAAGGAGTCGATGGTTTCACCCGTTTTCCGGCGCCTTACAATATAAGGGTTAAAAAACGGCAATAGGAGCTTATAATCTTAAGCGAACGGTATAATAGGCAGAAAGTAGAAGTGCTCGTAACAAAAATAAGTCTTGGTTTGCAATACCGTTCTTCAAAAACTAGGCTGTGCATGATTTTCCTCAAGGTTAGTATTTTAGTAATGGCATAAGATTGCGAACATCCGCCTTAGGGTTTACAGAAGCTAAAGGAGAAGTATACTCCAGAAACCATATATATTGTTTTTATTTATTCCATTTAAAAGTATTTATATGAAATTATGAAACCGACCGCAATTTTAAAATCGAGAGAGTTAGAGTTAACCTTTTTTCAAATCGTCTTCAGTTGTGCTAAAACTGCGAACATGGACGCCGCTATTTCTGATCCTGCTTAGCAGCCTGGCCGCTTCGTTGAAACATGAGTAGGTCTTATTCCTCTCTTTTTCAGCGGCCTGATAAGAACAATACAAAAACGTATTCTTGACTCAAACAATAATGCATTGCGATATAAAAAAAAAACAGATCTGTTTGTTAACTGCACGCTGTGGTTTAGCGTGTGCGACAGGTTACTCACTCTTTTGTTTTGAAAATAGCGGCGTAGAAAAAAGAGACGTTTTTCAGCATTTGATGGCCCTTTTTTAAATGGTTAAGTCTATCTTTAGAATTTAAAAAGAAGCAAGTGGCAAATTCCTATATATCAGTGGTATATATCATGTATTCTTACCATACGTTATGAACTATACTCATTTATAGAAAGTGTAGGATTCTAAGAATTAAACGCTTTTGAGATACTATCAACATGATCTCACTTTAAAAAAAGGAATAGGTCGATATTCGGGAAGTTAACTCAATTAGAGATGAATAAGTTTGTTGACAGGCAATCAAACGTTGTTGAGAGTTCGATAATGAAATCTAAAGGACTAAATTTGTATCTGAGTTACCAGGGCTACGGGTGCCGCAATTGAATTTTCCATTTGGGACTCTTTACTTGTAGCTAGCGTTTTATAACCCTGATTTTGTTATCAGCTGGGTAGCGAGAGAAACCCGTTTTCCCCTTCAGATCCGGTAGGCTACCATCCACCGGTGGCAGAAATGTAAACTTGTGCAGTATCCAAGACAAGAACAAGAACAGCTCCACCTTTTAGGCAACGGAAACAATACAAAAACATCTTTTATAAATGTAAGAGTTTCACTGAGGATATTAGGAACCGAGACCACTAAGGCATAAGCACATTTTTGAAATATCGAGTAATTCCAAAAACTGCAAAGGATACTCATGCCAGATTAAGCAAAGGGGAGCTTGAAGTCTTTTAATTGGATTCAAGAAGAGCGTTTTTACAAAGGGCACTTAAATCATCCCATCAGCTCAAATACTCCCCGAGACACATTTATTTAAATATTGCTGAACTTGTTTGACCTCAAGAGTTTTATCGCCCTTGAAAATTTTCGTGTTTGAGAGGAGCTAGTTTGTACAACGTGACTGGGTCAAAAATGTTCATGAGAGGACAGAAAGAGCCCCTTTCCCCCCCCCCCCCCGAAAGACAAAGGACTTCTGTCGTTGGCTTGTGCAAAGGCGAGCATTTAGCGAAGGAAATGATGAACATGCTACCTCTACTCAAAATATATATAACAAAAAATTGTTCAGTGAACAGGAAATGAAAATAGACAGATGCTCAAGGTATTATCTTCATACTAAACGGGCTTAGCCCCCCCGAAGACCTCTTTGTCTTTAGCCTAAGTTATTATCTGGTCTAAGACGTAAGGAGTTTTACAAGATTGCCCTTGACTTCATGGGAAACAGCTAGTAGTATCGTCTAAAACTCTTGTTTGATCGCAATGTTCGCGACGTCTGCCGTATTGGACGTGAACAACGGAGAGACTTGGACACTAGAGTGGTCTAAATTTCCCACCAGCCTTTTCAAGCATAGTTTAGTTTAGTTGTGCACGTGTATCGGGAAATATGTCTATACCACAGTTTGTAACAGTGTTGCGTTTTTTCATTCGTTTATTTGTGGTTTTATCCATCATGGAAGACGTCAGAAGAAGTCACACTGTCATATCCGTTCGTGGGCCATTAGTTGACGTGTTTTTCTCGTCTTCAGGAAGCTAGTGGCGCGACGACACTCTGGAAGATCGAATCGTCCAAAATTATGGAGGTAGGCTTGTTGCTTTGGTGTATTTATTGCTATTAATTGGTATATCTGTCAAACACTCACCAACTGCAGAATAACCTTTCCATATGATCAACATCAGCATATGTCTGTGTGCTTTGAAGATAGTGGAACATAGCGACAGTCACTTGTTTTGTTAAGAGATACATGTATTAGTCTAAGGGTATTCTGTACTTCATCCAATCATTTAACGGCCAGGTTAAATACATTTTCAATCTTAGAATAACGAAATATCTGCAATTACCCAAGCTTTTCCTGATTTTGGAAGTATGACTACGTTATTTATCCCTCAGTTCCCTAAAATTGAAAATAAATTATATTGGCATTCGTGTCTGGGACTTAGTTGTGAAACACATGCATGGGTGATCAGTAGCACATGATAAGGGACCGAAATATGTGTGTTTAAGTCGTACAGAATGAGTGTCAGACTAGATGCAGACTAGCTTTGACAAGCATATGCCTCTATTAGTATTTATGAGCTAGCTGATTGTTTTCTATTGTGGAATGGTCCCTGTTTATTTCAATTGGCATTGTATTTGCAGCAAAAGCTGGTGTTCTGTTGCACCCAATGTCTGTTGATTGTCTTGTGTTTCTTTAAGTTGTGTTTGTTCACCACTGTGGTCCTGTTAACTTTGCAACACATAAACCACAATTTTTGGTTGCTGGCAAATTTACATCAAAATATGCTTGCCAAGAAATATTGTAGTGCAGTAGTTAAAACAAATAATTTTGTGTCTAACAACCTAATATATAACTTTCTTAGTGTTTGCTCTGACACTACATTTTAACTCATTTCACCATGGCCTGTAGTCTGCACCACAAGCTTACAAAAGAACAAAACAAAAAAAAATCTCCTTGTAAAATAATTAAGTAGATTTAATTAACTTTTCACAGAAATTTTGAATTAACAAACAAACTGTTTACAACAGAACCAAAAAAATGATTTTCCCAATTCTTGCTGTGACACTACAAAAGTCATGATGGTATCTCACAGACACAACTGATATAAAAACAGACATTTTCTTAGCACAAAAAAAAAATTCTTGGGTGTGATCAATGCACCCTTGAAAGTTTTAAGAAAAATCTTGTCTTAGAAGAAATAGTATTTTGTCGCCTGAATCAGCAAATTATGCCTAGTAAAATCAAAGATTTGATTTTTTATAGTTCTTGCTGTGATGAGACTGAAGACAATGAACATGACACTAGTGTCTCACCATTATGTAATTAAAAAAAGTAAACTTTTTCTTGTAGAAAAATCTGATAGGTGAGAAAAATCTTTTTTGAAGGGAAGGCATTTTACAGTTTGAATCAGCTTTATGCATAGCAAAACCAAAGATATGTATTTTTCAGTTGGTGTTGTGACACAGTGATGTTACAGAAGAGGATAATCATCTCACAGAGGTGGTGTGGCTAGCTTTGAGCTGATTCAATTGGCAATGCAAAGTAGTTTTTTATAGAATTAATTTATGAAAGTGGAAAGAAAGTGTTTATAAGGAAACCAATGGTCAGTGATGGTTGTCTACAAAGTTCACATCTTTCAAAATATGACAGCTTTCATCAACACTGTTGTGAACTTTGAGCCAGTACAACAGTGGTGGAAAAGGGAGTGGGAAGTTTTTTGTTAACACTCCTCAAATCAGTACTTCTACAGTTTGTTAAAAATTTTATTTTAAGGATCAGTTTAAAAGAGAGAGCAAAGTTCAAAGTTTTGATTAAAGTTGTGTTTTTTGATAGTTTTATTATTTTATCAAAAATAAGAGTGTCTGTCAGCTATTTGTTTCATGAAATTATTTTAATTAGGAACAACACACTTCCTGAATCCTTTTTTTTTCCAAAATGTTTTCTAACTTCTTATAATACTGAATTGACTATGGCAAAAGGCAGCCCCTTTCTTTCAACAATTTTGGTTGGGACACTCAAATAAGGTTGATTAGAAAAATACAAGATACATGTTGACTTTAAGCTTTCAAAAGGTAGTTTGAACATTCACATTTTTTGGTCTAGATTGATAGGCAGCTCTATATGCTTTAATCTGATAAAGTGGTTTTTGAATTAAGTATTTCAATTAGATGCTATTCTGTACTTCTTTTTGACACAAGACCTATGTCATCATAGGACTACATTATAACTGAAAGCATATTCACCAAATTCATTGTCTACCAATTATTGGGTGACTTTGAACTGATGAAACTGATGGACTAGTTTGTTAGTCACTCAATATACTAATGTTTTAGTTAGTGGCTAGATTATAACCTCAGTCTTTGATTGAATAATGATTCAGGTAGTAAATGTTACTGACTGACTGACTGATTGATTGATTGACTGATTGATAGACTGACTGACTGATTGATTGATAGACTCAGACTAATTGATTGATTAAGTGATTGACTCACTGACTCACAGACTGACTGATTGATTAATTGGTTGACTGACTGATTAACTGACTGATATATTAATTAGATAATTTGGTTTTATCGACTGAGTTGAATTGACCATCATAAAGAGCTTCTCAGCTGACGTTTCTAGTGTCAGCCCCTTGTCCTTCTCTCTGAATAAGGGCTAAGGCTCAAAATGTCAGCTGTAGAAACTCTTTACAGTGGCCAGTTTACATTATCAACTCAGTTAATTTAACCAAATTACTATGTTATACTCCCCCACTGATACAGCTACATAGTTTCTTTAGAAATGTACCCCATTTATGATTGATTAACTGACTAATTGATTACCTGACGGACTGACCATTGATTGATTGATTGATTGACTGTCTGAATCTCTATATGTTTGTAATAAACTTAATACACCATGGAAAGTCTGTCTGTATGGTACATGTATTTATGCACCCATTGGTTTGAGTCAGAAATCTTGCTTGTTCCTTGCATTGTCTTTTTCAATTTCTGTTATTACCAACACATGTGTAAATAGCATACAGAGAGAAATTTTATTTTGTATTCTATACATGTATGTA